AATATTAATCGAGCAATCCTTGTAAATTCCCCCATTCTATAATCACGCAATAGAACGATCTGATGGATAAAATGTTGTACCATGATTCTGCATTAAGATGAGTAAAGCTCTTCTATTCTATATACTAGGTATTGTTTATTTGTTTTACAGGACACATTGAAAAATGGCCATATCTTCATTGATACCATTTTCGTCTTTTTATTCTCTTTGATAGATCAAGAATAATCAAAGATATTGTCTTGTATTAAGCTATAGAATGTTTTTAAATGCAAAATAGTTTGTGTATTAGAGATTTGAATTGTAAGGTATTGGAGAGAATAAAGCAACTTACGGTTAGACAAGTGAACTGAAACAGTTTATTATTCCGCTGTGTGTACAATGCTACAGCATATCACAGGTGCATCATGTATAAATATCATAGGTCAAAAAGCAAATTATAAACAACACTTAATGCTTATATCCGACTACCGCATACCTTTGAAGCTGTTATTTAAACATCTGACTTAGCTACTACCTGAATATCGTGAAATAAAATGTGCAAGTACTTGCAGTACACGAAGTATAACGAGCGTGGGTTCTACTATTTATTTTTTATTTTGAGGCAAGATGGTGTTCCAAGGTCCGTCAGTCGCCTACAGCGGCCAATAGGACTGATAGAGACTTAAGTCAGCTGATTTTTAATCAATAATGACGCGATATTTTTAGCTGTCAGCATCTTTGACTTATTATGCAGACTGCCATCAGTCTCTTTTCCACACAAGTGATCCTTGTGGAAAGTTTTGTCAGCCTATTTTCTAATAATGATGTGACATATTAGCTGTCAGTCCCTTTGACTTATTTTATTGCGAAGTAGAAAATAACTTGAGTACTAAGGTAGTGTATTACCCAAATCGAGAATTAAGAGTCAAACTACGTATAAAAATACATAATCTAATATAGCCTAACGTATAATTACAACTAATGAGTCAGCGATCACTCGTGCCGAAAAGAGAGACAGAGACAGATGACCTACAAAAGCCAAGTTAGGTATTTTTCAGGTTTCATTTGGCATAATACTTTATATAATATAGTCGGTTAATAGAGTAAAATCCAATCTACGGTATAACAAATGAATTCCGATAGAACGACCAAGGAGTAATAAAAGAACTACCGTCTAGAATACCTTATTGTTATTGAAACAAAATTGAAAAAAAAATTAAAAATTGATACATAGCAATGGCCGTATATACGCGCTGTGTATTCTACCTCACACGTGTATCATAGCTAAGTCCAATACTGTGTCCTTACTTCTCAGTAATACTTTGTATAATTAATGTAGACGCTTAATAATAGAATAAAATATAACTTACAGTACAATAAATGAATTTCTATAGGATGGCCAGGAAAAATAAGAGAACTGCTATCTAAAATATCTTATTGTTGTTAAAACAAAATCGGCCATCAAATTGCTAGATAATGCATAGCAGCGGCTGTCCATAGTGTATTCTATCTCGCATGTGTATTATACCGGAGTCCAATACTGTGCCCTCAGTTCTCAGTAATACTTTATGTAATTAATTGATATAGACGGTTAATAGAAGAAAATATAAGTTACAATACAGTAAATGAATTTGGATAGGATAATCAAGGAGTAATTAAAAGAACTGCTATCTAAAATATCTCAATATTGTTAAAATAAAATCGGACATCAAATTGCTAGCTAATGCATAGCAACGGCTGTCCATAGTGTTATATAACCGAGTCCAATACTGTGCCCTCAGTTCTCAGTAATACTTTATATAATTAATTGATATAGACGGTTAATAGAAGAATATAGTACTTATAGTACAATAAATGAATTTTGGATAGGATAACCAAGGAGTAATTAAAAGAACTGCTATCTAAAATATCTTAATATTGTTAAAAAAAGTCGGACAAAAAATTGCAAGCTAATGCATAGCAACAGCTGCACATTGAGTGCACATGGTGTATTCTACCTTGCACGTGTATCATAACCGAGTCATACACTGTTTTCTGAGTGCTCCACTCAGAAGCAAAAACACGCACATAACTAAGGCTATATAAGAAAATGAACAGGCAGTGAAAATATCATATCGTTATTCCAATCAAAACATGACGCAGGTTATTGCACGACGCAGTCGTTATGCAATAGTAAATCCAGGTACCGGGTCCGGTACCTTTTATCGAGAGATCTGTCACGATACGAAACGTAGCTGAAATTGGACTGGTGATTTCAGCTAATTACGGTAGCAACATGGAGCAGCAGCACTCAATTTCCAGGTAATGGATTGCGAACCAAGAAGGGATTATTAAGCCCATTCATTTCAGGAAATTACCGCAAAATTGCAAAACTAGAACCATTTACCTGAGTATTTCTTATTAACAGGTTATTATTTGGATAAGCCGTTAATGAAAATACGGATAATTGTCATTGTTTGAGAAGTTAATATTACAGGTTGATGAAATTATATAGGGCTGAATTGTTGTAGTTTAAATGTCATTTTCATACATATTAGTGCGAGACATTATGATACTAATTGTCAAGCTGTTGTTGTAAGTGCATAAAATTAATGAATAAGATTCTATTTCATATTAATTTAGATAAGATTTATCTTATAGAAATTATACTCGTACATTTTAGATGTAATAGATTACTTGTTTTGCATATATGGGTTATAATTAATTAGTTACAGAGGGTCATGGAACTGGCGTAACAGAAACGTTTTTGAAATAAAACATTTTATTTCATTGTAAAAGCGATTTTGGAGTAATGAATTGATTTAGAATGAAACCTGGCCGAAAATAATACCTGATGATAACCAGGAAGTCGGTAGCGTAGGTGCCGAGTATGATATACAGTAGATGTAAAAGTCTAGATAAATTTAATTCTTTGGCCAATAATTATCGAGCTTTATGGAAAATTTAAAATCAACATATAAGGAAACTGCTGTAAGTTATGCTAGTTGATAAAGTCTACGATTTTTCTGAAAAATACGCCATGCTAACTATATATCTTGAAATAGAAAATATAAATCCAAATAAAAACATAGATTTTTCGGTATATAGATATATTACTTTCACATCCCTACCTTGTTTATATGCAATGTATGATCTTGCTGGTCTAATAACTTAACGTTTCTAAAAAAGTTATCATTCTTTTGATTGTAGATTTGAAAAAAGCAAATCATACGCAGTTTCCTATATAAGTTATATGAAAATAATAAATATGGGTATTGAATGCCTTTAAGTAGCTCTAATGCTGATACAGTTAGTATTCAGCTAAAACATTTCAATTTAGCTGCTGAATTGATATGAATAAGAGGGTAATTTAGTAAGTAAGGACATTGCAGAAGATAATATCTCATCTGCAACATGATTCGCTATTTCTGTAATTATGATATTCATCTAAGGGCTCGAGGTAAGTTTTACTCAGCATCGCTCACAAGGTAAACAGTGTCGTGCATTTTCGCTGATTTGATTCTAATAGCAATTTATGAATTGAGGATATATTAAGGGTTGCTATAAAATCGTAAAATCGCATACGCAAATATATAGCCAAATCGCAACGTTACCAGCATTCTATTTTATTTTCCAGATAGTTTTGTAGCTAATCAATTATTTTACTTTGTCAGCATCGATAATTAACATTATTAAAATGGATTAATATTATTAATGCAATAATTACTCATTTACTTATTATTCAATTTTAAAATGGCAGTCTTATGTACTTATGATGACTCACAAAGTAATAAAAAGAATCATTGTATTAATTACCTATCTTTTCGCTATAGTACTGTACTGCACATCATTTGCATATGAATCCTGCAAATAGTTTACCTAAATATTGCAAATATTGAACTTTACCCAGAATATCACTTAGACAAGCGGTTGATTGACTAAAGATATTTCAGATGATTCAATTAGTCATTTTTATTGGTATAATTACTATTTATATCAAGAGAGTGCTACGCATGGATGATGTGTAATAAGATTTTAATGCAAGATATAATTGATAATAGGAAACGTTATTTAAATTTAGTATTTACAGACCAGTAAAGTTTTAACAGTGATACAATTTCAAAATGTTTATTATAATATTTAAATAAACCTGAGCTATTCCTACAATCTATTTTATCATCTATGCAGCAGCCTAAATAGTGATATCTAAAAACATGTAATCAGTTTCCGACTACGATAAACACATATTCTGTTTGTTCTAATAAGTTCATATACACAACGTCATTGACCATAAAATAAAATCTGTAAGTACCTCTAATGACGGTCAGATATCATGCATAGCAGAGATAATATCTTGGCGACACGACCATAATGAAAAAATTTCGATTTCATTATGAGCGTGAAATATAGGACCAATTACTTCAATATATAATATAATCTATTCTTTAAATGAATTTGCTATGAAAAGTATTTGACATACGTATGTCTATACTGTAATACTCTATCTTTAAATAAGCAGACGCAAAGGAATACTTAAATTAAATATTAGTAAATGGAGTGGTAGTAGAATTAATTTAAAATATTTAGTTTTATATCTTAAATAAGGATGAATTTACGTAAAATTCTTTTATGGTACCAATGAATAAGACCTTATCTTTTTACTTATCTACTCGTACTTAGCAAATCTAAAGTCTGACAGTGTTACTTGGCTCTGGAGAATTAATAACTCTTCCAATATTGGCTGAGCGATAATGAAGATAGATATTCTGGTCATATCAGTTTATTAATTTGATATATATTTAAGATATTGACGCAGTTAACCATACGTTTTGTCCATTTACGATGCAAAACTATAATAGAATGATAGATGACCTACGTCAATTCTTAATTTATGCTTATTATTTCTAATCGATGTAAAGCTAAAGCATATGGGCAAGCTTTTGTTCCCTTATCGCGTCTAACATACATTTATATCAGTCATCGACAAACATATGTTTCATATAAATTGATCAGACTGTCAGGAAATTTTAAACATAATCACAATGGCGGCTAGTAGAACCATCAATAGTTGGGTTTTTCTAATCATAGCTCTTTCATTCCTTGTACAAACTAATATTCACTCTTCTCAGGCTGCAGTAATATTTGACATCGATAGCAATGTATCTCAACCTCTACCAACAACGGATAACGTAAGTTGAACAGTATTAATAAAAGGTTTCACTGAATGGAAGTATATGCTTTCAATTCGAATGTGTTAATGTCATCATTCTTATTACTATTAGTATTAATCTTTTATTCCGTTTACTTAATCGATCGGCTTAGTTTTAGCGTATTGACGTTTAAGCATAATTGGATCATCTATTTTCCACAAAAAAGAAAAACTTTATTGCAATCCGACATCATTTCATCTATTGGAGCTATTGAAGCTGCACAAATTAGAAATATTGTCAACAATAAATCGGAGTTACTTCTTATTGATTAGCTTAAATGCCGACGATAATGTACCTTATGTATCCATTAGATGTAATCAGCTGCACAGTACAATGTTGACAGAATGTCAAACACTAATAATTTGACTTCACATTAATTATAAAAAATTTTCTACATATTATATTAAATATTATCCATCAGCCATATCGACTATGATTTGTCGCTCTAATAAAAATGATTACAATTTTTTGCTCAAAGACAAGTGGTGGTGCTGGTGATACTTGCTACCAGATGAGACATAGCTGGTTTCCCTGTGCTAATAACGTAAGCAATTAGTTGACTATTTCGTAAAAAGTAAGAGACGAAGCAAATATTAATAGCACCGCTGCAAGATTTGTTAATGATTATAAAATTAGCTCCAGTATTTATAAAAATATATAGAATATCATGAAGATTTTTGTAAGACGTTCCAGTATTTCTTGTTTAAAGTTTGAAAGACTGATTATGAAGCTAATACATGACTACTTTATAGATTCCTGGAAATTTGATTTTAATGGTCTTTTATGGCACGATATTGATAATGGCAGCTAAATTAATTTCAGGTATGGAAGGATAAAATACTGTTTTAATTATCGTATGAAGAGTGTACGATTATAATACCTGACATAGAATACATAATTAATCTGCCTCATCTTAAATCTGGTCGATCAATTACCTATGCTTTGTGAGCTTATCAAGTTAGGTTCTCAGAATACGATTAGTTTCATAAAATAATACAACATTTTATTATATTTTGTTATGGGAATCATGTTTACACAATCTGATGTACATAACATATTAATTAATGTATTTTAACAGATGGAGCAGAATTGTTGTTAGATTTAGGATTGCCAGCCAGCATCATTGGTAAGTGAGATCTATTGAAGTTGCAGAATCATCATTACCTCATAATATTCGTATGTAACATACCGTAATAACATAGTAATTTAGAAAGCGAATTTGCGAAAATAGATAATATAAGCATAATAAATGATAATAATAATGATTTAGGACTTTATAACAATTAGGTGGGTTGGTATTGCCACTACTAGGAGCCATACCTGATGCAGTCATGATTTTAGTATCTGGATTAGGACCTAAAGAATTAGCGCAAAGAAAAATAAGCGTAGGAATGGGGTATGAATTTTAGTTTACCGATAAGGCTGAAAAGTTTAGAACAGAGAAAAATACGAAGATGAATTGAACTTGATAGTATTTACAAGCTATTGATAGAAATAAGCAAATGTTAAGTTAATGCTGGACTCGTTCTGTTTGCTCATGAACTAATTTCTCAATGATTAATTCTAGAGCATTGGCTGGTAGCACAATTATGTTGCTAACACTAGCTTGGGCGGGTAGTTTAATTATTGGCAGGTGTGATTTAGGCGAAGACGGCAAAGCAATCGAAAAAACGGGCGCTGATAAATTTAGCCTAACCCGCCAGGTATTCAACTTAAACTACTAGATGTTGCTCTTACCTAAGATTGATGATCGTTTCGTGTCTTTTATCTTTCTTGAATCAGCCATAAATGAAATCTATAAATATCCTTTGTTATTTTAGGGAGTTACCGTTATGAGTGATGTCAAAGTTGGTGTTATTGTGATGGTTTTAACATCTCTATCCTACCTGTAAGCTCTATGTTGATATGTTAATTAATTTAGATGCTAAGTAAAACGTAAAAATCTACCTCTATTTCGATTATTATACAGTAGTATTTTCAATTTATTAAACAAATTAGAATCTGATTTATAGTTAAGGGTTTAAGTTAGGTTTTAACTTTCTTGACTGATTAAATAATCGCCAATGCTATGCAATATTTCAATATCTTCTATTTATGATCCAGCGTTGTGCAAACTGCTGATTGGGTTTATGGTCCGAGCAAAGTAGGGCCTCAACCGGCTTATATTCGCTACTGTGCTCTAGCAACAATGATTATAAGCATTATCAGCTGTATTGTTAACATGGCCTATTTGGTAAATACTGTGTTAAATTTATTTTTTTAGCTATGATAGCAAGAACTCAGTTTTATGTTTGATAAATACTCATTCAATTGGATAATTTAGATATGGGATAGTAAAGCTGCAGAAAGAAGGCAGCAAAGACGTCATGAAGAAATGTAAAATGATTAAGTTGAAACTATTAATGATTACTCATAACGTATTTAAGATTGTTGTTGCTTGAATTCCAACTGAATGACAGTTATCATTGAAAATAGGCTGAAAAGAAAAGTAGTACAAAAATTCATTCTGAATATGACCGCTTCATTTACACAGCCGTCCAAAATAGGCGATGTTGAAAGAGCACAAGATCATAACACTAAGGTAGCTGGTACAAGCCAAGCTAATGAGGACGAAGAATCTACGAATGAGAAAAGCCGATTGGTTCCTCCTGCAGCTGGTGTGTATAGAATAAGGCTAAATTTATATTAACCTAGTCTTTTCAGTCAAGTTTTACTGTTAAAAGTAGCAAGATGTCGCATCGAGTTAAGATCTTAGAACTGTATATTTATTAAATTCTATCTGTTTGTACTTATTAGAGCGAAATATAGCTAAATTAATTGGTATATACAGTAAATTTATGATATCTCTTTAATTTAGGTCTATCTAAAAAGTATTTTACTGCATGGAAAGTAATGGCTTCAGCAAAAGAGAGCCAAGAAGAAAAAGAAGAGGAAGAGAGCCCGAAACAAGACGAAAATGAGCAGAAAAAAGAAACAGATGAACCCAAAGGAAAGGTATACAAGTAGAATTATTAAGCAATCATTTCCATTGGAAAATATTGGTTCATGATAAAAGATTTTTGGTTATTCTTCATATTCGGGAAAGAACAAAGTACTGCACAGTGTATCATCACTATATTTAGCTAACGATAGATGGTGAATCCTGTAGCCAAATTAAACACTGATGTCATAAATGAGAGCTGATAGAATTAGTCATGTAAGAAAAATTTTCATTTGATCACTTGAAGAAGACCGAAAAAGAATCAACTATATCTAGTGATCTTGATCTATTTATTATAACCTATGAACTATCAATTATTTAGAAATGGCTATGCAATATTGCCAACTGATTTTTTAATTTACATAATATGAGTCAATGATATATTCGTATGGCTATCCATACGGGATAAGTTGTATAAATTAAAAGACAGATTATAGAGTCACGAAGTAGTAATTTATTGACGAGCAACTTCGCTTATTATTATTTATAGACTAAGTTAATCATCGTAAATAAAACTGATACCATCTATTATCTTTGGCTGATTTAGGATAGTGATGAACCTGAAGATAAGGACAAAGTCCTAAAGAAATCGATAGCAATGTTACTGGGTGGATTATTACTGGTAGCTAGCTCTATATTTAAAGCTAAAGATTTAATTTGTTAATTTGCGCTTGCTTTTTTAGTAGTTAATTAGCAATCAAGTTTATCAATAAGTTAACTAAAAGAAGTAGTTTTAGATGCAATTGTAGTTTTATCCAAGTTTTAATTCATCAATACTAATTATTGGATAATAAATAATTAATTATATGTAATCAAATAATTTTGATGGTCAATAATTTTAGATATTAAATGGAGTTGTTTCAAAGCGCTGCTCTGATTTTGTTACTTACTAATGATTTTAGGTAATTAATATAATAAACTTTAGAATTTTATACTTTTCTATCATACAGGTAACGTTTTTCTCAGATCCGATGTGTAATGCTGTTGTAGCATTAACTAACCCATATAATGAGAACTACATTCCAATTTCCGGTAAGCAAAGTTATCATTACTATTAATTAGTATAAAAACGACATATAACTTGATTCTTACACAACAAGGGAGCTCTAGTTATTCCAATACTAGTGCTAATATCGATTAAATATCAAATTTAAATAGTGCGATATTAATTTTGACATCTTGTTCTACTACATAATTATTTAAAATTTCAATCCGGAAAACTAGCCTTTTATATCTCGTTTGTGGTCAATCCAATTTGCTCCAATGCATCTGAATTAATTTCTTCTTTGCAATTTGCTGCTAAAAGAAAGCGATTAAATATAACCGTAACATACAGCCAGGTTACACTGCTATTTTCGTATTCAGTTATTTCTATAATTACTATCATTAAAGAATTTTATTAAGTTAGCTTGTGTTGATAGTTATTTTGCGTCGATTTGTTTTAGCTATATGGAGCAGCTACAATGAATAATACGTTATGCCTGGCTGTATTTACTGGATTAGTATTTTTCCGAGGTTTACAATGGGAATCATCCGCAGGTTAGTCTTAAGCATTCAAAATTTTGACTGCTATTTAACAGCTTTTTCTTTATTTCTTAAATTCCATAGTGGTGTCTAGACGACTAATTTGACTATCATCTATTTATTTTAATCAAATTATCGCAGAGGTATTGGTGATATTAATAGTTGTATGGTTTGTAGCAATATTTGGATATAGGGAAACTTATAAGGTAAAGATAAGGGAATAAAACAAAAAAATAGTTATATTTAAAAAAAATTAGTATCAATGAAATTGACAGATGATGTCTTTAAGTTGATTTGTCTGATTAAATTTAACTTCATGTTATTTCCATAGGTATGGATGGGCTTTCCGATCGCCGTCATGTACATTTTCTCTATTGTCTTAGTAGCAATTTTGCAAAGTCCACTAGTTGGTTGGAAGTAACGCAATTAAGCTGGCAGTTGCAGTCTGCGATAACAGAAAATGCTTGATAGCATTCAATACATCTTCTATATTTGACAGGCTAAATAGTTTAAATTTTTACTGGCTATTAATTAATCTTTACTTTGTAAAATTAAACGTTATATAGATGAAATAAATATCATTATTATGACCAAACACTATAGAATACAAGAGTAAAAATGCCTTTAAAATCTTACAGTAAACCATTTTTTTATGAGGAATATTTTAACTATGGTATGATATAGGTGAAACTGAAGCAATTCTAATAGTCGTGTTGATTGATTATGTATGCTCTACAGAGGTTCGTTATTTAAGCTAGAACATATTCTTAAATTAAATGCTAGAGATATCGATAGACCGAAAAATTTTTAAATATAGTACTTCTTTATAACCTTATTAATAGTCCAGCTACAATGCTAATTACTTCGGTAATCAGGCTTGTTCATGTATATCTCCAATGTGTACCTACATACATACAATATGTAGCTGCTTTAGCGAAAATAGACAATTATATTTTCATCTTATGTTCAGAATCAAATTTAGATATTAGTCCACTGTGCTGAAATTGCAAATTGAAGAATTAAGTATTAAAAACAACATTCGTTTTCCTGACATATGCAAAGATAATTTCTTTTATAATTTGATAGTCAATTGTTTCTCTATCAATATCTAATGCAGCTATATAAAATGAATTTGTTTCAAACTAATCTGCTATATGAAATACACCTTTATAAATTAGATTATTTTACCTTTAGTGTGTTAATAAATGCAAATACAAGAGCAAAGATGTCGTTAAATTACTGTGTTTTATAGTAATCACTTGAATGCCTTTATTTCGTTCGTGTACTCACATATGGTACATTATCATGAATCAGTTGATATGACGGATCTTAGCAATTTTCGTATAGTTATTTTATTCTAGGAATTAGACATTACAGCATAAATCGCATGCAAATGTGGTTTGCAATTTTAGAAATTTAAAATGTATCACAATTCATGCAATTAAATAAATTGATGATTCATCGAATTAGCCTAATTTAGAATTAAATGATAGCGAAAAGAGGAAATAATACAGTATTATAGCTGTGACGGATATAACTACACTACCCGTAGAATCCTATTTAATTAATCGATAACATAATCGTAAAATTAGGTTGCCCTAATCAGTTATCTGCTAGTTTGCAATAAGGCATAGAAAAGAATTTAGAAATTGCCCGCAATATAACCTGATATACAGTCTAATACAGTGCTCAGCTATTACTAGTCAAAATTCTTAAAGTACATGCAAATCGTTCGTGTACTGTAGATAATGAGTAACTTGTCAAGATTATAATTATGCTTTAGTAAAAGCGTTAGGAATAAAAGTTCGCCGCAATGTAACCTGATATGCTGTACAGTATAGTACTCAAAATTTTTAAAATACATGCAAATCATTGGTCTACTGTGAATATGAGTAACTTTTAAGGATTACAATTATGCGTTAGTTAAGGGGTTAGGAATAAAAATTAGCCATAATGTAACCTGATATAGTGTATGCGTATAACGTAGTACTCAAAATTTTAAAAATATATGCAAATCATTCGTCTACTGTAGATATGAGTAGCTTTATCAAGATTACCATTATATCTTAGTTATGGCGTTGGGCCCATTTACGACGTGTAGATTTTAGTTTTAGACTAATTATCAATTTTTATATAGTGCTGGAGTAGTTTTTACTGCCACAATCACTACAGACTTAACAGATTTTCTTTTTTATTTATAATGGCGCAAGTTAGCTAATTCTTATAAATTACAGCAGTTTGTAATCCATAGGTTTGCAGATTACAAATGTAACAACGTCAAAACACCACAACCTAAACTTACAATAAAGCTATTCAATGTTTTTTTAAAACTGTTACAAGTTTTCAGCATTTGACGGATAATCACTTTCAAGCAGGTTGGTTAAAGCTTCATATAATAGAATGTAGCCTGCATAAAACTATAGCAATCATATAAATGAATGCATTTAAATGAATTGATCTATTTTCTTCCTTTGCATTACTTTGCCTCAACCAATTTCCACCAATGGCCACAATCACATTGCTGTGGATTACCTTTCTTTAAAGTCATATAGATAATTTGAGTTGCTTCCGGCTCACCTTATCGTTTGCAAAGAGTAAAGTATTAATGAACAATGTGTACTATCATCAGAGCAAGTAAAAGCTATTTACACGATTTCACCATAAGGTATGAAATAGAAAAAGTAAGCAGTGATATACATTTCTATACAGAAAAGTCTATTTTTCTAGATTGATTCACATTTACAAGGCAACCATCTATTAATAGAAGATAATGAGTGGATTGGAGCTGAATAAAAGCATTCCTTGAGTATTTTTTTTATATATTTATAGATGGCATTGACATATATATATATTTGTACATTGTTTAAATTAGCTCTTTCTAGCTTACTACTGTAGGATAGTCAATAGCCGTAAAGGTAATTGTGCAGTCGCTATCGATATCGGGGTAACAGTTATGGAATAAACACTGGATACTTACAAACGCAACCCAATATCCTTTCATCGAAATGAGAAGGGACCCCGCGTGGGTTTACTGCAGTTCCCCATGGACCTTCGTGAAAGCTCATATCAAAGGGATCCTAAAAGATCAATTTTACAGTTATTGTTAGGCAGCAGTTGATATTAAAATCTTATTGTAGTACACTAAGGTTTCCATAAAATAGTAGCGTACAGCCCTAGAACAGAGCCAGTAGAAACCGTTCAATAGTTATAAATAGAAACTGTAGAAATTGTTAGGAAGAGAATTATAGCAGGAAGAATAGAAAAACTTTATCATGATGAGGATACATAAGCTATCACTTCGGCATGCTAATTTTTATGGCTATTACTAGTTCATAGCATGATAGTAACGATTGGATTTTGCTTTATTCAAGGGTCTACAACATTGAATATAATTTCCTACTGTATGCTACATTCAAGCTTGAATGATATTTAGGGGAAATGGAAGATTATTCTTTCAGTGCTGAGGAGAAGATTGCGATGGCCATTTCTATATACATTCAATCATGTATAATGGTGAAATGGCCGTTTACATCTTGATAATGGCGAATCACTATACAAACGATATAAACTCTGGTTGAAGCGACAATAAAGTCCAAAGTATTAAACTAGTTGCTGCATAACTGTTAATGTATCGATGCTGGCATAAAATGGGATATTACTGCTATGAATATTATATGTACAATAGTACTAAAAATCCTATAGATCGTCATGATGTCTGCCTATTCTGTTCAAAGTGATTTTTGTACGCGGCGAAAAATGGAATCTAGAATTATGTAATTACTAAGTACGCGTACATAGGTTATAAAGAGAATGTCGATGACTGCTCGGTAGGAACATTGAAGCTTATTCCTTTGATTATCGTTTAATAAATTAAGCGTTTGTTTTCATGACTTACAGTGTTACCAGTCATCATAGCGTCATGTTCAAATTTTTCTTTACCGGTTGCTTGCTCACTAGCGCTAGGGATTCGGCCAGTGACGCCAACATCTGAAGCTACAATTGGAAAAAAGGAAAATGCCCATCTGTGAGCTACCAGAACAAATCCTACATCATTATATACAGACTAGACTAATGTCGTAAAATGGAATTGTTTGGGTATAAGACCATTGAAAAGTATTTATTTTAGTGTAGAGGAAGAGAAGTGGTATACAGAAAAAGTCTTGAGCACATAGTGCGCTTTGATGCACAAGCATACTAAACATCCACATGCAAAAACACCCGAAAAGTTGGTACATATGTAATATGAAAATGTTATGTCATCCAAGCTTCAATTTATGAGTATGATAGGTTCAAATATTTAGTTATAGTTACATTGCGTTGTTTCATGACGAACTCCGTTGATTAAAGCTCGTGAGACAGTAGGATTAAAAATGCAACGGTAGAAACTCGGCAGTGACAATCGAGTCAGAGAAGCCATTTTTCTTTAGCAGCGATGGAAGAGTTGACCGTTTTTTTGCGCATGCGTACCAGAAGGAGCACGGACAATCACTAGCAGCAGTGCCCAACCCCGGTACTCGTCCCCGGGCTTGAGCACTGGCCTAACTCTACTGTGGTCGGATCCCATCGAGGTCAAACGACAGTACTGTAGCCTACAATACTGCTTGTCAATACTGCACACTGTACACTGTACTGTACGATGCATGTGTTTGTGTCGCTACAAGTTGAAGTGTATATGCTGCTACAGGGTAGCGGTAGCGGTCACGTTTACAGAGGGAAAGCTGTGTACTATGTACTGTACTGCAACCTGGATAGGCTATCAACTGGACTAGTCAGTAGTCCTTCTTCCGTACTCTACTGTCTATATACAGTACAGTATATTATGGAAAATCATAGACCAACGCCAAACTACAGTATCAATCTGACTGTGAAGACGGTACTGTTATAATGTACCCTAGTGTACAGTAAGTAAAAAGTGCCTGATGTCTTCAACATCCAGAGACCAAATCCAATTTGCTTTTTTTTGTCTTAGTCCCAGGAACATGGACATGACAGTTTGGATTCATACAGTACAATGTACACTATCCACTGTACACTGTACTCAGTATACTGTACTGTACAGTACATACTGTAAACTGCACGAGGCTCTTTTACAGTACAGTACACTGTACAGGACAGTGTACTGTACTGTAAAACCTGGAGCTTCCAAGTCCCTTGGAAAAAAACGTACAGTTTGTCTCCATATGATATACTCTACATGGTGTAGATGCTTTATATTGAACACATGAAGGGAGAGATTCAATCAGGGGCTTTTGAATCGACTTTTCTCTTACTGTAGAAATGTCAGTATGTTTTTTTCTTAACTCTATCATTGTACCACACGTCTGCAACCGTCCACTACGATTGTCATCGTAACATGAGTTAGACTTGCAAAGAAAATTTGCAACCAATACTGTACACTGTACTGTACAGTACGGTATCATGAGTAATGTACTGTGCACTGTACACTCAACGTCGAGCATAGTAACCGTGTCCGCAGCTCGATTCGAAGTCGACTCAGACCTTGGAAATTTCTTGATTGCTCTTGATCACTTACAGCTTACATACTTATGCCTTGTACTCGTATACCATCTCTACGCTCTTACAGTAAATGAATTATCTTTCAATTGCATTAATGCATGTTAAACTTCGTAACACTTTACTGAGAAAAATCACCATCGAAATAACCATGAGCTCATCCAATTTTTCAAATACGTGTACATTTCAATAGGCCAGAATAGGTTGTTCTTTGAACTGCTCATTGCGAGTGGTTATAACGAAATGAAATACTGTCCTCATTTTTCCTAGGATGCTAATCAATTCTTATTAAGGAAGCGTTTACTACTGTACAATGCAAATGCTGCTTCCCAATGAGATAGATGAATAAGGAAGGATTGAATACCGTAGTAATGATATCAACACGCTTCTGTACTATTGATTCAAGTAGCCACAGTAAACACTTGAAGTATGATGGATGACTGCTGTAACTCTTATATCTGCTAATAGATCCCTTGCTCGTTGTAGTGGGTGTACTATACTGTACTTGTACTTTTCACTGTATTATTTATCGTTGACTCATAATAATTAATTATCCCTGAATTTCCTATCATACTTTTCTACGCCATTGCAAGTTTAAACAGTTCTTTGTTTCTTTACTCTCGTGAAGTAATATTACCATGTATCGACATGCATTTACAATAACTATGTCGTTATTAATTCTAAGAAAGTCTTTCCCTTCTACTATTAATTCTAAAAACGTGCATCCTACTAAGCATTACCAGTTCTTCAATGACAACATATAAAATGATGAGTGAGTTTTGCCGAAACGACAATGACTCAACGTTCTTACGCAATTGGTCAAACCATCCAATTAAGTAAAGGCAGAGGCAGAATTTAATGATTCAATTCATCTGCATTTTCGTACTAGTCACACAATAGCTATAAATGATTATTGTGTTAAGAACCTTAGGCTAATGTACTTTATTGCCGAAACAAAAGTATTTATCTAGATGAGGAAAAACAAATAAATACTTGCCTTGAGCAACTATCGGCATTTTCATGCTGTGTAAAATACGACTGTGAACAAACGGTACCGTAGTTACTGATGCTTAAAACACATCACAAGCAAATCATTATACACCTATTTTGTCACTACTCTTAGCAATCCAAGTTATAACTACATCATAGAGCATTAACTATTCCTAAATATATGTCAAATCGATGTACTAGGCAGCATTTGAATACATGAATATACGTGGCTGTACTATATACTCCCTTACGAGTTTTCGCACTGCTACAATATAAACCAATAATGTAATATCTAGCCATTTTTAAAAGTACGATAATTAAAAATTAAGATAATTAGGCAAGAACGATGAATACCAGGTCAAACCAGAACGTACGATCTTTATATTCTGTTAAAGAAAATCATTTTATTTTTTAGAATATTACCATACAGCACTAAATAAAATAAGTTATATCATAAGCGTACCAATAATATAACTTTTAATCTTCCTGATGGTCATGATCTTCCTCTTGGACACTGGCAGTCGTTACTGACATGTCAGGTGGGCCTTCGTCGTCATCTTCGTGAGCCTAAACGCACAACGGAAAATTGTTAGGACCTTCCATGTTAGAAGTTAGTATAACATCTATTACAAAATCTATTTAACCGCAGCTTCTTCCTCTTTGTTCTGTTCCTCACGTTCTTCTTCTTCTTCTTCTTTTTTGTCGTCTTCTGGAGTTTCGCTATAAATATAACAGTAGTGATTAAGCATTTGCAATAGCCAGATCATAAGAAAATTTTTAGAATTACTTACTCCTCTGCCGCTGGTGCTTCTTCGTTTGGAGTGTCTTCGTTAGCATCTGAGTCACGTTTCTCTTCAGCCTCCTCTCTATCAGAGTGCTCTTCAGCTTCATGCTCATCAGCTGGTTGTTCTAGGATATTATAAATTCGCAGATTGTTAGAAAGGTAAAAATTTAGACATTTCTAAAAAGTTAATACCTACCTTCTCTGTTTTCAGGTTCTTCCGGTTCTTCCTCCTTAGGTGGAACGCCTAACGCATATACAGTTATTTTATTAGCAACAATTTATAAACATTTACTGACTAGGGATATTTGTCTTACCTCCAATGCGTGGTGGTGAAGACAACCTTTTACTAGAAGTTCTGTTAAACTCAGGTGGAGGTCGGTTGATATCATTAGCATTCTTAGCTTGATGTTGAGTACGACCACTATTTAGAACAAACAGTATAGAGAAGATGCATTAAGAATAACGATGACTAATATTTTTTTATTGTACTGCATTCGATGATGATTGAACCTATATCGGAATTTGGATCCAAAGCGGAGGAAAGACTTCTTTACTGGCTTCTCTGGAGTTAGCAATCTATTTCGTAAACAGAACGCGAACAAAGTGTACTGTAAATTATCACAACTACCTTAGTTGCATAATTACTGCATATACCGTATTGCAATTATATCACTACAAAAAGTAATTTAAATGGTACGTTTAATTAATTACCTAAAGAAGGCGTGATTTTCTATACAGACTTTCCACAGTCTTTTAGCTTCGGTAACAGATGCAAGGCGGAATCCAATCTTCTTTTCATAATTTTCATTCTGTAAGATTGCAATTACGTTACCACAATCTTATCACAATATCTACAAAAGGTTTCAAAACGACCATACCTGTGCAGGGCGTACTTTAATGTAGAACTTCTTTTTCTTGTACAAGATTTGCAAGATTTGAGGCCTTTTAATTATGAAACATGTTAGATCGAAGCGGATTTATGTAGCTGTAAGATATAAAGTTAATTTTTATAATTACCATGCAAATCGGTTGATTCGCAGTTGATCACGGTAGACGTATAATCCATTAGCAGAAACGCCAATTTCGATCTTTACAGCCTCGTTGTCCTGAAGGGCGAAGCCAAACATTTATTAACTCAGACGTAATTTATGCAGTGCGAATGAATAATTCAACGCAAAAATACTTACAAAGGCAAAGTATTTTTCAACACCATAAAGTGCCAATTTTTTAGAATTTTCTAAGAAATGAGCTTCAGCGTCAGCGGGCGTTTGTCCTCTACACGAATTTAAATTATTCGGTATTTTATTAGCAATACAGTATTTTCGGGATTTGATAACATCAAATGGTACATACTCTATTTCTTTGTGATATTTCATTACTATTTGTTCCAATTCTTCAGACTGATAAAAGGAGAATATATGGAATTCAGTGATGTACTAAATCATATCTACATTAATGGGTAGTCTTACCTGCACATCATCTGGAGCAACTTGGAATTCACTAACGTAATTGCCAATACAAGTTTCTGGATCGTAATCACCAATCTCAGCTAATTTTTGGAAGAAGAAGCATAGAAATAGTTAGTTATGCGGGATTACATTGCTAAAGCACTCCATACGGACGTAGTTAAAATTTTGACCCTACCTTGAACTGTATAGGCACCTAGCAATGCGTAAGTGTTAAATGAGCAAGGCAACCTTTAAAAGGGATAAAAAATATATTTTAACAATCAATATATCAAATAAATTACAACAAAGTTAGGCTTCAGTCATTGCTACGAACTTTCCAGACATGAGATCTTTTCTGACTTGTAAGACAAAGAAGTATCTGAAATCAAAAATTTTAACTTGTTAAAAATATGGACATTCAGATTGCTAAAACGACCCTTAACTAATGTACCTTGTTATATCCTCATGTAACTGGCTTGGGTTGTTACTGTAAAACTTTACGCCAAAGTAGAAGTTTGGTTCATTTCCTATCAGAAACAAAACAAAATTATAACATCAAATAAGGACTCACAACAAGTACGGCTGTCCTAGGTTACGCAGATTTGAAAGGTAATCGTTCCAATCGAACACATTGAAAATAAACTAACAAATCCTTATCTTACCTTTCAATTGGCGTTTTATCGACTTCAAAGGATATATCCAGTTCTATACATTGTATTAAATAGAGTGCTAAGAAAGATATGTAGTTTCTTATATGATCGAAAAACTAAAGTTGAAAGATATTTTTTATAAGCTGATACTGTAAAAGAATTCTGTGCTATTTACAAGTATTCGCTGAAATAAACAGAACAGCACAGCAGATATTATCCTCAGAACGAGAACTTGTATGGTACCTTGTTGTTTGCAGCATCCAAGAAATAAACGCCAAAGTAATCCTTCTCTTCAAGGTTTAATTGCTGAGATACCTTGTCAAACAGCACATTACCTTTGGCTTTTAACTACAAATATAAAAAGTTTTTTACGATCAAGAATTCGAAAACTTTAGAGACAAGCAAGAAAATTAGAATAGTCCTGGAATACTAAAGCAATCTGATGTGCATAAGAACAGGCACTGCTGTACTTACGCTATATTTATAGCAACGTCTGAGTTGTATAACTACAACACAGTGTTTATTAAGGTATAATGGGCGAGCGTTCACTATATACTTTCATAATGAAATACTGTAAATATTAACAGTTAAAAACAACGAGTACAGTACTATTAGAAGAACCGTTGTGTAGAATGGTAATGGTGTCAACGATAGATACGAAGAAGCATAATCTTTACCGCGTTAAGTTTGCATTTGTGTATGAAATTATCAACATCAAGAGCTAAGCAAGTATCAGTAGTCTATTTAATTTTAGGGCTAGTCCTAAAACAGCGATCATTATAATATGCTTAGATTTGTTTAAGCCAAAAGTTTTTTACGCGATCTGTCGTGCTATACACTGGATGTACGCGTATACTTGCTTTAGCAAGGTTAAGCGTCAGGTTTGAACGGCTACATAGCTAAATTACAACAAGAATTCAGTTCATTTTATACTGTACGCCTAAACTAAAAATATCTAGTCTGAACACTTTTTACCGTGCGTATTTTATACTGTACAGTACATACGGTAACTAAGTTGTCATAAAATTATTCATGGGCGAAAATCAGTTTACAGCATGATTGAAACATTAATACACTGTATAGTAGTTGCATTCTTTTCTAGTAAAGCTCTTTAATTTAAAGATCTCTACAGGGGTTTACAAAACTTTTGTTATTGATCACCGTTTACTTTACAGACAATGCAGTCAACGTAAGCCCATATGGAAAAATACGCATTTTTTGCCTGATTTGCTAATAGCTGCTAAAGGACAAGAATTCAAAATTTACACAACTCTTATTAACTGGTAATATTTTTCTACCGGATTGTTACGTCTGGAATGCAATCTTATAAGCAGGAAAAAGCCTCAATACAGTACGAAATATTCTGCAACATTCGGCCAACACCGTAATTGACTAAATCCAAAACATTTTAGATTAGCCAGTGTCGCCACATTGTTTCCTCATAATGTAATTCTATTGTATTACTTCATACTATTTCTTAAGAAAACACTTTTTATTATTTTTCTTCTTTAACGTAATAAATTACTCCATCGTATAGAAATTTGACTACAGCGTCAAATTTCTAGCAATACATTTCCGACTTTGATACTGTACATAATTTCTTGTGGTTGCAATTGAGATCTCCATAATTATATTATTTATATTATTGAAAGCGTACTAACTGTACGTAAGATTGGCATGCAAACTTACGCAACGCAACGCAAATGTTGTAAAATTTCAAAATGGGTGGTGGTAAAAATAGAACTTTCTACCGAATTCCCAAGGTGGGCCTTTTTTACTATTGTTTATTCCATGTGATATGTTGCGCTAATGGAACTGTTACTCTTTAAACTGGTCTTTAACTAATTATTAGATGCCTATGAATTCTTTGTAAATGTGATCGCTATTTGGACACTATAGGGGCTCTTTCAGATAGGATATAGTATTATGCTGCAAATTAAGCCCTTTTCAACTAGAATCTGAGAAAAACAAGAGATTCACTCTTAGATTTAATTACAATTGCGAAAGGTGCCGCTTGTTGCGAAGCTTTACCAGCGCAAAGTCAAAATGGAACAGGTCAAGTAGAAAGCTATGTAGTATTACGATATTTTTAAGAATCACTAAAGCTCAGAAAAAAAAGCAGAGATATAGTATGTTAAATACTCTCGTCTCTATCCAAACCAACTGACGCTGCTAGTTTGAGTGAATTATAAGCAACACGCTAACAATGGCAAATTAGCGATATACATACTGTATGACCGTAAAGAAAACACAGTGCGAATTTCATGTAAACTATCTTGCCTTCGGACCTCAACCAGAATTATAGTAGTCGACGTTATTTACATAAGAAACATCTAAGCCACTGCACCAAATGAACAATCTGTCTATAAAGTAACTCGAGACACATGAAGGCAAAATACGCCAAATGTTGGAACGATTTTTCATTTAATACAGTGCTCGTTGTTAACAGTTATTGACGATTCTGTACTGGGTTTCTTAGACGCTATACTGTATAATTTGTGTGATAATGTACAGTAAAGTAAGTAAATTTAAGCTTGATCGTCATGAACATGGTATAGTACAGTAACGAGCGGCTTAACCACAATAGCCAGGAACTCTAATTAAAAGTATATTATCGACTAGTTTCTTCACTGAATAGAGGGCTAGTGAGAAGCTTCACATTCATTATGCTTTTTCTGTTTTTGGTAACTGCTGTCCTACTGTAACAGTTGGACAAGCATTCACAAAACTCGTAGTAGGTTTTACAATTAAATTAAATATGACACGCTAGTGTAATCCACGGTATGAGGTTATAGTATGAACTTTTTAAATATTTTTTTACTTGTCGGGAAAGAGTAGCTTACAAAAGTGCTAAAATAGCATATTTATGACGTGGTACAATAAAACTAGATAGCAGTTGCAACCTGAATGGGCGAGTCCTTCAGAAAAATGCTGTAGTAAAAGATTACAGAACTGAATGCTACAAGCAATATATCGAGTCGACATAATCAGGGGTAGCATGTACAGTATGATAGAACTGGTCAATCTATGATTTGTCGTTGGATTTGTGACTATTTCTGTATAAAAGCAGGAAAAGCTGCTAAGAAAATAATATTTTCAATAGTTTCAGCTGCAGATATCACTCCGTTCTGCGATGTTATCTTTTTATATGAAGTTACGGGGTGGAGTTGTAACTATGAAGTTGCAGAAAAAAATTTAGACAGGGAAACTTACAAACAAACACCCAGCTATGCAACTAATGCAAGTAAATTGTAGTATATATCTAAATGTATCTTAAGAGATGACAATCAATGTTTTTTACACGGAATAGAAATTATCAGTATCCGTTAACGCTAGAATCAGAATTAGTAGTCATGCGTTTGTCCGCCAGTACGAATTATTTGTGATTCGTAAAGCTGGAGTATACTACAGCAAAAGTTCCGCGTGGTAGTTTCTGATAAAAAAATCCTTTCAAATATATAGAAATTCATGCTAAAGTACTTCTTCAAAATAGCGTTGTCACTACTGTACAACGTGAAAAGAACCTTCTATCAAAAAAGAATCGGGTTGGCTATATCATTCTTTTAATTAAAAAGAATAGCATATAGCGCCACCTTGCAAGTGTTTTCTTGCAAATCGTGATTTATCTAGAACAGTCGTTGTTATCTTATGAAATAACAAATATTACAAAAGCTTATCCTTGTTGTATAGTGGTACATAAGCGATAAAAATCAATTTATATCTCAATAAAGGGTTTAAACTGATTAAGCGGATAGACTTAGTGATAATATAGCGAACACAGTAGGAGCAAAGATTACTATTACGTTTAAATATATGGTCGATAAAGTGTTGTAAATTCGATTTGACTTCGGACCGACCGGCTATGTACAACAGATTTTACTGCATCACCCAGTCAGCAGGGGTGACAAGGTAGCGCAGCACGTGCGTCTACATCATTACTAGTAATGTCGGAAATTCATCTCATAGCTAGAATAAAAATTTTCGAATCTTTTTAATAGATAACGCTAAGTAAATCTGAGAAAAAATTGCCCAACTTAAGTTCTGTTAGCGTTGCTTGGATTAACAATATGTCACAAGCGAATAGAATAAAAAGAGGTCTACATGCACGTACATGCAGCGAATCGTCTAAGACAACAGCCAAGCGCATCAAAAAAGGGTGTTATTAATACGTTTAAAGTGTACCGTGCCGTATCGCACGGTACACCCTTCAGAGCAGACTACAGGGTCAATAAAACTCAGAAACAGGTTTACCTTAAAGTTACTTTTTTAATGTAGGAAAAAGTCCTTAAATTTATCGTCTAAACGCAAAATAATTGTCAGCAATTGATTTTACTGCTAGAAGATACAACTTAGTGCCTATTGTACCAAAGGGTATCTGGATAAATATCCACATTAAAGAAACAAATTCACCTTTTCCACCGATGTCGGTAGGTGTTAAGATGTAGAGAAAAATGCCGACACCAACGCGTACTGTACACTTGGAACACTTTGTATAGCTCTGTCCATAGTGAAAACGTTCTTGTCATACTAATAACTGTTAAGTCAAGTGCTGTATCGGACAGAGATAGCGAGTTCAACAAGGAAAACTTAGTACTATGGGCAATGCTGCAAAATGTGCCAGCAACACTGGCACTATCGCGGTTCAGCGCGTAGCAAATGGTTGCAAAATCAATCATGAAATCATGATTCAAGGCGTTGAATTCCCCCCAAAATTTGCCACCTTTGATTGTATCACAGTGAACCGTCTGCCAGTCACAATCATGACTTTACACATTATAGTTTGCACTATGCACAACGACCGTATTCAAACTTTGAACCTATTAGTTTCACCCGGTACAGTACCATGCGTGTGTGTAAAAGGGAACTTCTGATGCAAGAATGCTATCTGGCCCCGGACATCCAAGGAGTAACTTTTTAAAATTTACATTTGTAAAATAAAAAATGAAGTAGTTCAAACGATGTACTTACATCCAAATCGCATTTAAATTCGGTGTCGTCTAATAATTTGACTTTGCACGTTGCCCTCATGTTGATGTAGTTAGTTCAAGCCGTGTAACGTATTTTGCAAAAATGGACAAGACAAAGCGCTATGCCGCACAACCAAACTAAGAACGCTCGGAGATAAACGGCGGGTAAGACTGCTGCTGTCCGCGTCGAGTAACTGTGTGATCACGTGCCACCGAACGCGGTGGCAATTGTTAATGATTGGCTAAAAAGTTAGCGTCAGTTATGACATAAATCACTGACTGTTAATACAATACATTACTGCCCTGAGTACAGTACTGTATTATCACCGCTGTGCCATGCTGAACTACAGTGTACTGTATAGTATGTACACAGTGCGATCGTGTGGATGATACAGTACAAAACATGTTAATACAAAATAGTAGAGTACAATACTGTACGTACAGTACAGTACAGTACAGTACAGTATTCAAATAGAAAAGAACTACAGTACAGTACTGCACGGATATACTGTACTGTACACTGTAAAGTACAGTGTACTGTACTGTATAGTATCGTATCGTACACGAATACGGTGTTTGATTACACCGTGACGGTATCATGCTCTATCATAGAAAAATCGTAGAAAAGAAGACCAGTAAGGAGTCCTTGATCCTAAAGTACGCATAGAAGGAAGTAATGCGGTTGCATGCTTTTATAACTCCAATTATGATTAGTGGAATTTAAATATGTACATAAATGTTCAATGCTATCAGACAAGTCAATCATTGTTTATTATTGAGTCATAACCAACAAAGAAAGAGGTATGTCGTTAACAATACAAAAAATAGTTGGTTAGTGTTAAAAAAGTATTGTACAAACACAGTACAGTACACTACTGTACTATATACATGCATATGCCTGAATACAGTTACTAGTTACTACAATACACATGAACTGTAGGGACAGCCATTTGCAATACAAAATCAAGACCAACAAAATTTGTACATATTCGCAGCCTTAAGCCTCGCTTTAACCCTTAAACTACGCTAACCCTAACCCTAAGCAGGTTCTTGAATCAGAACCGTACCTAGACTTGCGTTTCAGCGTATTTTTACTGTAAAGTACAGTACAGTACTGTACTGTACGTAGGTCAGTCTACTGTACTGTATCATTTACATTACATACTGTACATGTACACTTGTACAGTAACTTATATAACTGACTTAAATTGATGAAGTAATGCAATTCATTGATTGATCTTATTTATTGAATAATTTTTTTTTTATTATTACAGTACAGTAATTATTATCCTGTTAATAACTCTCCATGCTCTCTAGTGAGAATAATGTGTCTGCTCCTTTCATTCCTGAGTTTTTAAAAAGCAGCAGGGGTCAATGACTCACAGTCACCTACAGAAAGTCTCATTTATAAAGGCTGTCTGTCCTATGAAACAAATAGCGGTCACATACTGTTGTACTGTACTGTACTGTACTATAATGTCTCACTGATGAGCCTGAGGCTTGGCTATAATTCAAATAATGCTTGATTAACTGAATTTATTAATTAATTATTATAATCACAATTACCATCATTTACGATTACAACTACCGTACAACCTGTTTAAGTTCACTCGCGCTCTGAAAGCACAGCACTTTAGTTGTACTGTACAGTGTGCTGTACCATGGATTACTAGAAGTCGACCGGTTTACTGTAGTGGCCTACCGTGGTGGTCTTTTGACCACAGGTCTAGTAGCCCAAAGTACAGTACAGTACTGTACTGTACAGTACATAAAGGTAACACCTACAGTACCGTATACTGTACATTGTACAGTATATAGTACTGTAAGTAAAACTGAATGGACTTTGTCTTTTATGCACTCCTACCCCTATGTACTATGTACAGTGTACACTGTCCACTGTACAGTGTACAGTACACTCATCACTTATGAACTGTTGTACAGTACTGTGCAGTACTGTACTGACTCACGGACTCGCATTATTAAATAATAGTATCATATTTTTTGTTAGTCCTTAATTTTTTCATAGTTTTCATGTTAAACGGTTAACGTACGCAATAATACAGTATTCTGTATCCCTGTCCCAAACTACAGTACTGTACATATCTTACAGTACTGTATTGTACTGTACTGTACGCAATGAAAAAAGAACTTGAGTACTGTACTGTAATGTACAGTATTGTATTGTACTGTACTGCCCTACAGTACTGTACAGTACACTGTACAGTAGTACTGCATTGTGCAGTATGCCAACTGTTGTGTACAGTACAGTATTACTATCCAGAGTTAATACGATACTAACAACTGTATTAAAAGTTAGTACTACTGTACAGTACTGCACACGGCCTCACAGAAGTGCACAAGTTGCTCTCTAATAATGACGATCCGCCCAGATCTGGAACTTGCTGAGAAATGGACTGACTTAGGGACTAAATTAATAAAAGCGAGAGGAATTCACGGTGGCCGTTCACTGGCTAGAAATAACCAGGATCACTCTGTTGCCAAATGGTTGCAGTGTCAAAAATATTCAAAAAAAGTTGTAGTGCTCGTTTTGTGTCCAATTCGGACTGCTATATCAATTCTAAAGTCCGTAGTCAGTGAGTCAGTGGAGAATAACATTCAACATTATATTATCAACAACGCTGAAATGTACTGTACTACAGAGTACAGAGTTTTCGATGTGACTTTTCTCAAGTTGGAGCTCTGGCCTTGGTGCGCATGCGTGTTGCATACTACGTAGAAATGGATAGCGTTTGCAGCAGGGTTACAGTGTAGCCTGTTGATGCTCAGCGATTACTGTAGTAGCGAGTCTAGTAGAGAGACATTTAGTATACAGTAGATTACTGTATCTGCATAGTACTGTACAAACAGTAGCTTTTAAAAGTCGAGTTTTAGCAGTGACTTATCTCTTCTCAAGTTCTACCGCGGATACCTACTACGCATGCGTTTTATAGATTCCCGTAATAGAGTACAGTACTGTACTGTACAGTATAAACCGAAACTGAACGGTTCTGAACGTACAGTACAGTACTGTACTGTACAGTGTACAGTAGACTACTAAAAGGTTTTCTTTTTAGTAGTCCATGGTACTGTACACTGTACAGTACTGTACAGTATACTGTATAGCAGCGGGTCTACAGTAGTACTGTATACAGTACTGTAGAGATATGCAGTACAGTACTACAGTACTGTACTGTACACAGTCAAGACAGCAGCTGATCGACATTTTTCACTTATTGTATGAGTAGAGGACATGATAGCCTACTGCTAGCGTCTCTGCTGTGAACAACAATGTCCGACTTGGTTCAATTGAAACAAATTTTAGAAAATGTCGTGGTTAGTAGGCTGATGTACAATGTATAGAGTTATACGTGTTGAAATTATAATGCTTTGCTATAATAAGAAAAGGAAACTTTAGGCGGTATTGCCAGCGAATTGATAGTAGTGTAATGGATTAGATTTGATGATAGCCATGGTTGGAATACATTCTAGTCGTCATAGAAGAGTGTTTTACCTTGTAAATTAATTTTATTTATGAATTGGTTGGTATCTTTTTGCCGTTTTAAACACTTCTGCACCATTTTAATCTATAAACAGTATAGAAGGGATTTCTTCATGTCGTAATGACTACAGTGATATTGGTATTAGTTTTTCGATAGCAAGAGTAGAGGTACATTTTTAGTACTGTACTGTACATTGATCCAGTGGATCTATTTACAATGCTAATCACAGATTGTAGAAAAGGAGATACATATTGGGACATAGTTAATCATCATAATAAAACATTTTTAATTGATTGAATTATATTAGGGAATTGGCAACGGTAGTGAAGGTGCATCAGATGTGTAAGTATTGAAAATATAGCAATGTAACTAAACCTATTCATGATCAATTTGGCTGAATGAAATATCTGCTGATTGTTGGATATAAAAATAAACGTTTATCTGTACCTTCCTAACCTTTGCGATAAATCGATCCAGATATCAGCTTATCCAAGTTATTAAGTTAGCACACAATGTTATAGTCATATCATTCTTCAAACGAGTGCTTTATTACTGTATATTGCTCTAATTCTTTACGCTGATAATAGCATGAGAACTTGCTGCTGTATCTTTAGTTTAGAAATGATCAATTTTTCAAAAGCACTCACTAAACCTCAACATTAACTTTCTGCATACATCATTCAGCATCAAAGCAATTATAATGCAAAATGGAGAAATTCAATTGATATGATAACTAAAATATTTTTAGTGCATAGTAACAAAATCTTTCTGTAATATTTATGTATGGTTACACTTTATCAAGTTAATCGACCTAAGCTATTCATTGATTTCAGTTCGGAATAATATTATGACTGACTATACATTGGATTAGTTGATAATAATTATAACTAATATTTGCTTACATAAGCTACATTACAATATTTAGAACTTTGAAGAAAGTATCAAAAAGACTGTTAAATAGTAGTATTGGAAGATTGACTGTATTAGTACATATGATATTAAATGATAATCATAAATTAATATCTGCTACTCTGCTTTGTAGAATAATCCGTATTCAAAAATTTTGAAAGCTACAGAAAGTAATTATTATACTCTATCTATATCTTATTAATTATAAAATCTTCCATTTATCTAGAGGAATACTATTGACAGACATTACTGATCAAAATGGCAATCACTCGATATCACCTGTTGGCAATGGTAACATCTTTAAGGCTTTCTTCAATTATTGGCAGCATTCGCCTCAGGTCAATAATGTAATGCACTTCTAATAATAATATGCTATGGTATCATCGTAATTCAATAAGCAAACAGTGTATAGAACTGTTGATGTGGTCTCGTAGGTAGTATGCATATACATATCTTATATATATCAGTATTTTTATAAAGAGCATTATGCTTTAGAGATGGGTATAATTAGCCACCATAATGTTGCTATAAATAAATAGCGTAAACTACTAAACTACCTTTTTCTAATTTACACTCAATACCCTACAGGAATCCGATAAAGAACGTATGGAATTTATTGTCAATTATATTTATTCCAACGCCAATTTTCACCAAATGGATGCTTATTTCCAATTAATGGTGACCGCGATTGATAAGGGAGTTATTCCGGCTAGGTTAGAAATTATACGCATTGCATTAATAAAAAAATAAATCACTGTAGTACAAATCGTCTGTATCGAGTATATTATCGTGTATCATTTGGAGTAATTTTTAAAGGATAGTCAGTCCTTCAATGTATATATTATAAATCTAGCTGATTATGAAAGTGTAGCTGCAATGGCGGCAACATAATAAATCTTTAGATAAATAATAATATCCTCCACCTTTTTAATTAATAGGTCTAATAGACCGATAGTGCTATTATTTTAACGATATTATAATCAAATTATGTCGAAATCGTTAGTCCAAATTTTTGTTGTGTCTATGATACTTATAAATATTATGCCTGGATCTGTTCAATGATAGGGTTGTATGTGAGACTTTACTATCAACTCCTCTTCTTCGCTGCAATAATGATGGATATTGGAAAAATACGTTCCAATTAATCCGTGAGGTTATACGTGGTGTTGATTATAAGGTTCGTTAAATTAGATGATTAAATCATATTATACTATATAAGTATAGTTTACTGTCTTCCTTTACATATGATTACTTATCTTCTGCTTAATTTTTTTCTAATTATTAATTTAGTGTAGTTTTGTTAACGTAGTAATAGCTAGAATAGCAGTGAAATAATAAAAATGTGGTAAAAGTATCTTTGGTTGTGTTAAATTTCATTAAAGTAATAAAACTTCTATGTATAGTGTTGTCGTGATCTATTGAAAATAATCCTTGCTAAGATCTGTCAAGTTGAAAGTATAGAAAATAGAACCCAATTGCACTTGTTTCACTACGCTGTCAGGGTAAATTTTTTTCAATTAAATACTGAAAATTTGATAGTAATGCATTCTATTGCTATCATATGTAATTTTTAAATCTTTGAATACAGGTCTTGGAATATATCCTTGATCGCGATACTTGTATATTACCTGCGTATCTATCGGTTAATGAGGTACGAATGATATCGCTATCAATGGCTTTTATGAAGTATTTGATAATATTTGTTGTCTAATTTTATTGCTGCAGGTTATGGCTATTAGCCTCGATGTATTCCCACAAGACTGGGTATTAAATTAATTAAGACGTTAACCAAGTGTTAATTTAAGCTCAATTGATTAGGCCTAAATTGATGAGTGTATAAACTAGGACTTTCTCTTAACAGTTATTGACAGAAGTTATAACAAGATTCATTAATTCTTTCGAAGGATTAGCAACGATCTTGACCGAATCAGGTTCTTTAAATATCAAATCTTGCAACATATTGAAACTGTTAAGCAATGACATGCAAAATGATACTAATTAGCTAATAATTTATTCCGCTGTATGGCAATTACTGTACTATCTAAGGCTAAAACAATTATCCTATGCTATTTGAAGGTCGGCCATATTTACGTCCAGTTGTCGGTTACGTTGGAGTATTAAATAGTATGTGGAAGTTAAATCCAGGAAATTTGAAGTACGTCATTAAAGAAAGAATACCATACGACGCGGTAAGTAATTGTTAATGACTTAAGTAGCATGTATAAAATAGTATGCGTTGTTTTATTTTAACCTTTCTGGTATGTTGAATGAGTTACTTACTTTATCTTTGGAACAGGAATATCTCATGCCACAACGTGAATTACTTCGATATTTGCTATTACAACCCTATTCGCGTGAAATTATGCAGAATGTTCTCAGTGTCAGTAAAGGGGTAAGGAATAACGCAAGGATTTTGATACGATCAATTGTTATCCAAGCATTTCCTTTCGTAACTGTTTTCCTAGTTAATATGGTAACACTTTATTCATCAATTATATTTTATTCTTACTACTTTGATAATTATTGAAGACTTTCGATCCAAAGTTACAAAATAAATGTCAGTGGCCGCTCGTTGAGGAAGTTTTTGTTGATGTATTAATTACTGCCATGAGAGAATCAGATGATAGCGAAAAATCTAAAATTCTATGGCAACATTTAACTTCACAGTTACTGCATTACATATTTTTTGTGCATTCCATAAGCCTGAAAGAGTTGGTAAAATCATTACTCGATAAGGTGTGCGAAGATTATTATAGTTAATGTCAATTTTTTCTGATAATAATAATTAATATTGCGTTTTTACGTCACAGTTATATGAAATAAATTTACGTCGAGGAAGAGATTACTTGATGTGGACGATGTTGCATTGTACATGCCTAGTTATTCAGAAACAATCTGTTAGTAAATTCGAATGAATTAGATTATATTAGTTGCAAATTATATGATATTTCCTTCATGATTCTTTTTTCTAAAATACATATCTGGTTTACAGCTTGATGAATTCATTATTTTGATACAATTATTCGAATTTTTATATCCTGAGAAACGGGTGAGTTAACAATCTAGATTATTTTTAGGCCAAGATTATTACCTTATTATTGATGATCTTTGGTTAAAATTAAAATTATATTTAGCCGTTGCCTATTCCTGATTGCTCTAAACCAACTTCTGTACAAGCGCTTGCTACGGCTTGTATCTGGATACAATTATCTAAGAAGGTTCTTTTAAATTTAAAAATTGTTAGAGTTTTAGTGTAGCCAATCAATTCGTAATTGGTGTTACTTTTACAGGCGGAATTGACTAAACAGAACTTGGGACCTGTACCAGAAGCGTTATCAGAGCAATTAAAGTATGTTAATAGATTCAGTAATTAATTTTTTATCCAAAATTAGAGCCGAGAAACTATTAATTATCTAACATAAACGCTTTTCATAATAAAAGGTGGTTTATTTTTTATTTTTATCTATCGGACAGATTTATAGAGGACTGCTTCAATAAGCATCTAACTACGATCGATTATCATATCGCAATCGTCTGCAATGCATGTATGGAACAATCTATTATTGTTGTCCTACTTTCCAAATTATTTGAGAATATTTTATGTGATTGTACACGAGGATTTTTCTATTATTAATATTTCATAACGTCTTTCTTAATTGGTCAAAAAAATTTAGATAGCATAAACTCTGATACCCAATTTGTTGCTACCAATGTTATCTTGGATGCTTGCCTTGGTAACGGGAAGACTAAGGTGGCACTGCCGGGCTTAAATTGCGTTGCATCGGGAGCTACTGTACCGATATCTTCTTCATTACTAGATTCTCTTAGTGTACACGTTAAAAGCAGGTTGTGTTATTGATATCCCAATTTCCTTATTTGTATACGCTTAATTTGTAAATTTTAAACTAACGATTGGCTGCCAAACAAAATTTTAGCTTCATTTATAAGGTTGTAAACCGAATTTCGAAAATGGCGTCTACTCAAGCTCCCTTAAATCTGTCACCAGCCGTGGTTGAGACGTATAGCAGAATACTAATATGTAATGAGGTTGAACTTTTTGGTATCAAACAATTTGTTGGTAAGTTTATCGTAATCTTACGTAGTATTTGATGATTATCGCTAATCAATGACTTATATTCATTTGATATCGCCATAGGTCAGCTATTCTTACAAATAGTGAAATCAAATGCTTGGAACTTTCTTCATGCCATGTTAGAGATCCTTAGTTACCGATTACATCATATTCAAGCCCACTATAGGTTTCAGTTATTACCACATATATATACATTATCTGGGATGTCACAAACCAATACGCAACAACTACAGTTGAGGTAAAAATAATATTGTACAGTATTGATTGTAAAGTATACACTGACATGACTAATGTTATGATATCATCAAACCATACAGCATTGAAAATTCTGCGTTGCGGTTAATCTCCGGTTTAAGCAGCTGTGATGTATATCCGGAACTTTCACGTTCTCCAAATCCTGAACAGGTGGATTGTTAATGCTGTCATATTAACGCAATCTTTCTGGATAGGATAGAATAACAATCGTGCTAAATTCTGTGATATATCTTTATTTTGCTAACGCTGGAACTAGTTACTATCTCAAGAAAGTGAAGAATTGAATAAAGCATTTGTTTTAATGCTTGCAAGAGCTATGCATGTAACAGGTAAGGGACTGTAACAATATAACAACCAAGATTGCTTTGATGTCTGAGTTTGAATTAAATTGATTTTGTAGGACTAGAATCTCCCTATGGGAATTGGCTTGAAAATATCTTACGACAAATAATGGAAGCAACTCCGCATTGGTAGATCTTTATCGCGAATGAATTGATTTATAACTAGTATCATCTTATAATACTTCCAGCTTCACATTTTTAATTATACTGTACCTCTACTCTTAGCTGGCCAAGCCATACACTGCAGTGTTTCCCTGCTCCATTTAAGACGTTTTATAATACCCATCGCCATACACCAGACAGTAAAGCTACGTTGCGAACAAAAGTTGATGAAGAATATAGGACCTGGAAATGTAAGCGTCGTAATTTCATGTCGCTGACAACTAATCAGTATAGTGTATGAATGTGATGGTTTAAACTTAACTTATAATTAATTATTATTAGCAATGGGAGAGAACGAGACCGTAAATTATTTCACTCAGCAGAATACATCAAATGTGTTTTTATGGTAGGTAAAATTGATCTGCTGTGTAAATGCTTCATTATTACATGCTGCCGATTTTATATATCCATTAACTTCAATGCTATGTTTAATAAAAGAGTTAAAACATGACTTATACTTTTATTTTAGTGTCATGTGGAGGCTGCTATTGGAAACTAATCGCTTAAGTTCAGTTTGCTATCGGTAAGTTCATTATTTAAGTAATTTACGGTCATATACAGCATTATTGATACGTTAATATCTATTTTTATGTGTCAATTAGAATCCTCGAAAGAATTGGCGCCAAAAGATGGTCAAGTCATATTCGGGTTTTTGCTGACTTTATTGTATATGAGTTCTCGAGTGCTGCCGGATCTAGGCATGCTAGCAAAGTAATGGCTTACCACTGTCTGTAATTAGGTTTTCTCACCTTAATAACCAACATTAACGGAAGCGATTTTTACTAATTATTTCCTGTAGTGCATCCAAATATTAAATGATTTAATATGGAAGTACAATGTTGTTACACTGGATCGCCTGATTTTGTACTTGGTAATGTAAAACTATTTCAAATCTATAGATATAGCAGTCTTATCAGGTTTAAATACTGATTATTTAATAACTTGGTTACAACTGAAGGCTCTCCGCAGTCATGAAGGAAATGAAGCTCAAGTTTGTTTCTTTATCATACAATTACTCTTACTGAAACCTGCTGAATTTAGAACAAGAGTAAATAGCTTTGTTAGAGATGTAAGTATTTATCTGTTATAGTTTATAAATATTAGTGTCGTATAGATTAATTTGTATCATGCTGCAGATTTAAGTTTGAAATCTAAGATTCTCCAACTGAATTTGCAGAATTCTCCGTGCCATTGGAAACAAAATGACTATTATGAGAAGCACATGAATTACCACCGCGTATGTCTTATTGTCATAAATTTGTGAAGAACAAGTTTTCGAATTTACTCACTGGATTTACTTGAATTGGTTTTTTTACTACAGAGATGGACAGAAAAATTTTACTTTGAAGGATTGCAAGAGCTATCGCAAAGTTTGCCTACTTCTGTCAACCACTATTTACCCATTTATTTTGGAAATGTTTGCTTACGTTTCATTCCGGTAAATCTGATCCTATACTATGTACGGTCTGTGCGCCCTTCTATTTATTAATAGGTTAAAAAATTTTTATTTAGGTATTAGATATCGTTATTCATCGCTTTATTGAAATGCCGCCTGTATCTAAAAGTTTGGAAACAGTTCTTGATCATTTAGGCTGTCTTTATAAATTTCACGGTAAGCTTAAACTTGGTACTACTATAGATTATTTGTTTCTGTAGTAAGCATATTTAGTTTGTAACATAAAATACGTATTTTAACGAATATGCTTCTATATTGTGATATAGATCGACCAATTACTTATTTATATGATACCCTGCATTATTATGAGAAACATTTGATTAACTATCCGCAAATTAAGAAAAAGCTAGTTGGAACAATAACTGGTAATTTCCATAAATATACGATACAATTTTTATTACTGTAATTAAATGAGTATGCTATAGCTATTTCTCCCATTAGTATAGTTGATAAATAGATATATGAAAATATAACATGAGCTCTGATATCGTTTCAATAAACAGCTACTGAACGTTCTATCTACCGCTACATTTGTAACCATTACGATTAATAAGTAAAATAAACATATTTTGTTTATTTAAGGTGCTCAGCGAGATATTCATGCAATTGGATGGTATGTATAGTATTCAAATATTTTATGCTGAAGTACTTGCTTTATTAAATTATTGAGTTAAAAATATTTCTTCATTCTAATGTTCAAGTTGTTATTATTTTTATTGCTTAGGTATTTATCGGATGGTTTTCAGAGTTATTTAAGCCACGTTGAGGAGCCTGACAGAGAACCATGGAAGCCGACAAAAACTTATTACCAGGACCTTGTGCGAAGACTTATTAATGATATCCTATTAAATCCTACATTAGTTATCAAGTGCTGTATAAGCGTTGGTGATACATTAAATTATAATGGCTTAATTGTTTTTTTATATATGTGTGCATGCCCTTAACCTTTGATAACTATCGATGGTAAAGAATCTCAGTCTATAGATTGCGATTGGCGGTTTAACGAGTTTGCTAACGCTGCATCTCATTTTCTGTACACATCATGCGTTGAGTTGCTGGCTCTTCCGGTCACTGGTCAGGATGTTGGTAGAGCCTTATTTGATCTTGCTCCCTTGAAGTACGTTCTGTGATATTAATGAAGTTATTAATAATAATGCAGTTATAATAAAAATGACTAAGTAGTAATTTAAAACATTTTTATCTTTATAGCGAAAGCTTTGAAGCTCGTTCTTCAATTATGTCGTGGATTAATGCTGTGGCATTAATATTAGTTTCGTTACCGGTAAAAATGCATAATTATAGATTTTCTATTTCCACAGTATATAATGTTTCATCAATCACGAATTGGTTATAGATAGTTGTGAGATATTTAATTTTTCTTAAAATTATTAACGCACAGGAGACATATTGGAATGTAGTATATGAAAAAGTCTTAGAAATTTTGAAGACCGCAACGCCAACTAATAGTGGCAAGAGGAAATTTCATTCGGCCTTTGTTGATAACTTTACTTATAATCAAACCAAATATAATTTCTTACACCATCACCGATTTATGTCGGAAAGCTATCCGAGTTACGTTTTAGCAATGGCACACGCTATTTGGCATCATTCCAGTATTGGCCAACTAACGTTAATGTTACGGTATATATTAAACGAAAGTTTTCATAATAGTATGAAATAATATTGAATCTATATTTCTATTTAATTCATAGGTTAAGTTTTATTGAGATTTCTGTACTTTATGACGTAATCTATATCCTGCTAGGTTTCTCAAAGATAAAGTAAAGCCTATTATTCAAACAGAAGAACAGTTTATACTTGTTTGTCATTTAGTGGGACCATTTTTACCAAGATTTCACTTAGAACGGACTCGTAGTCTATTAAAAGTAATGCTTGAAATTTGCCGATTATATTCGCGTAGCTGCCCTTTAGTACAATATAACATCTAATTGATCGGTTGATGCAAGTAACAAAACATTGTATAATTCGATATATTCTAGGTTGTAGTCGATCTATACGAAATGTTATTGATCGTGGATCAAACGTCGCCCACTATGAATTACGTGGATACCATTTGTGACTTTTTGTATCCTCTTTTCATGTCTTACATCACAATTTGCTTTTATAGATGTAAAACTCTCTTTCATTCATTTTATGTTTTCGAGTAATTCCTTAACAGTGCTTTAATTTCCAGCTATCATATTAAATACATGTTTGTTGGAGATAGTTTAAAAGAAGAAGTTGACAAAATTATCCCGAAGCTTTCTTCACCTCTAAGGCTGCGACTTAGGTTTATGACAACTCAGCAAGTTGGTGATAAACAATCTCTGAATGTAGAATGGTCACATTAGATATTCCTACTAAATATTTAAATATTGGTTTCTTTGGTAAGATGTAATAATTTTTAATTTAATTTTTTCTGATGTTAAAATGATGTACAGACTTATAACATCGGTTTCTACGGTAGCAATTACGTATAGCCAACGTCAATTCTACTGTAGTAATCATTCATCACACCTATTTGAAACGATTTACATATTAGAATAATCCGACTTGAGATTTCTTTTCGACTTATTATGATTTACGATCGGCTAGATTTTATTAAAAGTTTATTAAACTATTTAGAAATCATTGATGTATCATCATATTCTTCAATTGCTTTAACATATGTCATTTGTCCTGTTTCAACATCGAAATTGCCCAATTGTAACTCTAATATCATAGAGCTCGTCGTTACCGATGTAATTATAAGATTATAAATAAATGTTTATCAAAATGCTTACATCTGATCTATGCATTTGTGGCAATAGAGTATGCATCGTCGAGAAAGTTCCTTTGTTTAATATAGCTGTTCTTATTTGGAATGTTTATCAAATTAAATTTATATTAACATCGCTTTCTCTACTCTTTAATCATGAGATTTATACTTGATCATCGAATAACTACTGAATTCGACAACGATATCCTTGGTGTAATTAGTTACGCAGTACATTTCTATCATGCAGTATTGATGTCGTATTTTAATAGGTAATATGCACATTTAAAATAGCAATTTTAGTTATAAAGATTTTTCATAATTTATAATTTTGATTACGATCATCATCACATTATCGAGTTAGAATTTGCTTTATCTTGTTTATCTTCAATTAGCAATCAGAAACGAACTTGTTTCATAGTCGGATAAAGCTTCTATAGAACATCTAGTGACTTTACGTCGATTTGAGATTCTTCGCAATGTTTCTGCATCTAAGGATCACAAAAAACGATCTTATTAAAATTTATGGAATTTTAATGTTCTGAGGGTGCTGATGCATTAGATGGATAACGAATTTAAGGTAGAGTTTGCAACGCGTTTTATTCAGTCGGGGCTGTACAGAATTTAGCACTCACCACATCAACGAACTTTTGCAGTTCGAGATAGTCACTGGACAGATCCAAAGCTGTTTCTATTTTCTGCATAACATCAGCATTTATTGATACTTTCATGAAATACGTTTTCAGATCTTGACTAAGGATTCGATTTCCTATTTACGAATAATTAGATTTTAGCGTTTACGAAATGTCAGATGGGTAAAGATTAATAAGAATTGGTACTTAAGCCACTGTCTTACCTTCTAATGTGCATAATTTCTTTCCTATACCCAGCAATTGATTTCGAATTTCGTCAGAATCATTATCGCTTCCATCGTTTTCGCTGTCTGAAATATCTTTAGGATGGAATTCATATGAGACGTAATTTCTTTCATTATCTTTTATTGAGTCGCTACGATCATGTTTCAAATTATCTTCGTTTGCATTTATTACATCATTTTGGTCACTTTCCTTTAATTTTGAACCGTCATGATCAGCTTGATTGTTGTTTAATTTTTCTTCATTATTATTAATATTATCGTCATTCGATATGGATTGTTGAGGGCTCTTATCATCATTATTATTATTATTTAAATCTCCTTCACTTCCCCTTCTACTACTTGATTGATCTTGAGAGCTACTTTGAAGAGTGAATGTTATGGGTTTATGATTATCGTCCAAAACTACCACTGATTTGAAAGGTAATTTAATTTTGCTATCACACATAACAGTTAAGACCTTCAAGGAACGTAAGGATATAGCTTCAATTATGTACTCGTACTGATCGTTGGCAATGTCACTCTTACGTTTTTTTAATATTCGGTCACCGGTATCGCCGTGATCACCCGTTAAATTAAAGAGTAGTCTGTCGTCCAGTATTGGATCAATTTCGATTGGCAGCTTAATTTGGTATCGAACGGCTGGCAGTGGATCTCCATTAGGACTATCAACGGCAAACTCGCGGATAATTTCACCATCATCCTCAACGGATGACAGCCAACGATTACAGCTAAAGACATATTCCTTATGTTGCACCTTAATTGTAACTTTTTCTGGTAACCATCCGTCATTTTTATTTTGACTATCGTGCGTTAAACGTATCTTATACAGAGCACCAATATCAGGAAGTTGAAGTTTAAATGTAGCAACTTGAGATGGCTGAAAGAGATCACTATGATTTCCATCTTGCAACAGCATTTCATTAGTCTTGCTATTGTTACCATAAATAACTAACTTAATTTTAGCTTCTGTACCAGAAACACTATTTGTACTGGTTTGAATGATAATGCTGTCTTCACAAAGAAATTCTCTTGTAAACGGATTATCGGCTTCTGTTTCCTTAATTTTGAGTATTATCGGAGATTCATTTCCCAATTCTTTAATGGTGATCTTAGTAATGGGCCAATTGGCTAGTATATCAGATGATGTAGAATCCATTAAACGTAAAACTACCTTATCAATTTCACCAATAGATGCTGCTTTAAACATATCTTCTCCTAAGATATCTGTGTCCTTATCATTATTATCGTGATTGCCGATCATGATTTTCCTTTCACCACTATCACTAATCTTTCCAAAAATATTCAAATAAAGATACTCCAGGCTAAATTGGTCAGCCTCACTCTTTTCAGTATCTTTTTGGTGGATAGTGCCATGAATTGCAATGTCATATAGTTTAATTTGATAGTCATCTTTGTCATCTACAGCAATTGTTACCTCTCGGACGACATCAGTTTCGCTAAACATTTGCTGCAGCGGTGGTTGGCTAAAATTGGCCGTATATTCATCTTCGGTAGCTAAATTTTGAATTTGAAACGTCTTTAGTTGCCAGTAATTGGCCTTCAGTTGCCCATTGTCTTGCCCATCAAGGCGAATTTTAAATAAATCTCCTAAGTAGCCAGTTTCTATTCTGAAAATAGATTCTTTATCAGATTCCTTAAATAGATTGTTCTCATCCAGGTCAATCTTTTCCGACCGGCCATGATCACCATAGCATGTTATAGAATAATTCTGTTGAGATTGACTCTCTGATATTAAGTCATTTAACTCAGTCTTTATTAAGCATATTCCTTCTCTGAGATATGTTTGGACGTGCTGTCGTTCATGATCGACGGATTTTTTCTTTCTCAATGTTTCAATAAAGTCATTATTACCAGATATTGTAAGGCATATTTTATCGATATTTAATTGTAAATCTTCCACGTCATCACATTCAATATTAATCCGGTCTAATTGGCCGACATCAATAGCTTTGAGATGGAATCGTATTTGGTGATTTTTGTAGTCGATGAGTTGAGATTTTTCTATATTCAAGGCGACAAATCCCTCTTCGTCACAGAGTATGAAGGGTCTTTTACCCGAGTCACCTTGGTCACCAATTATAGTAATATACTTCATTTGACCTATAATGTCTGCATTTGCATTCTTTGAGATATAAATAGTAATAATATAGTCTACGACTGCGGGAAGATTTTTCGCTGATTCTTTAAATCCTACAGGTAGTTCACCAATAACTTGACACGCATGTTGAACATTAGATAGCCAACAATCCATGTCATATCTGGATTCTTCATTAGTTGCTATATTAGTAAGAGATACACCATGAATGTGCCATTGAAAATGCGATTGAATGGCATCACAACAAATTTGCATTTTATATACTTTTCCGAGATTTCCAGTTATAACCTGGAATTCAGCTTCATTGCCTGCTTTAAATGTTGATGGATTTAAAGTTCCTAGAGCTAACGGTTCTGAAGTTTTAATATCTCCGTATAATAAGATTGAAACATCTGAGTTGCTTATTTGGTCTAAAATCAAGTCGTTAGTGTAAATGCGAATTATCCAATCACTTTCTGGGTAAAATTGTTGTATCTGCTGATCGTTTTCTATAATCGTTGTTTCTTCAAATTTGGGTTTCAACGATATTTGTTTCCTGGAGTCATCTAACCAACTGATATTAATGTATCTGCATGGAACAGGCAGACCACTATTATCATCTTGACTATCTTCATGATCGTCAGTAGTTGCTTTAGTGCAACTTAGTGTGACCCTTTTCACTTTCTGTAATGTAACTGCTTCGACAAAACAGCTTAAGCCTTTACGACCATCATTATCTATAATTTGATCATATAGTGGGTTCCAAATGATTCTTTTACCAGAGTCACCTTGCTCTCCATGAATGATCAAGTACCAATTTTGATTAAGGTTGAATCGATCATCTAGTTCCATTAATGTTATATCGTATTTAATAACTGATAGAGATGATTTGTCTTCATTAACAACAGCTAATTCACAAGCGACATCTGCATTTTCTTTATATTTAGATAGCCATCCTTCATGGGAGAATGAATATAGTTGTGATGTCGATAAGTTTGTTAATTCTATGCTGTGTAAATGCCAGCTATCTTCTTCCTTTAAGCCATCGTGTGATATACGAATTTTATACAACTGACCAATAAAACTTAAATTAGTTTGGAATTCCACGTCCTCTCCAGGCAAATATACTCCAATTAAAGGTATTAAATCTGAGCAACCTTCAGTTCCATAACACTTTAGGTAAACGTTAGCGGTTGTACCTGCATTTTCTATATCACTGGTCTTAATTAAAATATTCCAAGTACCTTCTGGGCGCAGTTCTACCATTGAAGAATCATGACTATAATCTACATCTTTATCGGTAGTCGAACTAGGCTTGAAAAGGATATCCTTATTATCGAATTTGATTACGGCTTTATCTATAGCCAAGACTACATTATGATCGCTTGATAAATGTGTCACGAACATCTTTGTTAGATTACCTAAATCAACAGCTTGCAATCTAAACTGTACAACGCTGTTGGAATCAATGGTAGGATTGGATATAATTCGCTCTCCCAGATCACCATTACTACCGAATAATTGGATATTAAACCGGTGATCTGATTCTAAAGCAGATTCTTGATCTTTCAGAAAGACTGTAACTTCATAAATTTCAACTATTGAAAAGAAAGCAAATAATATTTCAATTACAAATGTATAGAATAAGTTAGCATACTTACTAAACTATGATATTCAATAATATAGTAATAGAGTAATGTAGAATTTCGTATCATTATCTAAAAAATTAAAATTTAACTTCTTACCGTTTAAGTGAGATCCGTTGCTAGGATCAATAGCAGGTAATTCTTGGTATAGATATTCAGCTTGGAGATCTTGGTATTGTGATAGATGGTCAACGGCAAATTGATACTTTCTGCCGGTACTAACATGAAGCAAATCCAACGCTTGGACTTGCAAAGGTAGACTACCAATATCATCACTAGTTTGCAGTCGAACTTTGTAGATATTTCTTATATCCTTTACCTTTATCTATACATTTAATGGGAGATATTTTATGAATGGGTAATCAAGTACGTAAGTAAATGTTTACGTTTACACGATAATGATGCTTAAATTAGCAGACACTTACCGGTATTTCTTTCGCTACGTTATTTACGATTTGTAAATCTTGTAGTTTTCCAATTTCCGCTAAGGTCGATTGGCCATCAGTTCCATAGCAATTAAGCCATAAAATACAATTTGAATTCGATATCTTCAATGCGCAAAGATTTAACAACCATTGATCTAAACAATCAATTAGGAGTTCTTTTTAGAAATGATGATTGCAAAAGTAAAATCAAATAGTAAATTTATTACGGTATACTACAACTACGGAAACATAGAATTATAAATTTATCCTTTGCTATTTACCATCTGGATGGAAATCCTTTTCATAAACAGAATTATGACTGCTATCTGTGGATCTATGTATTTTTAAATCGATGAATAAAATAACATAGTTTATTTATATCGCAGATATGATCTACAAGGTAGTACTCAATTAATTATGGCTAATGCATTACGCCTTAGACAAATATTTAATCAAGAGATATATGCTTTATTGCATGATAAATTTATATTGAAATCTCACTTACATTTTGTAAAGAAAAGTTTTTTCCTCGTAAGGATTTCTACTATCTCGCAATACAAGTTTTTCGATAGGCCAAGACCATTCTTTAATAAGATAGTTAAACAAAGATAATATTTGAAATTTTAAGTTCATTCTGATAAGCCTGTATTGATAAGTTTGATATATTCTTAATTTCACATACCAGTACTTTCATTGCTGCTAGTGAGAGACAGGTGGGCCTTATCTAATAACCCTAGAGCGACTGCTTCAATAGTAAATTCGGTAACATTATCGCCAATCGTTTTTGGTGAATTCGATAAAGATCTAATTAGTTCCCTTTCTCCACTATCACTGTTATCTCCATAAACAGTTATAACACAACTTGAAAGATGTTCAATAGCGAACCCTTCACGGAAATGTGCTTGTATAAAATATGTTGTGTCTATCATTCATTTAAAAAGAAAATACTTTAGGAAAAACATTTACACAGTGACGACGTTCTGAAATCGTAACAACAGTAACCCGAATGAATTTTAAAGCCGTATTGCTACATAGCGTATTAATACAAGAAAAATATGTTTACGCGTAGGTGTATTTTGCGATCATGCAATTAAAGATCTTAACATATTTCAGGAAATATTATATAATAAAATAAATTTAATTAGGAAGGTTAATACGATAAACTCACTTATGGATTCAACAAGTGATAGTGCTCAATAGTTATAAGTAAACGATGTGCTTATAATTTAGTTTCGATAAGGTAGATAAAGTAAACTATAAACTTTTTAAAATGATCCTAGAGTTACAGAACTTTATTTAGGAATGCACTTATTTGGTTAGCGCATAATTTACAATAATGAGAACTCTATTTTATATTATATTAATTAGCAAAATGCATATTGATAATTTAACTTTGTTCTAGTCGACTTATACAGTGCATTAGAAATTTAATTGCCTTTATTAATTGATTAAAACTTATTGTTTTATATTGATATGCAATACTAATAATTAAATAGTCTCTGATTCTTTTTGTAATGCTTAGCCTCATCCAAAGAAACTTACTTGTGTATAAGTCATCTTCGTGAGAAACTGGTAATTCACGAATAATTTCGCCATTGTCTTCATACTTTGATATCCATCGATTTGACTTAAATTCAAACTCTTCCTCCGTACATACGTTGAACAATTTAATATAATCAAGATGCCACCCATCATTCTTATTTTGGCCGTCGTGGCTAACCCGTACTTTATAAGGTCTCCCAATACTTCCAAGATAGTTCTAAAATACCGATGTATAATTGTATCATGTATACAGGACTATAGGTCAGTAATTTGAAGTTATTAGAGGTTAAACAAAATAATTTTTGAAAGCTTATAGCCATAATTTTAAAATGTAATAATTTGATCAGTCCTGGGAAATACCTTATATTGCGTTAGCTTTCCAGCTGAAAATGCATTATTTTTAAAATTATTTAAAGATATTTTGTCCGTTACACATTCTGATCCATAACAAATGAGCTCGATATTAGCTTGCGTTCCTGCATTCCTTATTTCACTTGTTCTAATCTTAATCAGCCAGTCGCCTACAAAAATAAGATTAAGTATTGTTTCAAACTTAATTTTGTTATTCGTACTGTGTCGTATTTATGTTTCAATTGTTATAAAAGGTATAAACTACTATACTAACCTTCCGGATAATATTTTTTACTGGAGGAATGAGGGTCTAGATTACTGCAATTATCAAGGAGGAAAAAACATAAAATATTAGCATTTTTTATTGCACGATTACATGCTGATATAATGTAAATGTAAAATAATGGAAGATCAATCCAATATACGTACATTTTGCTCTTCAATACAACTGTTCTATTATTTGTATCACCAAATTTTACTACTACTTTGTCGATGAACCAAGCCGGAGCTAGATCATGATTATAGTAAGAACGTGTGTAATTATAATAACTTTACGATATCTTTAACTAATCCGCTTGTTAATTAATTCATTAATAAATTAACCAAATTTGAATAAATTTGCAGTTAAAAATTAATCAGAAATATTTTTGTAATATATTGCATTTTACTGCAAAAATCTATTAAAGTATTTAATATTTTACCATTTAACGACTCGCCATATTCCAGTTTTAACATTTTTAATTGACTTAAGTCGACCGCATGAATAGTAAATTCGTTCGCATAATTAGATTTTAACTGTGTCCATGGCTCTGCTAACTTTGCCAATACCCTAGGTCCGCTATCTCCTCTTTCTCCATACAATGTTACATATAATCGTGTTTCGGAAAACGATGTCGGTACTTCATTTGTATGTAATTCAATTACATAAGGTAAAACTATTAACAGTATAAATAAATAACAAAAAAAGTCAAAAGCCTATATACGTTACGTTTTATACCGATGGAAGCAGAAATCGTATTTATATTAAGAGGTGCACATAAAATTAAGTTAAGCAACCGAAAATTTTAAAATAGTTCTTGAATTTATGAAGATATTTTAGTAAGCGAGAATCTTAATTTGCTACACAATGCAGTTATACAGCAAAAAGCTATAGTTTATTTTGTACCGGGCAATAAGTTTGATTGAATCTCTGCTGTTGCTAATTCAATCCATGTTTCACCAGTGCCTTGATAGTGAGATAGCCAGCTCTCAGCCTTGATAACATATTCTTCTTCTGTACATAAATTGGTTAATGTTAGCGCCTGAAGATACCAACTGCATTCACTTGATAACTCTGCTTGGCCAATTCGAATTTTATATATATCCTCCAGATAGCCTAATGGGATCTGTATTGATATAGAATTCTAATCAGAATACTTCACATTAACTATATTATAGCTTAACAAAGCTTAGAAAAAAATTAGGAAAGCCTTTTTCAGTAAGAAAATATCGGACTGCGATCAATGATCTGCACTGCTTAGAAGATTTATCAACATTACTTCTATTTATTGTTAAGTTAATGATTTTTTCTGTGTCGGCTTATGAGCCCTAGTAGTATAATATGCATTTTACAGGATAATCATAGTACAGTATAAGGTAAATTTATCGACGTCTACTCAGAGTGTTTATAATTATCACAGATTACGTAGGACTAATATGACGAATAATAGAGCTATTTTGTACTTTATTTCATGCTTTCTAACCTTAAATTTGACTTCTTTATTGGGATGGAATAGTGAACTGGCTCCATGTCCTAAAGGAATTATGCCTGAATTCGAATTAGAACCGTAAGCTATAACTGCAACTTGCGTATTTGAGTAAGAGGATGAAAAATCTCCAGTCTTTATGGACAGTAACCATTCCCCTGCAGTAAAAAATTTTTTCTTAGTAGTAGTTATGAGACGAACCTATTCTTACGTAATAAAGTGAAGTTTCAAGAAACTGTAATTCGTGTTGTATTTTTGAGAAGACACTTTATCACACAATTACATTCTAAATTACGTATAATTTTAGAGCGGCGTACAAACCACTTCCAATTACTAGAGAAGTATACTATTGTGGATTGATTATAATTATCATTGCTATATTTTAAATACAACGAATTAAAAGTGGGGTGTCTTCTTACTGTTTGGATATAGGTACGCCTCCGGACCAGTAGTATAGGAAGACCTAAAATAATTGAAGTTAATGAAGGTATAGGATTAATATATATGTATCAACGAACGATTGTGATTATGAAGTATTCTTCAATTTTTAAACTTGGATACTTTTATACGCATACTTTTTATATCCAAAAGTGACTTCTTCCAATTGGTCATTTATCTTCGTTAAGGTTGTAACTACAACCTTTCTAAAGTGAGATTTTATATCCTCTGAATGATTACAAATGAAATTTTTGTGTTTAGTTAAATTGCCGTAATTGCAATATATTTGCACAGTTTATATATAATACAAGAAAATATTTCTAAAAGATAAAAGACTCGATGGCTTTTTATATTTTAATGCTCAAGTTCGAACAGAAAAAATTACCTTTATCAGAATTTTTTATGCCCATTTGCAACTTGTCTAATTGACCTAAAGATGTAGCTTCAATAGTAAATGTGTCAACCTGGTTTCTTCTAAACTTAGCTTCGTGTTCAGAAAGTAGTAACAAACGATGACCACAATCTCCATGTTGCCCATAGAGATTAATCCATACTTGTTTTTTACCGATCAGTCCCTTATCGGTATAGACGGTAATTCTATAGATAACATCTTTAATTAAATAAACAAATATTAGTAAAAAATAGATGCAATATGGATAGATTCACTAAGAGTAATTTGGAAGGTTGATATTCGGATCTTTATTATTATTACTTGGAAGTTTAAACTGATCATCTATCTGCACTGATAGTTCACGACAAGTATCACTATCATCGGCATATCGTGACAGCCATCGATCGAAATGAAAATTGTAAGTTTCTTGAGTAAAAAGATTAATCATTTGAACAAATTCCAGATGCCAGCTTTGTTCTTCGAGGACTCCATCATGCCCAATTCTTATTTTATACAATTCTCCAATGTCTTCAAGATGAACCTAACAAGATAATGCGAATTATAATTTTTACAGAAAAGTCCCAATAAATAATAAATTACACGGAATGGATGTATCTTAAATACCCTTTTAATCTACGTTAAGACAATTTATTATTCAAAACCTATTACCTTGAATGACGATAACTGATTAGGAGTGAAATGATCTTGGTCGTTATCAAAATCTACTTGAGATTTGCCGTTTAAACCGTATGCAACCAAATAGACGTTAGCGTAGCTTCCAGCCGATGGCATATCGCTTGTTTTAACTTTGATTTCCCAATCACCCTCTAATATGTTAAAAAAATCGATTAATAAGGATAGAGCCATATAAGCAACAGCTATCTAAGTAACGATTTTATGTTGCATGTAAATGCAGTTAATTATTCCAAACTTACCTTTGACAGGTTCAGGAGGGGTTTCTTCTATCGGTTCATCTGGTGTTAAATCATCTCTTGCCCCGTTTTGATCAGTAATTTCTTTGATTGCATCTTTGCTTGGTTCTGTGAAAGAATTAAAAAAGATGATTTACAATTCAGCGACAATGTACGTTTTAAATTGAATGATAGCCACTGCTATGTTGCAATAAACTAATGGGTTCCATTTACGAAAATTAAAGTCAAAAAAATATTTAGATATCACTAGATAAACGAAATTTAAATCATTTAATACCTTGAACATACAATTCTCTTTCAATTTTTCCATCATCTTGTCCTTCATCTAACCATCTATGAATCGTAAGTTGTACGATATAAGTATTCATTAACAACAGGCTTCTATAACTTAGTTACAAATGTTGTCAAATTGTTTATTACCGAAGTATTTTACTTTCTATAAATTTAACGAAAGATACAGTAATTTACAATAAATCATAAAGTGGCATTCTTTTTGTAGACGGTAATTTTGTCTTGAGGACTAAGCTATTTCTTTAAAATTAAGCCTAGCGCATGATAATTATTCAGATAATAATATTCTCTCAATAGTTACTGTACAACACTATCCTTTATCACAGTTGCAGTATTCCATATCGCGTTCGCATAAATCCCTATATACAGAACTGTCGTTTACATTGAGATCCTTTCTACTATAAATTTTTCTTTTTTATCTTTAAACTATTCTCTCATTGTGAACGTAGTCATTTAGCAAATAGAAATCTAAGCACATCTAACAGATAATACTATATATATAAGACTAACCGATGACAAGGAAACTCATAATTCTTCGCATTTTTATCATCTCCTTCCGTTATTAGGACTTTAGCTAAAAACCAGCCAGCTCCTAAAATCGTATTGAAGTAAAAAGATGCATTTGGCGGAAATAATTTCTTATACATTCCGATAACTATAAGTGAATAGTAGTAACCTTAATCCTATAGTTTAAATGATTTACCTGCACCATGTTCTGTATGACCAATTTTTATCGAAGTTAAGTCATTAAGTGATACAGCTTCGATAATAAATACATCTGTTTGGCCTTGTTCGAATTTATTAGCATGATTGTGAGAGTAAAATAATTCACGTCGACCTGAATCTCCACGCTGACCAATAATAGTCAAATAGACACGGGTATCAGTACCGCCACATATGACATCTCCGGTCGAGACATAAACGTGATAGCGTATAACTACGATGCAGAATAGAAGAATTTCAAAATAGTTAAAAAAAAATACGAATACAAGAACAATTTACCTACTTTTAAATAGCAATACAATTACAACTATTCTTATTTTTGTGCGCACGGCCGACACGATCTTTGGTAGCCGTATAGCAAGCATAATACCGAAATAGATCTATTGCATTAATCTTTTTTACCTGGCAGTGGAATTTCATTAGGTCGAAGAGCTGGAAGTTCTCGTGTAATATCTCCATCATCCTTATCCCGAGACAGCCAGCGGTTAAACTTAAACATAAGGGTTTCATGCGTAGTGATATGTCTCATCTTTAATCGATCAACATGCCAACTTGTATGCTTGCCTTGATTGTTATGACTGAGTCGGACTTTGTAAATTCGGCCAATTGGACCGAGGGATACCTATAATTCAATATAAGTATAATAAATTAGAAAACCTGTGATTCGATGCTCAAATTGTTCACGGATAAATTTAAAATGAAATCTATTTTAATGATACTTTTAAACGAAGAACTTGAGTCTTCATTTGAATATGTGAAGTATTCCATAAAGCTTCGATTATATTAATCATAGCGTTCCTCTAAATCTCAACAATACTAAATTTTGCATATATAGCCTAGTTTTGATGATCAGGACAGAGGTCGGTTTATATGATATCGGAGATTAGGGGATTTGATCAAAATTTTAATTGGTAATGAGACTGCAGTTTATCAATAGCGAGCATATTATTCTATTAGAGATGAGATACAGTAGATATTGTCGAAAGTCCAAATTAGTCATGAATCTGTAACATCTATTAACATTGAAACTCGAAACTTTAAGAAAAAAATGAAAGATACTGTTAAGATGTAAGGATGGAGAAGAATTATATCTGATTACCTTGCTTTTTATTTTTTCGTAGAGAATAAGCTACTACATAGTCCTTACAAATACGTTAGCAAGTAATTATAATATTTATAATTACCTGAAATTGATGAATATCCCCAGGTTGAAAGTGCTCTCCAGATTGATCAAGAGTAATATCAGTTGAAATACCCTCATCACCATAAACTACCAATGTAACTTGGGTGTCAGTTCCGGCATCCTCTTTATCACTTGTAGCTATAGTTATTTGCCAATCATCATTTTCTAATCCTAGTAGGAGGAAACGGATTAATTTTGGATTTCATCAAAGAAACTTATGAATCATGATACTAATACTATCATAAAACAATAGATTTAAGTTGGTAGAAAGGTACCCAGATTTTGCTTTGATATAAATGTAGCTTAATTTACAAGTTCTCTTTATCGTATTAGAATATTATCTGCTGCGACGCGTATCTCAATCGTCCAACTTCAAATTTACTTTACTAAATTAATTTATTATACAAGATTTTGTGAATATTATTATTTCAAATTCACCTTGTGCTGGGTTTGATTGCTCTGGAGAATTGACGGCATCAGCCTGATCTACAGATTTATTGTCAGGGCTCTTTGCTATTTTTTCATTGCCTTCGGCATTCTGGTTTTCTTCTAATACAGATTTTGAATCTGAGTCAGGCGATTGAGGTTCTGGAGTATAGTTTTTCTTTCCATTTTCTACGGGAATCAGTTGATCTGAAGACGAACGCATTTTAACCATCGGTGCTAAGTTACTATCTAATATGTGTAAATAAGCATAACTTGTTCTTGAGCAATAAATGACATATACAACCTTCAAATGGCATAATATCCAAATTTTACAATTTAACAACACATGCCTTTATGCAAAATCAATTCTCGAATTGTAAGTCCATCATCTTGACCAGAATCTAGCCATCTGAATTAACGAAAGAAAATGGTCACGACTTTGCTAAGAATAGCACAATGATTTACCAGTATAATCAAGCAAAAACATCTATAAGACTTGACTCAAACTTAAATTTTACTTATCAGCCACCGTAGTTTAGTGTGCCTGATTATTAATGAGATAATATAAGTATAATAATGTGGCATCTAAATTAGTCGTACCTTTGACATGGGAAACAGTACTCTAACTCTGGCTTACTCTTTTCATGAATAACGACTTTATCAAGGTGCCAACCTTCACCTGTATTATATTCAACATCCATGAACAGAACTTACATAAATAATTACCGGTACAAACAGTTTAAAATAAAGTATTACAAGTAAATACTTCAAACGATAAAATCAATTTCCTCTCTACTCTCTCTATCAATGCTGTTGTTGTACTAGATTGTACCTCTATTCAAATTATTATGGCCAATTTTAATTTTAATCAATTGCCCTAGCTGAACTGCGTCGATGCTGAATAAATCCATATTTGCACGATGAAATTTTTCTTCATTATTAGAAGAATAGTATAATTCTCTTAGACCAGTATCGCCAAGCTTGCCAAAAATATTAATTAATATTTCATTATCGGTATCGGCACCCCAAATATCACTGGTATAGACTTTAACCATGTAGGTTCGAACTATGTTCAACAAAAATTATTTAAAAAAGTATAGAAAATAAATAAGTATATTAATTATGCATCATGCGGACGAGTCGTTAAAAGTCTAATATTTAAAAGTTTCCTATTTACCTGGTAGAACCGATTGATTAGCACGAACTACTGGTAGCTCTCGGGTAATATCATGATCATCACGCGATCTGGATAACCACCGCTTACAAATAAAAACAAGTTCTTCTTTAGTTTCTTTATGGCGCATTTTCACCTTATTTAAAAACCAGTCTGAAACGTCGGTCGAGTTATCGTGACTAATTCGAATTTTATATATTTTACCGACAGGCCCAACATAAACCTATAAAAGCACCGTTAATTTAGTTCTTTTAAAGCGCCATGAATAGTGCTTAAATATTATAATTTTCCTATACATGGGTATGCAAAAGAGTCAACATCACAATTGATGACAATTTAAGGGAACTGACTAAGACATGATTACCACTATTATAACGAATGATAAATTTATCGCATGATATTGTTTTAGCAGTATTTAATAAATATGTAAACTATTGACACCTATTTCCAATGGCATGAATCGATTATGATGTGTAAGCTAATTTGACATAAACTTATTCCATGTTATAAATTCTTAGGTACTAACAGAAAATTTTTAATATTAACTATGCACTCTATAGCATTAGCTATAAACTAATTAATTTTTCAACTGAAAATCATACCTCAAATCTTTCAGTATTTCCTGGATGAAAAAATCCCATAGAAGGATCTAACAGCAATGGCTGTGACTGACCCTCATGCCCGCAAACTTCTAATGTAACTTTAGCATTCGTACCAGCTATAGCATTATCCATTGTGGATACCCATACAGTCCAGTCAGGTTCTATCGGTAATATCCAAAGAAATCAACAAGATGGTACGTCGACTTTGCTAGTTAAATATTGAAAGTGATAACAAATTTTTGTTACCTTGCTGAGGGATAATCGCAGCCAGAGTAGGTTCATCGATTCCGTTCTGCTGTACTACTTCATTATTATTACCATTTATACCTATCGAATGCTTTTTTTCTACGTCGTTACGAAACTTAGAATCGCTACTCTCATTCTGCGGTTGCTCGTCATCAGATGAACTTTTTATACCAACTAATTGGTTGAAAATAAAGAAGTTTTTAACACAACAAGCACATTAAAGCAAATATTTGAACTGTAGTACGTTTGCTTGTTAACATACATTCAACTACTTTTGCTCTAAACTGGACGTTATCATCTCCAACATCAACTTGAGGTACAATTGTAGTCATGTCTGGTTGAACGCTTAAGCACATTCCATTATATTTAACAGATTCAAGTACAAAGTATCCGTCAAAGCAATTTTTTCGAATTCGAAAATGGCATGGACGATCACCTCTACCCTGAAAGTAAAACCGCAGATATTACACGATGTATATATATATATATATATTACATGGTCTATGTAAAAATATTTTCAAAACATTCGGGCATGATAGAATACAGCATCATTAGTATAGGATTGTAATTTGCATTAAAAAATTATGCTGAAACCTTTCCATCAACTGTTCTTCCTTGCATACGGATATAGTAATCAGGATTGGATGCACTCTGGAATGCTCGAATATGTTTATCGATCTTGATGACGTTGAATATCGCTTCTATAATCATAGTCAATTTATTACAGTATGAAAAATAACTTTATACAATTAATTGAATCGTTAATGAAAATGTAGCGAACTATAAAGAAAAGTAATAACTACCTTCCTCATTGCTAGGACAGCATAATAAATTGCCATTTGAGTCAATAGACAAGAATTGATTAGCAGCACAGCTAGCAAGCATAACTTTTCCGCCATCTCGAAACTTTCCCTAAATAGAATGAGTAGATAAAATATCAATATTTTAAAATTTGTTTACTTACGCTTATATCAATTTCTTAATTTAATGTTATTATGGTTGACGAAGACATAAAAAAACTAAGAACAATTAAATTTGTACTAAATGAATAATTACTTTTAAATAGATTGAAAAGCGTGCAGCAGCACTAGAAGCAGGTAACTTAGGATCCATGGCTTTTCCGTTATTCGATATAATGACGTGGTGATCAGCAAGTTTTTTGGATTCCATCGAGGCTGTTAAATCGCCATTAATCCTTACCGAAAAGATGCAGTCAGAATTGCCTTTTCCCTAATTATTGTGAGATAATTTGATAGAAAATGGACGAATATAAAAAATATGAAATAAACAATGTTATATAATGCTACTTTTTTAAGAGTAATTACATAACTAGGAAATAAATAAATTTTATTTTCAATTTATAATTTGTCTGCTTCAATATATCGAAATCATTATGTTCTTGCTATAGTATTTTATTATATAAATGGTAGATTTCGTATAAATTAAGGCTTTACATTTCCTGACAGGATTCCTTCTTTTTTAATAGCAATGAAAGTTTGACTGACGCAATTCTTGAATGCTACAGTATCGTCTTCAATTTTAATAATTTCAAAGGTATCTAAAATGGATAGAATATTGCAATTAATTTATGTATATATACTTAAATTATATGTGCGCTTCTTCACTTGGAAAGAATGTTTCTGTACGCTATTAAACAATTCCAGTATGTACCGGTATTAAATGGCATAAATGCTCCAATGAAATTATAACTCTAGAAGTCATAGATTACGATTATACATAATTTTACAAAACTTACTGCTATTATCTTTATCATCACCATTTCCATCCAAGCCTTGATTATTTACAACACGTAGTGCCTTACGGCTAGCTTTAGAATACAGTATTACGTGATTGCCTTCTTTTAATTTACTCATTTCACAGTCCTAAATATCATTATAAATCATTTCATCGTCAAATTCATACTTTAGTTTGCTTAAAATATTTAAAATCAAGCATTTACATGACAAAACGAATAATCGTTGCTATCAAAAATGTATGACACGAAAGCTTATGATTACACCGTTAAGAATAAAAAGTTTAGTTTTAGAACGTAAGTAGACTATTCAACTCATACCATTGTGGCAGATAGTCTTGAACCTGTAAAAAATTTAAGCAAATTAATTTTTCTTCTAAGAATAAATTAATATGTATTATTTCTTTTAAAGTATTGTATTACCATTTGTTACGTCCGAATCTGGCAACAAGGTCCTTTCTGACTTATCGCTTGGATCTAACCATCTAGTAATGAAGTCGAAACATTTATTTAATTCCGGAATTAACTAACTGTTATCCTATACAACGTAACCACTACAGGTATTTATGAGATAAATCTTACTCTCTGCAATAGAATACAAGTTGATTAGCATCGCGATCACTGCCTGTTTTGAGGATAACTTTCTGCAGATACCATGCAGCATCTAAAAAAATGAAGATTCCACCTTATAATGATTATACGAGTAAAGCAGGATTCTTTATCATATGCAACACTGGTTTAAAGCCCTACTTATTTAACAGTTGTTACATTTAGTTGTATGATTACAACAATGAGTCAGTATTATATTTAAGATTTAGTTACACTACCTAGTAGGTATTGTCTACACAGATTATATTAATTATTATTATACAGTCAGTAATTACAAGGAGGAAGTAGAACGCCATTTCATGAGCATATAAAATAATCTAAGTAGCATCATGACTCTATAGGAGGAATATCTCCAATCAGACATTAATAGAGAAAGAAATATAACAAACCTTCTGCATCATGTCGATTTTCAACTCCAACAACCATATTTTGAATAGTTTTCAACGAGACAGCTTCAACGCAAAAAGAACTTATTTTTCCGTGTTGGAAAGGTTTACGATCTTTACCCTTCAAGGAACGTAGATATCGCTTTCCTGTGTCTCCTCTTTCTCCATTAATAATGACATAAACTTCAGAAGAAGTACCGGCACCACTAAATTCTCCAGTATAGACCGTAAGCCAATATTTTATAACTAAAATGTAATGAATACATTAACTTAGGACAAAGCCGTATGGAATATCGCCATGCTTAATCAACATTTATTACCAACGCTGTGTCAATCTATGCATTGAAAGTTATTCAAGACGTCTAATAAATTGAAAACTCTTTGATATTGGTTAAGACTAGATTATCTAACCGGTAATATTGTGAACGCTAGAAAGTAATATATACTGCACATAGTATCATTCTTATTTTAGTAATAATCTGCATAAGCTGTCCTTACGAGGTATTATCTTCTGATTAGGTCTGAGAACAGGAAATTCCCTTTGAGTATTTCCATCTTCGTGATAACATGACAGCCAACGATTAGCAATGAACGATAAATCTTCGGAATCGTCTCTTTTTCTTAGCCTTACCTACATATTCAGGAATATAAGTAGCTTTTATTAGTTATAATAGTGATTGATAATATCATCCTCTTTTTGAAGCAGTTCAGTTCTGTCTTTAATTTTTTCAAAATTAAAATAGCTTCTCAGAATCGATATCGGTTAGATATATATTTTTGATAGGTAGATATTATTGAAGCTTCATGATACTGTTATTAATGTTAAAAAAATAGGGCTATTTGAGTCAATTAATGAACTAATCTACTTTACAGTACTTAGACAAGTGTTCAAGAATGTAGTACCTGAAGTCCAAGGGTATAAAATATTATTACAATTGCATGTACCGGTATTACTAGCTAAGCAGCAGGAGTGAAAATTCTCGTTGGAGAATTGTTTTGTTGCTATTACTTAATTCAGAAAAATTTTGAAACATGCACAATTTTTTACTACGTAGTTAATGTAATAGTATCTCCTGAACTATATTCAAGAACAATAGTGAAATTTTATAAGTAAAGGAATCAATGAGGGGATTGTCATACGAATGTGTAGTTACAAAAGTGCAACTAATGACAGGAATGGAAGATGTCAAGGCCTTTCCTGACGGTGGTATATCGACTACGGTAATTTATAATCTACCTTGTCGCTATTTACTGGGCATATAATTTTACAGTAGTCAAAACCGTCTTTGGCGAATGAAACATATTATGCATCTCTTCGGTGCAACCTGCCGTACACTGTAAAACTGAAACTACCTTTAAAAATTAAACAGTTAGGAAGTTCAGTCTATCTTTTAGATGCAGTAATCTATGATCTAAAAACGTGGGTGAATACTGACTGGTCTTGTATCTAAATTATCACCTATACTAGCTATAACCGCCTGTTGCAAATTGAACCTACTGCTAAGCCAATCTTGTTGCAACTAGTATAGCTTATTTCTTACAATTAATCTTCTTTAATTTTGTAGGTTAGAGTTTGATATTAATACATGTTAAGGAGAAAATTAATTCCTTCAATGCTCAACATACATTTTGTAATAGCCAGCTGTCACTTTTCTTACTGCTATAATGACCAATACGTATCTTATAGATTTTGCCAACATCCCTGAATGATACCTTTAAAATAAAATAAAATTTACCAAATTTAGCAAGTGCAGGCATGAAGTGGAATAGTTTCGCAGTACAATTAAACTTTATAGCATTGATTGATTTCTACAAACCAAATTACTCTGGGTACTTGAAGAAGGAAAACTGGAACCAATCTCAAAGGGTCCACGACTCCCTTTATCGCCATATACAGAAAAATAGACTCGAGCATTGGTTCCTGATGCCCTTTTGCCATTTGTTACGAGGGAAATTTCCCATTGATCTATACGATATGAGTGGATTGATGTAATCAGTATAAATAATGTAATACTACTGTAAAGCTCTCTATTCATGTCGATGCTAGCTAGGTCATATATCATGTTTTCATTAAGGTGATCAATATTTTAGCTAAAGTAAATACATTCATTAACGGAGAATACGAGTACATGCAACATACTCTTTAGTACAAATCCTTTCTTAACAGGAGGTTCTTCTATTTTCTCATCTTCTACCAGATCTGTATTATTAACATTTTGCGGTGGCTTATCTACCGTCTTTCGTGGATGTTGCTGGGGCCGAGCTTGTTGACGTAGTTGTGGTTGTTGCTGTTGCTTTTCCTCTTCTAGTTGTCGTTGTTGGTGATGTTGTTGTCGTTGCTTTTGGTGTTGTCGTTGCTGTGGATTATGTTGCTCACGAACTTCAGGAGATGAATCAGAATCACTCATGACAATGACTTGCTCTTTCTTTGCTCTCTTATTCCTTTGCTGCTTTCGCTTACGAACTGTGCTTGGTTGCGGAGGCGCTACTGATGCTACTGTCGCTAATGGTACGAGTGCTTCTTCTCCGCATAATATATACTCAGGCGGGCCGTGTATTAGATCGGATATTCCAGAAACCTAATAATTAAAAGGCCCATCGTAATGCGAAATTATTATATCTATTGCTCCTTCATTCTTGTTTTATATAATGTAATAACAGTTAAATCATTTAATTGATTAAAAAAAATTTGTAAAATGTATTTTTACAATATATAAAATAATCAATAGTAAAATTTAAAAACTTTTCACTTATACAGTACATCATGTAGGTACGATGATATAGCATGGATATAGCTAGTATAAATGACATAGGTAAATTTGGAACCATTAAATACTAATTATACTGCTCTATTATAATATCCAATCATATCAATTGTCAACATCATCAATATTTTAGCTACTGTCTTTATTAATCAAGGTAGTCCTTTTCTCATCAGTAAAGCATAATATAAATATAAGCGTCTCTTTATTTAGTAGAACCGTTCCTAATATAAATACAGTACGACATATCGATATAAGTAGAACTCAGTCGATCGATGCTTAATTTATTATTATGCAATACTACTCCAAATATAAGTGTGGTATAGCAGCAGAAATAGATGAATTATGCACTGATATGATAATTGATACTATTTTATTATGCATTAGTTGATCTCTCATTTCTATAGCTAAACTATAGTAAGGATAAATTGACTTATTTTTATACCAATACCAATAACGCGTACTATAAAAAACATTAAAAAAAAATGAACTGCATTTTCTTTTACTTGCAACAAGGCTTACCAATTTACCCTCAACGGTATATAATTTATGTTGACGCCCATTAACTTTCAATGAATTTGCCATGTCTTTTACTATGGCCTCATATGATTGCATCGTTCGCGGGTTAAAAAGGATTTTCACCTTATTGTGTGCGGCAGCACCATTTCGATAGATAGTAATAACTTTTGGGCGAACGTCTCGGACTAAAGTATTCACTACAGCAACTGCTCTGATTTTTTTAGTCCATGCAGGTACCGGTTCTCCTATTTCTTGTCGCTTTACATTGGGTCCAGTAGTATAACTCCATCCTTTACGTTGTTTCGTTTCTGAATATTCTATCTGTTTAATTTGTTTCTTAGACGAACAAACGTAGCTTTTGCCATCTTCTAACTGAGTTGTTGAATAGACGTGATGAACACCAAGTGGTGTTTGAATATTTCTCACACCAAAAGGTAATGGTACTTTCTGACTTAGATCATCCAACAAGGTATCAAATGTGCGATATCTTTGACTATTTATAGCCATCTTAACTGGTCTAAAAGTATCATCGCCATCCTTAAAAAATTGTACCATGCGAGATTTAGCGCCAACAATGGATCTTTGATACAAAGGTGGTCTTGCTGGCAAGGCAGCTGGTGCAGAATTGGAAGCGAATGATGTCTTGACTTTATCATTATTCTTCCTTTTACTTTGATCCATCTTGGATAGCAGTAATCAGTAACGATCTGGTTAAAAAGAAATGGGGAAAATATAGGAAGGGATAATTTTTAGGATTGATAAAATTCACTAATAATACAATAGTCGATTTACCTATATTACTTTATAAATGGACTCAAAATAGGAATTGCGGCACTAATAATATATTCACTGTATTAATCTTTACAATAAAGATAGGAAATTAGTTAGTAATTCTATAAGATTGTTAAACGTCATCATTTGATGCTTCTCATGATTGAGTCTATCATTAAAGGAATAATTGTAAAAGTATCATTCTTCTTCAACGAATATGGATAGTAATGGCGATACAGATGTTTTTATATTGTTTTTTCTCGTTGTACACTGGTTGAATTCATTATTATGTTTATAGGATGTTAATATTTCAGAATAAGCATCATACTGTACAGTATTACTATATTATTTCATTGGATATTATTCAGTATGTCTCCTATAAGTAGTATAATTAATTCTATCATTCTTATCTGACAATACCAATCGTGAGCGGAAGTTTAGTCTTAGTGTAAAATCTCTTCAACGATTGATAATCATTGTGACTTTATCAAGATTAATATATTTAGTCGATCTCCACTAGTTTTTGGGCTTAATCAATACTATGTTACTATTCAATCCTAAGCTGATATAACGTTAAAATTCTAGGTGTATTTGGGAATATGCTTATTTATTTAAATTAAGAATCAAAATGTTATTATAAATTTAAAGCCTTAAAATAATCATTGGTATCTCAAGTTGTGATGTATACAGTACGACCAATACTTTCTATTTTAGCTAATCACTATAATAACTGCCTATGCATTTATTCGTTATTTTATTTTGATCTCTTGATTGTTATTTCATTTACCTGCTGGTGTGTCTGTTTTATTTTGGATAATTAAGGAAGATGCTATTGCCTTTCTTTAAATTGTTTAGTATTGTATCTTTGCCCCAGTCGGTGCTCTTCGTCACAGATTCAAAAGCAGCTAATAATGCAGGTAAGTGAGATAAAATAGAAAAAAAAATGATCAACATCAAGACAATTGTGAAAAATATTGGAAATAGAATGATAATCGAACGACTCTACAAGTACACCTACGCTCTACCTCCTAGCCAAATTGATGATAGCTTTAGGGGAATACAAATAATGATTGTGGTATTTTTTTTATTGAATTATCGATGGTATTAAACTCATGTTTATTACTGGTTTCGAGATAGGAATTGTTATCTTTCTTTGATGGATATCGATAGTATTGTAGAAATTAGTCGATAAGAGTGGATTATTATTGAATTGTTGATTATAAATATTTCGTTATCGCCAACAAGGTCCGCTGTTAATAATCTGCGTGTATATAATATAAATCGGATGGCGATTCTCCTCCTTGGAAGACGATGGGGATGTCGTAACCTAAGTAAAATTATTGTTCCTCGATGAATTGTTACCACAGCTATTACTAGGTAACGCGACTGATTGTATAAATTAGCATTTACATTATTATTATAATCATAACTATTAGTATATACTATACGAATGAGTGTATGTATGGGCGTTTAGTACTCAGTAAGTTGTATGATTCTGACCAGTTATCATTATTTAGTAATTAATACTGTCGTAGTTTTTACTTTAATGCTCTAATTTCTATTGTTTACATTACAATAATTGGTCTCCTAGGCAGCTAGCCTATATTGCTGTCCAGTATTGTACTGTAGGCAATGCGTATTTCCTGCATACTGAATCCTATCGATAGCCATTTGGCATAACTCCCTAGTACGGTATAGCGGTGTACTATTTCTCTTCGCCCACCCGCAGTGTTTAGAAGTGCTGTATCTCTCATCTTTCTTTGAGTAGTCCCTAATTGGATCTGCAGTAGTAAAAGATGAATCTGCAGACAGCAGTCATGTACATAAAATACGTATAGCATTTTATTATTTAGTGTCGTTGTCTTATGGCAGGTGTGATTGTAACTTTGTAAGTTGTGTTGAAGAAGAGAACTGCCCCATTGAGTTCAATAAACAGGCTAGAATGGCTTACTTATTGCTGCTCCTTCACAACAGTATGGTACTACAGTACTGCGCACCCATCCTAGTACATTGGATGATTAATAATAATAATAAAACAAGCTAAATTAAGGTAGTCATTCAAAATAATCAATAATACTCCATAATACGTAGTAAATTGTTGGACTGTACTAAGGACTACTCTGCTCGAAAAATAGTCACTTCTTTCCAGTAGTCCGACTGTACATGTACTGTACTGAATTGCTCTGTAGCTAAACTTGTCTTCTATGTACAATTGAGTGTCATATACTTTAGCCTTATGGGTGATAACGTCAGTAAAATTGGCATTGACGCTAGAGTACAGTGTACAGTATAATTTACAGTACTGTAATCTACAGTACAGACAGTATTACGACTTTCGCTGACCAAAATATTGATAGTGTACAGTATAGCATGGACTACTAACTGCGTACAGTATACTGTATTTTCGATTTATTTTCTAAGAACAAGCAAATAAAAAGAGAGCAAATTACCGTTAATAAACACTCGCATAGCATGGACTACTCAAACTTTTTACTAGACTCTGCTGATAGTATCCGCGCTGCTAGCGATTACAGCATATACCGTAAATTCCTCCATGACACAGTACAGTACTGTAAGCATGGAGTACTGTATGACTATACAGTACATAATACAGTACAGCTTCTGCTACAGGAATGCACCACATGCACTTTTGTATGATAACTACTGTACTGCAGTTGGAAAGCGAGCACTATGACTAATATGACTATGAAGGGACGGATGACGTGTCCATTTCGTAGTAAATTAGACGTCATATTACGGTAGCGTCACGCGCACTCGCTGAATACACGTACTGTACAATGTACTGTACATTAGTACGTGTAATATTGTTACATCACATCGCAAACATTCAGCCAACGGTGACGTGAAAGGAGCTCCAATAACCGCCTGGCAGAAGAATCTTGATCGAAAATAAGTTATTCAAGTAAGTATTCAGGCTCGATAGGTAATCGATTAGATTAAAGAATATCAGAGCAAATCATCTCTTCGTGTCGATTTTGTAAGTAGTGTAGTATACATCAATTAGAACACGATACAACAATGTACAAGTTCACGAATAGACTGTACAACCGAAACTAGCTACACCACAACAACTGCTGAGATGGTGTCATCAGAGCATAAAATGGATTCAAGAATCCATCGTAACGATCGCAATAATGAATCAAGATTTTGTTGTACTCTTTCACATTTGCTTGATACACATCTTACCTGTTGCCTACATGAATATCACGTAGATTAACTTGATGATATGATCATCTGCTCTCTAGTCACAACTACTGTACAAGAGACGCAAGAATGGCCGATGGTATATCCGTGACTAAGGTAGCATGCGATCTATTGCAATGTATGCCTCCTAAGCAAGATGTCACTCTCTCGCCTTTGAGTATTTTCACTTGCCTTGCAATGACGTATGGTGGAGCTCAAGGAAAGACAGCCAAAGAAATGCAAAGTGTACTTCATATCGAGTCTGATAATATTCATCAAGCATTGCAGATAATTTTACGTGCTATAATAGGCTCCGACAATCAGAGTGGACATACATTTAAAGCGGCCAACAGATTATTCTTCAGTACTAACTATTCCTTGTTGCCCCAGTATCTTGACTTAACCAAAACCTTTTATAATGCCCAACCCCAATCTGTCAATTTTAGTCACGCTGCTGAAGCCGCTGGAATTATCAATACTTGGGTTGAGAACCAGACTGCTAAGAAAATCAAAGACTTAATACCTGCTTCAGGTATTAATCCTTTGACTCGATTAATACTGGTAAACGCTCTCTATTTTAAAGGCAACTGGAGTGATAAATTTGATAAAAATCTTACTCAAAAAATGGATTTCAAGATTGATAACAGCAATAAAGTTCAAGTTCACATGATGTCCAAAACCAAGAAATTAAACTACATGGCTGATATGGATATTGGATTTCAAATGGTGGAATTGCCTTACGCCCATGATAGCTTAAGCATGTTTGTAATATTGCCCAGGGATATTGATGGCATTAATTCATTATGTAAACATATTAATAGTGCAAACTTGCAGCAATGGATTGGTAAAATGTCCAACAATTTTAAAGTAAAACTATCCTTGCCACGTTTTAAAATGACGTTTGAGACCACGTTATCCGATGCATTGAAAAGCTTGGGAATGCATGACGCATTCAATGAATTAAGCTCAAATTTTAGTAAGATGACTGCGGCTAACGATCTTTATATTTCTGAAGTCTATCATAAGACGTTTATAGAAGTAAATGAAGAAGGCACAGAAGCTGCTGCAGCTACTGGAGTCATGATGATGGCAAGATGTTGTCTTCCCCCAATGCCTCCTGAAGTTATGCTAGTAGATCATCCATTCATCTTTATGATATTTGATAAATCAAGTAAAGCAGTGCTTTTTATGGGAAAAGTCTATAACCCAAAAGAATAGAGTTGAACAATAGTACTACTCCCATTTGGTTTCACTTGTTTAGTATACGACCCTATGTAAAAGTTTGTTCTTTAGGAGAAGTATATACAGATCGTTTTATCGTAATACCGAAATTGTAGCTGACCTCATATAAGGTAGTAGAATAATCCTTTATCATAGCAAGTAGAAATTAGGAAAAGGAATGAAACTAATATTTAGATAAATAATTGTAGTAAATACTGACTATTTTAAAACATAATCGTTATCACTTGTAAGCCCAAAGTAGTCAATTTAAATTAACTGTAAGAAAAAATCGTATCATTGTGAAAGAATATTCATATATGCCAGCAAACCAATCAAGGTAGACACATTTAGTTTATATCGCTGTCATGTTGTTGTTTATATTTTGTTCTTATTTGATTTAAAATAAAATCTCCGACCAAGTCTGCACTGTATATGCTAAGCATCCATCAATAAAACTTTGATGCAGATTTAATAATTTCTAGAAGTAAATTATGTGAAATTTGTTTTAAAAAATTAATCAAGATATAATGGAAGGTGTAGAGCCGTTTCAGCGGCATTTTTGGACATATCACGGGGAAATGACTAAAATACTGAGTGCTTGCATGCGTAATTTGCATAACAGCGAAGTGCATTGTAAAATATCCGTGGATACTTGTACATAACGTTAGTATTTATCTATTCGTATATGTTATAGACGTTGATGAACATACTTGGATACCAATATATTATTACCACCAGTGATCGCAGTACAGCCAGTATTATTTAATACCATTTAGGGCCAATTAGTCGACAATAATAAAGAACTTTTCGTTATTATTTTATTAAGATAAATTACCTTAATACGATCTTGGTAGTAAATAATTTAGGATTATTAACTAAGGAATTAATTTACATACTAATTATATTTTCAGTGCGCATGAGCACGTTCTACTAGCTATACTATATACGCCTATGATTAATCTTCCTCCTTAATTAATATACCAAGTTTGTACTACATGTTCGTATACAGTACAATATCACCATACAGAATTCTCTTCTGATAGTAAACCATATATGAATCGTAGATGGTAAGTCTGAGGATAGAAGAAGCTTCTCTATAAGAGTATTTGAATCTTATTTGAATTAAGTAGGAATTTGTTCAGTGAATTTATATGTAATGGATGATAATTTACTGAATCTTAGCATTGGTTGACAGCTTACTACTTAGTAACTACTCCGCCGTTTGTCGATGTATGTGTATTATGTCTGCTACAATAATGTAATAATAATAATTTCAAAAGAGGCAGCGAATAAGTGTTAACGCGTTTATAGAAGAAATTTATTATATATTACTGTAATACTAATGCATGGAAGAATAATTTACTAGTGTGGCTCATTATAATTATTATCCTATTACATCTTGAAAGAGATATATGAGATATCTACAATACTCCTACAATTACAGTTGCATCTATGTGTTATTATTATAGAACCTTCAAGATAAATTATTATAATCCTGTTGGCGATCGAGTTTGTAAAGCGAAATAGTTTCATTTTATAAACTACATGAGACTAGTTCTAATTCGGCATAAATTTAGAATTATATTTGAAATTACGTCGCCGCCTGATATACCGTTCAAGATCTAAATCGAATTTACAAATCGAAATCTAGATAGAATGGACATCACAGCTTATCAGGTAACAGAATGTAAGAATTTAGTATTATTTATTAGGATTGCTTGTCTTTTCATCAATATTATCATTAATATCTGATGATTATAACTTCATAGTATAGCTGTTAAATATACTAAATAGAGAGAAATTGCGAAGATAAAAGCCATTAAACTGGAATAAATTCACTACTGAAATGGTTACATAAAAGTTAACTGATTTGATATATGTAATGTATTCGTTTACCGATACTGTTTAGTCCGATTTGTAATGGTATGCATTTTCAACTCTGCTATGTAATCTATCAGTTTCTGGCAGCAGTATCAGCTAAAAACGTATATATATATATACTACGTAACTAAAACGATATTAGAGAAAACAACATCTTCTCATAAAGAATATCGGTTATTTCCTAGTTAGTATTGTACTACTGTACAATAGTGTGTATTGATCTAGAATAAAAGGGAAGTATTAATTAATATTATAAGAATTGGTTCATTTATGCAATCAAATTGAAAACAGTGTACGTACAATAGACTTTCAGCTTTAAATCTTTCGTATTACTATAAAATCAATCGACAGGAAGTACTTAATGGAAAACTTTATCTAGAATTTCTCTTTCCTAATATTATATTTACCAATATGTATTTTGCATCACAGATATTAGATAGCTGATGTAATCATCTTATATTGTTAGAAAACAGGTTCTCAAGTACAAGGAAATTCTATTACACAACTAGGATGCGATCTATTAAACAAAATAATCCCAAATCAAAATGTCGTTTTCTCACCCTTAAGTATCTTTAGCTGCCTTGCAATGACATATGCTGGGGCTCAAAGTATCACTGCTCAACAAATAGAAAATGTATTACATATCGAAAACAACGATCAAATGACTCATGCACTAATAAAAGATGTCTTTCATGATATAAAGAATCGAGAAGATAGACATACATGTATATTTAAATTCGCCAATACATTATTCTGTTGTAAACAATGCAGTTTGTTACCGCAATTTCTTAGTTTAGTTGAAGAGTATTACGAAGCTAAACCGCAAAGTGTAGATTTTACGAACAGCATCAAAACGGCTAAACAAATTAATTCTTGGGTCGAGAAACAGACTTATAACAAAATCAATGGTTTGATTCCAGCATCCGGTATCAATCCGTTAACAAAGTTAATATTGGTTAATGCATTATATTTCAAAGGCGATTGGAAGCATAAATTTAATAGAGACTTAACAAAGCCAATGGATTTCAAGATTGATAACAGAAATAAATTCGAAGTTCAAATGATGTCGATAACGAAAAATTTCAATTATATGGAAGATACAGATATAGGATTACAAATGGTAGAATTACCTTATATCTGTAACAATTTAAGTATGTATATTTTATTACCTAAATCTGTCAATGGTATAGATTCACTTTGCAAAGAAATGAATAGCAAAACTATAGTGAAGTGGGTATCAAAGATGTCTCGAGACTATAAAGTAAATCTATCATTGCCACGATTTAAAATGACGTATCAAACCGCATTATCTGATTTATTACGAAATTTAGGAATGATTGATGCATTTGATAACAAGAATGCAGATTTTAGTAAGATGTGTAGCGATAACGATCTTTACATTACGGAGATTTTTCATAAAGTATTCATAGAGGTAAATGAAAGAGGTACGGAAGCAGCCGCAGCTACTGGAGCTGTAGCAAGATACAAAACAAGATCTAAACGACCTCCACTCATTAAAGTGATGACAGTAGATCATCCATTCGTATTTATGATGTATCATAAATCGAGCGGATCAACATTATTCTTAGGTAAAATGTATAATCCAGCAATAAACCCTTCAGTTAGGTAACTGAAATTATTTACTAAGGTTTTTACATATTTTCATATAGTGTAAATACGATATCTACGCTGCTTCAATCGAATTTGTGATGCAAATTATCATGCTTAGAAATTACTTGCTGGGCTTAATAAAATTTAAAGAAATAAAAGTATTATCTTTAGTAACAAAAAGCGCTTTAGAAGTGACTCGTATATAGCTACGAATACGTTGGCCAAAGCTTATCTGTTTCAGTATATAATTTTTAATTGCTGGATTGCAACGTGATAAGAAGAGTAAATACGGCCAAATACTACAAAGTTACATCAATTTAGATGGCTTTAAGCTTAAAAAGTACCATAACAGCAGTTAGACATTATCTTTTTGATTAACATAATTTTATTTTCAGCCTATAATAGATCATTATATGACCAGAGTTAGATTGATACTAATAATAAAACGCGAAGAGTATCATGACGCCAGTATTAACATATTAGTAGCGATTCTAAAATGCTTATATCAAAAATAAAATTGTTCTAAAGCAAATGCTACAAGATACTCATAAAATGTTAGTTTAATCACTGAAACAGAAGTTTACAGCTATGTCTATGAAGCACAAAGAATCAAATTTCCTATTATGTGAAGGATTAGAGCATTATAGACGCAAGAGCGAGGCCTTGCTCTTTATCCTAAACTGATTAGAAAATTAAGAAGAATTACTGCATACACATAATTTTATACTGGTATTAATTATATAATTGTTGTATACGAAGATATGATAATGTAATACTATTTGTAAATAATCTTTCAACGTGGAATGCTGTCGGTATTTGAAGTAACATAATAAAATTTTAAGCAGTTATGATATCGAATTAATGTACATTAAAATTCGCGAGTACAAGCAATAGAATTTTAGGTACTGTGCTTAGGCATATTAGATGTAGCCCAAGACCTAAATAAGTAAGACAAGAATAATAGTAATAAAGAAAATATGAGCTAAGTTAAACTAAGAGATTTTTGAGCAATTTTAAAATATCTGCTAACATTTGTTAATATATATCAATATCTTTTATACAGTAAACGTAATCAGTTGTGAAATATTCGCATTAAGGCATATCATTAAGTATAAGTAATTTAATTTTGTATATTATTCATTGTCTTGTTTTTCAGTGACGTCCTTATCACTCATGAGTTGCTGCTTAGCTCGCCTGATTTTTTTTGCTCTTTGGTCCTTTTCTCGAAAACTCTTACGCAATGACTCTAATTGAGTTTTCCTATTTTCTGCAGATTGTTCCAACCTGCCTAATTTTTCTTGAGTATCTTTGGTTTGTTTTTCAGCAAATTTTTGTAAGGCATCTTGTACTTTCTTTTCACGTTCTTTATATGCCGTTGCTTTAGCAATTAGTTGTTCTTCATGATGCTATATTATAAAATGAGTGAAAGATATTCTTAGCATAGATACCGGTAGGAATGCAACTCCATTAGTAATTTATCGATAATATTTTAAATTGCGAGAGATGTATAATTTGATAAAGAAGTATAAGTATGATTTTGATAATTTATACTGTAATGAACGAGATAACTAACCTTGCGTCTTTGCATTGCAGCTTTCTGTTTGGCCTCAAGCTCTTGTTTAGTAGTCTCTTTTCGCTTAAGTTTACTTTTTTCCAAAGTAGGAAGCTGATTTGGGCGTCTTTTCTTATTATTAGTTTCAGGCGCTAGAATTATATCAAACGCCATTCCTCCTTTATTAGGCATGGATTGTTTTTGATTTGAGTTGGGTTTTTCAGTTGAGATAAGAGAATTGTACCGTTTAATTTCCGGCAAAACACTTTTAGTGCCAGCAGATTTGTGCTTTTTAAAAGTAGATCCATTTATAATAAGTTCTACAATTATAAAATAATGAAAAGTGAATATTTAGAATAGATAATTTTAATAATTTTATATGATACTATAACACTATACAGTGTACAGTCTGTACATATGGTAATGATATAGTTTATGATTTTGTCGTAATGTTCACTTTAAAAGTATCGCATAGCAAGGCAATTACAATTTAAGAAATTTTAATTTAGTAGCTGAATAAAACTTAATAGAAGGGTTGCCAATTGTACAATCAACTCTTAATCACATGTATTAACCATATTTGCGTTATTTTAAAGCTGGAGCAATTTTTCTTCATTATCGTACAATATATAGCACTGCATGTCCATGGAAATCATTGAGTTGAAGAATTGGTAATTTAAAGTTTGTTAATCACATATTCATTTACCTGGTGTAGACGGTCGAATTTCTAGCTCTTTCGCAGTCTTTTCGCTTAACTCAGTCTTTTCTGTAATAATTTGCTTATCATCCTCGTAGTCTCTAAACCGCTATCGTTAGATTTGGCTGATTGTCCTCGCTTGACGCACTTAGAGCTGTCATTTAGTGATGTTTGACTACCCTTTCCGATATTTTTGAGATTTTCACATGATGATTTATCACTTCCACATGAATCTTTCAATGAATCTCGACTTAATTTGCGATGTTTCTTCTCGATTTTGTTATCGTTGATGTGATGATTAGCTTCTTTTGGGTTGAATGTAGTGATTTTGGTATCCTTTTGAGGAATTTCAGCAGGTGCAACGACATTTTTTGCAGCTCTAGAAGATCCACAGCCCATGATGATACACTATCGAGTTCAATAAAACTGGAGTAGATTCTTTAAGCAACAAGTGAGAATGATGCCAAGGTAACGCAAATATAACCAGCCTCCTTGTAAAGTATGTGATTGAAGAGATTACTTAATGGACGCCTATCTACGGTAGAATATATCCTGACTTTTAATGATGATCAGAGACTAGGATAGGAATACTATTAATTTGTTCGCAAAATTATGAACAAGGATTCTATCTTTTAGGCAGAAATGTTGGAAATCAATTACGGTAGTTAGCTACAGGGGCTTAGTAAATTTTACAATTGAATGTGATGAGCCGCTAACCTTTAAAACTTCTATAAAGTATGGAATATTTACAATACCAGTAGTATGAAAGAGTCGATTCATCGGAGAGGTATATTTACGTCTCCTAGGCAACAGCATCGATCATCAATAGCTGATTTATCCATGACCCTTTTATCCATGGACAGATGATACATCCAGACAGATATTTTTGGCTCATTCGATTAATTACCATGGCAATTTCAGTACAGTGTTTGTGCATAGTATAGTATGTTGTCTCTCTCTCTATATATACAGAGCATTACTGTACACTCGCTGACCGTAGTTAGCTTAAAAAGGTGGCAAGGCCTGTAAAATGAAGATTTTGTATAAAGAGAATCTGTTTATTTTTCTGTGCTGCCGTGTACATACTGGGACAGTTAGCATAGCTATTCATTGTATTATCCACAATTATCACTTTATTCCCTTTCTGTTTTGCTCACGCTTTACGAGTTGTTTATACAGCTAATATCTATAGTATTTTATAGATAAGGTAAAATGGCATCATTTAAAGTATTTTATACATAAGATAAAATGGCATCATTTAAAGTATTTTATACATAAGGTACAGTGGCATCATTTAAGTATTTTATAGATAAGGTAAAATGGCATCATTTAAGAGAGTGCACTCGAGTGGCCGAGTTTATTCAACTTTACAGTATACGTATATCACTACTGCAGTCCACTTCATCTATTGATGTCGCCTATGTTGTGTCAAGCATGACGATGATTTACGTTATTTAAGTTTAGTAATAGTAATTGTAATGAATTAAGCAAAGCATGCACCCCCGTTGTACAAGCTGGTACAAAGCAGTTTACTATTGACTGATTGCTTTTCAGGTGATGTTGCCTTTTTTACAATACACTAGCGTTAGTGAATAACAAAACTCTAGCGTAATTCACCACAGTGGTTACTGCTTATGTGAGCTTACATGAGCAGTTTAACTAGTACAGTACTGTACGTCTTTAATTTGATTTTAAATACTTGAACTAGGAAAAAATGTAGCTAAAACCAACGTGCAAATACAATAGTTTATACCGATATCTAGCAATCCATTTCATTCCTACTTTTACTAAAACATACGACACGAAAATAACATTGCTGTCCTGTCCTGTGGATATTCTTCCTGATGGAAGACAGTATAAATCTCTAGTAATAATGACGTCGCCTTATATAGAATACTTTTTAATGAATTAATTCATGATCATGTCATTTGATATGCAGTATGTACACAAAATGATTGTACAGCCGCAGTCTTTTAACAGGAAATAAATTCTAGAAAGAGTATAGCAAAAGTGGCCTTGACCTCATCATCAGTACACTTGTTTGCTCGCATTGGACTGATTAAATTAATTCTTGAATGAATTAATTAATTATAGTTTACTCGCATTATTACTGTGTCCGTTCTCTCGTACTCTACTGTACCGTACGCTACACACTCATGTGCTGTAGTACGATTATGTACAGGAATAACAGTACTGCAGCACATGAGTGTGTGTGTACTGTACAGAACACAGTACTTTGTACACTGTACTATAGTACAGTACTGTAGTGGAGATTCCAGGGTCTACGCTGTAGACGGTCAAAATCTGTACTGTATCATGCTGTATCATGAGTCAGCGCCATTGATTTGAGCAAGACATGGCACTAACGGTATTTCAGCAATTTGCTACAACGTTCAATTAATAATATCTAATTTTGATAGTTTATTAGACAAGATATCGACAATGTATTGCTTGCAATGGTTAATACCGTTATTACTCATTCCTAAGCCACTTCACCCTATTCTTCGATTCAATCATTCTATGGTGATGGTCTTATTTTTAACCGGATTTCTGCTGGAAAGAAGGCCGTGTGTAATATGTACAGCCATCTTTGTCGTTGCATTAGCTTTAATTTGTAATAGTGGAATGTGCAGTTGCTTCTTCTTTACTGATGAATGCCATCTTGAATGATGTTCTTCTTGTTGTTGTCTACTCTATCAGTGAGTTATATAGGATAAATTAAGAAAGTTTCAGACTAAACTAAAGTAAACTTTACCATCTATCAATTCAAACCAATTACAATCGGTTGTAAATTGGAATTGATTGAATAATAACGACAGTAGCTACAGTACAAACAGCCAATGTGGCTATTCTACACTTTCCAACACTTTTCCATAGTATGCAATCGTAGACTATGAATACATCTACAGGATGGCAATCAATATAACAATTCCATCTTTTCAATTCTACTCTGTATATACTCAAAAAGCTCGGTTGTGTATTTTCACTCCTGGCAATAGACGATACGTCGATTCCAAATTTCAGTACTAAACCTTCCTGGTGCAGTTACTGGCCAATGAATGATTCTTCAAGATACTGAATACTTGCCGAACGTATAAATAACGTAATTATTATAAGTTAATAGTGATAGCCTTATCCATAACTTATCACCAAGATCTGGTCGTTGAGCAACATTGCAAGAGTTAACAAGAAAATGTTAAGCTACGGAGTCAATGAGAGTCTTACACGATTGCGACAACAGCCGTGATGGTATCTCTCTTACAGTTGCAGCTATGGGCATGCGATTGAACGATCACGATGACAACTCCTTTTGTATGGGCTTACATGTATTACAAATCTCTATTAATTAATTGTGTCAAGATTAATTCTAACTATTCAAAATTTTCAATATTAAAATTAACTGACTGATCAATTAATTCTTTCCGAAAGTCTGCTAGTTTCACACGGCACTGTCTGTCATCATTTGCCACTCTGTAACATAATCAATATAATATTGACCCTCATTTTAGCAAGGCTACCGTTTCTCACTAGCATACATGATCACCTAATTTCTAAGAAAAATGACGTAAGGATATTGTAGACGTGTATAACTTTTACAGAACATTAAATTTTTAGGATGATTTTCAATTTTCTACCAAGTACTTACGCTATTCTAATATGGTATGGATTATGAACTTTCTGAGAGCTTAACTTGTAGATATCATATTGCTACATTTATTCTATATAATTATTAACACTGTTGTACAGGCTCTGTACAACAGTGTAAGATTCAATTATAAAATTACTAAAAAAGAAATAGAACCAGAGATCTTACTATTAATCTACTGTATTTTTATTATAACACAAGGATAGCATCGCCTATTTTATCATGTATGTCCGTATGTCCATTAGCACTTACTGACTATGTCTAATGATATTGGTTTCAACATATCAATCTTTTTATTAAAATTATATCAGCTTTACTATTCTATGTGATAATTTGAACGTCATGACTGTGTGACGATAATTATTACTTATTAGATTAAAAATAACAGCATAACAGTTTCAGAATTTTCAATGCCACAATACTTGTTACTGCATAATGAACTGAAAATGTTTTGAAAATATTATATTTGATTCTGGATATAATTTCTACCATTTGTAATACTCGTATCTTGTTGCAATTTCTAGATCTATAAATAATCTGTAAAAGTACAATCCAGGTCACATACTCCATTTCAATACAGTAAATTGCAAAATTCAACCAAAACCTCCTGATATTATCATATCATTGGTATTCTACTATAATCCTTGCTGTTCATTAATCTAATACTGTAGTATTTTAACACAACAATATTTGCTATAATAACGCCGTTGATACCTATTCGGATTATAAATGCTTTCTTTCAGTATAAAAGCTTACATTTTGAAATTTTATTTTATTAGTAATGTAAGCTAAACTATTAATGCTCTTAAAATCTTAATCTTAATTTTATGAAGTACAAATATGCAGTAACTGTTGGACCAACAAATTTCGTGAATGTAAAGTTTTATAATGATATGATACATTACAAAGATATTCGGATTATTATTATCACTGCTAGTAAAATCTTAAAGTACCGGCGTACCTACTGTATTCACCTACAATCTTGATTCCTTAACGGAATAGACATTCTGCTATCAGACATGAGAACTATACTATAAAAGCGGGGATTATCAATACTAAGTAATGATGTAATATTAGAGTATTTACATGAATACGAGTTAAAAGGAAGAAATTAGCAATTGTAAAAATACAAAGCAAAAGCAATTTACAGATGAGTGCATTACAGTACACTACGGTACAATAAGATTGGTATGACCTCAGTTAAGGAGAATATAATACAAAAGTTAAACTATAGTTAATTTAACTTGCAAAATATAAGGTAATCCTAGCCACTTTCTATTAAATTACAAGCTGAAAATGGATTCTGTTTCAATAAACGCTTAATCTTAAACCGTGGATGTCTAAGTATCAATCATAACTGTTGAATCTTGTTATCCAACGTGGTGTAGAACTCTGACAGTATATTTTCTCTTTTTTCGTCCGTATACTTCAAAACAGCTTTAGCAAAACTGATATCATCATCAAACTGAAAGAATTGTGCCATTTCACTAAACTGTTTTTTTCTAATAGCGATTGGTGTACTTCCTATTATAACATGTGTATCCATTTCCTGATCTACGTTTTCCAAAAATTGTTTCGCTTTCTGTTTGCGGCTGGATTTTCGATCTGATTCCACTGCAGTCTCTTGCTTTTCTAGTAAATTTTCTTCCGATTCAGTTTGTACAGAATCATATTTTACGTTATTTTTCGAACATTTTGTTATTTGATGGGCTTTTGTCTTGCTAGTACTAGGGACCGGGTCAGCTTCTTTATTACAGTCCTCAAACTTTTTTTTCTTATCTTTTTGAGAATCACCAAGATCGTCACTTTCTTCTCCAGGCTGGATTCAAAGAACATATTGGAATTAATTAATAACTAGCTAATGATCATACAGTTGGGTAACATCATCTGATTATTACTTACATCAAGTAAATTTGCAGGTTGTTGAGAAAACTGATGTTTAACATAGACATCTCGAATAGCATTTGAAGTCATACGTTGTTCTGCTTTGCTTGATCCAATGACCTTTTTATTTGAATGACAATATTCAACGGATAGTCCAAGATCTATAGCGATATAATAAATTTAAGTCTTACAGCTAGACGAATAATTACGATAAATAATGCAAGAACCTTTCAAACTGTCGACACTGTCTGCTTGATCACTACTTTCAGGCCAATTCCTGTTATTATTTTTGTTTAACGTATATTTTTCCTGGTCAGTTTGATTATTCTTAGATTGCTTCCCTTCAACCGCTTTTACATTAAAAAAATTGCAATATAGTTAGTTAATACTATTGTCTCAACTACTAATATCTTAAAAATGAAAGAATAGTGAATACTATATAAAGTTATTAGATCAAATGCCAAGTACCATTCGAAGTTGTAGTATTCTCGATTTCAGGTTCAACATACTGCGAAGCGATTTCTTCTAGACCAGGAACGTCATCATCGTCGAATTTCTTGGTATCCATATTTTGTTCTTTCTGAATAATTTTCAATGCGGTGAAATAATGAAATTAGAAAAATTTACAAATTCAAATATCAACAAGCCAAAACTCCTAAAACAGATTGCTGTACTTGTGAAAGTGTTTACAGTCGCTAATTCATAGCTAGAGGCTTTATAATCCTACCTCAGATGTCTTAATTTGTTCTTCAGTATTTTCCTTCCTGCAAAGTATAACATCATGCCGCATAACCATTACTAAAGACTATATCCAATTTATTTGAGAAGTCTCGATAGTGCACCTACTCGTTACTCCTACTTTCGTACTTAGCCATTCTAAGTCCAGCTTCGACTTGCTGGGTTCTCTAAAATAAAATGAGAATACATTCCAAAACATATATCTATGACTGCTTGCATTGTAGCTATCTTGCTATTACAATATCTAACCTTAATTATGTCCTCTGCTAGACTGACTCCTCGTCGTCGTAATGAAAATAAATTTTCGATGCCAAAAAGTTCACCATGTTGCTCTTTGTCGTCAGCTACGCCCGTAAAATAGCGACGTTCTTTGCTATTTTGCATTGCAACGTTAGCGAGTTGCTGTGAGTAGACAAGCAAATTGTAATATACTTATTCATTTATATGCACGTGATTTGCACCGAAATGATTCTAAATGATGCAAAAATCTTATTACCAGTTTATAAATTTGCCTTAAGTACATGACCTCTTCTATTGTTCCGGAAGTTATTAATCGATATACACGAACATCGCAACGTTGCCCAATACGATATGCTCTGTAATTAATTAATTAGGTAGCTATATTGGTGGCTCGCTATAAGAATAGATAATAAATTACACGAAATAACCAAAATTTTACCGATCTTGCGCTTGTAAATCATGAGCAGGATTCCAATTTGGATCAAATATCAATACAGAATTGGCACCAGTAAAATTTAAACCTAGACTTCCCGCCCTATTAGATGATTATGCATTATTGTTAATTAAAATAAAAGTTAAAGAGCGACTTTACAATTACAGTACTGCATAATAGAAAAGAATGTTGTACTGTACTTAGTAGAAATCAGGCACAATGAAATTTGAGGATCGTTATTGAACTTTCTAACTATATCAGCTCGTTGTTCAATTCTAGTATTTCCATCCAGTCTACAATAATTGATGCCTTTGCACATGATGTAAGTCTCTAAAATGTTAAGCAACTGTACAGAGTATTTATAAAGTACAAGTATTAGATAATGATGCGTGTTTTTATTAATTTTTATGGGCGCTAAATATGATGGAGCTTAAGTGTCAATCCATACCTGCACAGAATACGAAAATAACAGCACTTTGCTTCCGTCCTTCTTGAACTTAATAAGTAAGGCTTCTAAGGCCTTGCATAACAAAATAGAGAATAATTTAATCTTTTACATAAGCAGTGATCAAGGTTTAGCAATCTGAGTAATTAAGGCTCCATAAATCAACCTTCATTTTTCCACAGTATAGAGGATCTGATAGCGTTAATAAAGAGGCATTTGAGGATATAGATTTAAACTGTGGAAAATTGGAGTACATTCGAACGCAAATTTCTCTAGCCTAGGTAATAAATTTTATCACCAGAACGAACATAGTATCAGAATATATATTAATTATAAACTTTTGGATATACCAGATAATATGCGAAATAGTAATTATTGTTAACCTTATTACGTTGTTCCTCAGATTGATTTGAATTAGGTAGTAACAAGGCAACGTGATTTGCAACTTTAAGAAATAACTGCAAGTACTGCATTAGTAGAGAATTTATTTTTTCTCCCTTGATATTTGTCTATTAAAAAAGTAAAAGTTTTTATTATCAAAATACGACATTGAGGCAAGAGTCCACTTTTCAGGACGCTAATTTACGTATATACTTACGCAACAAAAATCTAACCTGATAACAACATTTTCCTCTGTTTTTTTTACTGCCGCAATCACATGGTTCAGATTGTCGCACAATAAGATCAACATCTGAATTCTTTAACAGTTCTTCATATAAATTATTTTGTAATTCAGAAAGATAGCAAAATACTACTTTCTCATCTAAGTATAATGAAATTATTATGAAGCATCAATCAGTTGTAATTAAATCATAATGTTATGTTATTCTAATAGCTACTTCGTTAGATATCGTACTTTAATCATATGAGCTGACAGAAACAGATTATATCGTCAATGAGAATGTATACGTATTGTATATACATTATATACCAAATTCTCAATTACAAACCTTTCTTAGGTAGCTGTTCAGCAATTAAAGCTTTCGTCCGCCTTAAAAACCATTGAGAATGTAATTTTGTTAATTCTTCCGATTTTAAATTAGAATTTGCTAATTCTCGCTTTGTAACGTTAAATTTACGCCCTTGCTTGATTGGGCTCTCATAGTCTTTCTGAAATGTCCCAAGCGTGCCCAAACAGCCCGGATTGGCCCAATCCAGTAAACACCAAAATTCAGATAAGCGATTTTGCATGGCTGTACCAGTCAATCCAATACGTCGTCTACATTTAATATTTTTCATCGCAATTGTTACCTTTGATTTGCCATCTTTTAATCGGTGAGCTTCATCAACGATAACAGCTAACCATTTGAAACTATTTAAATCGTCCAAGTAATTTCTTAATGTTTCAAATGTAGTGAGTACAACATCAAGGCGACCCTTTTCTAATTGTTGCAATGTTTCATCCTTATGTGATGCATGAAATCGGCCTACTTTAAAGTGTCCCCACGTATTTAATTCGTCAATCCAGTTATATAAAACCGAGCCAGGTGAAACAATTAAAAATGATTGCCGTTTATTTGTAGGTGATGGACTGCTTTTCCACCATAATTTTTTCATGACATCCTCTTTAGTACCGGATTTATTCAAGACAGCAGCGATAAAGCCGATAATTTGTACCGTTTTACCTAATCCCATATCGTCACCTAAAATGCTACCTCGATTAGCTTTGTAATTATTATATAAGAATTGAATACCTTCACGTTGATATTCACGTAAATAGCGATTTATATTGGCGGGTATTTGTATAGTAGTAGCCTCCGTTGCTCCGGATAGTCTATAAGTTATAGCTGGTCCGGCATGAGCATCCTTGAAGCGTGGCCTTTCGTAATCGTCATCATCAAAGCCATCTGCATCAAAATTGAGCTTCAACAACTCAGCCTGAGGGTTAATCTTTTTGACAGCATGACTTGAGGAGTTAGCAGGAGTAGAATGTTTAGCGTTGGAACTACTTTCTGACACTACATGTTTAAGCTCTTCCAAATGCGTTTGATATTCATCATCACCTTTAAGGCGTTTAAGGCGTTTTGGCTTACTTACATTAGAAATGACTTGATTAAGAGGGTCCACAAGACTACTGGATTGAACCAAATCTTTAAATAGAGAACTGGCATCGTTATTAGATTCGACCTGGTATGATTTAGCATCAAGGTGTTTAAACAATCTGGTAGCAGAACTGGACGTTGATTCTTTCTTTACTTTACTAGGATGAAATTTTCTTTTCCGTGATTTACCACTACGCATTAGCTTTGATATGGGTACCATTTCGCTGCCATCGCTTTCATAATCAATAAATATTACCTCTGCTAGTTGTTCGTCCTTATTATCATCGTCATCGATGATAGCTTTAATAATAGCATCATAAATTAGATCGTCACCTGCATAAGGAGCTCGACAATGGTCACCAACTTTCCATGCAGAGGCAAAACTATCCTCTTCTTCAGCCATTATATCACTATTTTTTTTCACTTTTGAGCAATGAGGGGTATCGCGATCGAATACCAGACTAGAAATAGTTTCATTAGCAAAGTCATCCTTACGTGATGTGCTATCGGTACTAGTATGATATCTTCTAGCTGAAGAAGTACTGTGTGTTAGATCAGATATCGTCTCGCTGTAGAATCCATGATCATCCTTTAGGTTATCTAATTCATCTGATATGCTTGTATTAATGAATTGATCTTGTTCGCCGTTAGACGCATCAGAACAAAATGTAGCATCGCTATCATCGGTATCCATGGCTACTTGATATGAACGTTAAAAGTTACGGTTATACGACAGAAATCAATTACCGTAGACTCCAAGGCAGTCAAGTTGAATTAGCAAGTGTTGAAATACAGAATTTTACTTTCCTGCGATAGCTGCATACATAAATAGCTATCAGAGTGGTCCGCTGTGGTACATTGTCACATCAGAGTAACATAGAATGCTCAAATTCAGGTGTTTTTCTCCTCTACCAAGAAATAGATCGTGCAGAAAAGATTAACTCTTATCAACGTTTACCATCTCATTTTGTTAGCCAATTGCAGAGATGATAGGCTAATCTTCTTCCTAGTTTTTCCCTCAGTAAACTAGTATTGTAGTGTGTTTCAATGTGACCAAACACGGCTTGTAATTAAAGAAAGATTCTCAAAACAATTGAATTCAGTTTACTAATGCCACTCCATACGAAGAAAAATAGGACCTGCAGGAATTTACCATACGATCAAGATTAATTGGCAACGTTGACGATTTCAATTTGCGAGCCACTCGTATAGAATGAAGGATAAGTCAGCTTCTCATCTTAGCCTTTCTCGGGTAGTAGATTATTACGCGTAGTACCCGCGTACTTTAATAGAATTCAATGCAATTCCAGTTTGCAATTCGCGAATGATGACCAAAGCAAGCAGATGCGATCTGTTATTTAATGGGACCGAAATTTTCGGGGTATGGATTTGCCTATAGTAAGTGTACCCTAGTACTTAGACATATCACCAGACCCATACTAATGTATACATTGATGGAAAAGATGGCATTGTGACTTGAAGTTCTCAGTATGGCTAAGTGTAGTTGCACTACCACCAGTACGGAAACACAATATTAAAGCCCTACTAGCCCTTATTTTCGTTGTGCACATTTACACCATCGCATAATACGAGAACCTCTCATTGAGTGCATAGTCTTATAGTCTGAGCGAAACCAGGTAGGAAATCCATACTTTCCACAAATTATTTTCGTAGGTGCTGACTGTATTGCTATATTACTTTGCAATTGCACTGTCTTTGCCAGCGCGGAAGTACATACAAACGTTAAAATGAGCAAATCTACAATTTAAAAGAGTTTCTAGAGTCCGTTATACTCCAGTGCATAGGCCTTCCGATGCCAAATTACGACTGCTAATTAAGATAGAATAATTATTATTATACTATGCGGGGTGCTGGATACCTAAAAATTTGAGCAAAATCTTCAATTAAGACTGAATCTCTTCCGTTATGGTTAAATATCCCAACTCGTAGTAGTCCCTAATAGTCCCAGCACAAAAATACAGTTGCTAACATGGATATTTACAATTCTCACTCATTTATTCACTTATTCAGGCATAAAATTACACTATTATTACTGTACAAAGTTCGCCGGGTTTGATTTGCTAAAATATTATGACTACCGGCGGCGTAAAGTGTAGCGATATAATTTCATACAAATGACTGGAACTAAGAATTACAGTTTGTGACAATGACAATATGTTGACCATTCCTATTAGATACTTCAATTGAATAAATCAACGGTTCGATCGGAATTTTTTCCATTCCATTACTATGGATTATCAGCATACAAGAAAGTTTATCTTACTAGGTAATGATTCAATAAAGTAGATAAGTATGAGTAAACTTGTTTTCATAGCAATTAAGTGCATGCTGTTATGTACCTCCTTGCTGAAGTACACATAGTAGAGTACACAAATAATACATTCAGCTGTCGATACTTAAATACGCTACGGATAAGTAGTATTTTAATGAGGTAATACAGCAAACTACACTAAAAGCTGGTATAGCAAGATGAATTATATTCACATGCTTTAATGATTATCCATTGATAATTATAATCATATATTAAATTTATATTAATAAAAACTTTCAGGAATTAACAAGCGCTCTTGTATACAAAAATTGTAACCATGACGTCCGTAGTGATGTTAGTAGTCACTGTCGTAATAAATTTTGTGATTAGACAGATTAATAAATGCATGAGATATTTGCTTTAGTAATAATTTAGGTGGAAATCAGAACATAAATTTTCTTAAAATATAAGAATTTTTAAACTTGCGAAATGATACTGTAGTGATTTTGTGTCTCGTATGAGAATAAAATGGCTAAATTGATCGATGGGCTGCTCGAATAACTTAGTCAATCCAACAATACTGCAATATCCAACTGCACATCCATAGCCAACAGAGTGTGAATAGTCACCACACGATACATATCCAATAATACTGCGTTCTAGTACTCCTTGTAATAACGATTTATCTAAGTTCCCTTTAAAATACTCATCTTTCAGCTTTGAAAAATCTTCATTTCTAGGTAAACAAATAGGACAAAACTGTCTTGGTGTACCGCGCTTATACATTTTAATTTTGACGGCTACAAGTGCACGACTATGATTGTTAATTATTTGGCTTATACCAAAGTTACTCATTTCTTTATCGAAAGCTTCAGCCTGCGTTCGATTTGATTTGCAAACTTTCTTTAGCAGTAACTGATTTAAGGTACTTAATTCTTTACGGCATCTTATAACATAATAAGTGCGTGTTTCATGTATCTTCTCTCCAGTTTTAAAACTTTCAGTTACTGCAAGCAAAATAAAAGTAAAATCGTAAATTACTTCAGGAGTAATACCGTTTACAGAGCATAAAAAATCAGGCTAAATATTTAGAAAATTATAAAGTGATATTACCTTGTAAAAATTTCCTCCAATATTCTATCAATTCATCCCAGCGGTTCAAGAATGGCGATAAAATACCAATTTTGGAGTAATTGATTCGTTTTGCTGGGGGCCTAAGATAGTAATCTGACGTCAACTTCTGATGCGTTGCTACGGCGTTAATACAGCCTGCAGCTGTATCAGGATAATCTGATGGAAAGATAGGAATTCCTTGCTCCAAGTATTGTTTAGCACTCTCTTGCAAACCAATAGCGCGTGCTCCACAATAAATAAGTGATAGCCAGAATGGCATACCCCAACCAGCAGGTAAAATTAAATCCCATCCACTATTAATAAAGTCGCTTTCATTATTAATATTTATAAGGGTGGCTGTCGCACCAGTTTGTTGGATAAGTAATACAGGAATGGAAATTTTATTATCTATATCATTTAGTTCCAGTTGTCCATTAAATATTTGCATACGTAGTTTATTTAATTCATGGTCGGGTTTTTTAGCTTCTTTAACATTTTTACGAATAGTAGGATTCCATAACAACGTCCGAGCAAACTCACTTGACCAATTTTGAAGATAGGATTGGCAAGAATCTATATTTATGAAACAAATAGATTGTAAAGTGTTATTACTCCGCAGTAGTTTATACAGATTCCGTTCGGTTGCACATTAAACAAGTCTGAAATAGTGTGAAACTTATTTATGGTCATGCCTCAAAGCTCAGCATGATATTTTTTAAGCAGTACGATACCTGTAACTATCGATCGGTTCAGGTTATGGTATCTCTTCTTCAAGATAGGACGATTTAATCGGGGATCGCCTACATTTAATGCAAGAACTGAACCTCTCGGTAAAGTAGCAGTAGACGATAGGGTTAATAATTTCGTCCAGGTAGTTTCAATTTCGGATCTTTCATTGTGCAATTTGAAAGCACGATATAGCACACTTTGCGACATTGGGCCTCTTAAAGAGAATCGAAGAAGTGAACTATCATCAGCAGTATGAGAGTCAATTTCAAGCATGTTATCTTGTCTATTTTGCTGATTTATTAAAGTTATTTGATCGAGTAATTCCTGGTAGCATGATGGATGACACCATAACCATAAAGATCTATTTGGGTTACTCGTATCATCGCTTGAATCAAGGCAGTTCCATAGAAATGATACCGGCCCAATCGCTTGATAAGGATAAGAATCACAATAATAACATACCAAGCAACCTTCCACACCACCTTGAAGATAATCCATACTATCGATCGTAGATCCTAATGTTAACGATATGACAATATATACAGTACATTATTGTGTCAATTCGTCATGCATTATATTAATAAAGATATAAGATAGGAAATGGCATTTTGCAATCTAAGTTGTGTCAAGATGAGAATAACAAGGCTAACCTGTCTGATTGTTAGTTAAGCGGGCAAAAGTATTGACTATAACCTGTTGTAAACCTTTTATTTCTATACATCTATAATAGGATATATCTTGTATGGTACACTCATTCTTGCATGCTCGATAGGCAGCTCGTTTGCCTTTTTCGCAAGAAATTTCAGCAATTTTAAAATTCCATTGGTCAGACATTTTCATTCGTTTAGCATGCCAAATATGTGTTTCCAACCACTGACTTACATTGTCTTTCCTTTGAAAATTTCTCTTTTTTGAGGTACGTCGTTTTTTTTTCGTTGTTGCTGTAGGCTTGGTCTTGTCGGTTGTATCTTTGCTTATTAAGCGTTTGGGTAACCTCTTCCGATTATGGCTAGCTGCTCGACGACGCATTCTCCTGGATACAGTCTGAAATAGAGAACGAGATCCTCCTATGGTCTTAACAGCGATTTCCATCTTTTTTATTTCATCAACTCGGCTCTCAATGAAGCCTTTGACATCTAATGTTTTGCTTGCCATTTTGCTATAGAGTTCTAGGCAATGTAGGCCTTGGATGAATACTGCAAGAGAGATTGCGGAGGGGAATGATCGCTGATTGAACGTTTTCAGTTTTTGTCGATCTAACCTGGATATCGCAGTTCAATGGAAGTATCACTGCTCTTGCCGTTTTTCAGCTATCACCTGTAATCTCTACAATCTACCTTGTACCTTATGAGCTTAGAGTAAAGAATTTATCCAACTATTCCATGTCCTGCTTCTATTTCTGCTTGACTTTGCTCACAATTTATTGAAGCTAAAGCTCAGAGCTCGGTCTAGAATCAGTCAGCTCGTAGCTCACGCTAGTTCTGCAGACTATACATTAGATAACAGCAGCCGTATGCCAAACTACTATAGTAATGCTCTATTCCTCAATACTTGGTTGCGAATGGGTAGTGCATAGAGGCCAACGAAAACTTCTTCCACCTCGACAATCTTCTGTGTTTCATTCATGTCCAATTGTATAGTACAGTAGCAGCGACTGCTGAGGAGTCCCTGACAATACTATGAATTTTGCCTCTGCCGATGACGTCAGCTGTGGATTCCCATGACAGCAGTACGATCCGGTCCGGTCCGGTCCGATCCGGCTCAGTAGGCCTGAACCAGGGAGATTGTACAGTACAGTACAATGTACAGTACTTGAAACTAGAAACTACTTACAGTACAGTACTGTACTGTAGAAAAAGTGTATCCTTAGGTAACATATAGTGATGGTACGCAAAGCATTGTCCGTAATTCATATTGATCTATCGTAGTTCAAGAGTAGGAGCTCAGTTGATTGAGTTGTTTTTCTAGAGTTGGTTGGTAGTTTGAACCATTTTAAGACAGACTTACTGTAGAATGCCTTTAGGGCTAGGGGTCGAGTTTGGGGGGAGGAAAGTAGGAGAAGGTTAAGGTTTGATCTTATTGAAAAGGGATATAGAAAATGCTACGGGTTATTTGCCAATCTTCTACTGGAAATCTTGGCCGAAAAAAGAATATTAGCCTTTTGTAGCTATATTGATTGACAGTAAGCTTGTACTGGTGACATTAATTTTGCTAGGCAATTGTAATTATGGGGGTGAAATAGCAACGAATACCATGTCAGTAGAAGGAATTGCGAGCAAAAATAATGTCACCCTTGCAGAGATACTGTGTACCGTCTGAGTGCCTATGCACTGCACTGTAGCAAATGGACTGTACCTGGATTACCCTCTCCTCCATTATCCAATTTATCCCCCATAATTTCCTTGCGGATAGCCGCAGCCATTAACCATTATCGCTTAGCTACATTTTGGCTAAAAATTCCTCGAGCACAACGATGAGCGATAGTAATGAGAATAGCGCAACTAATTTTGAAATCCAGACTGCTCAACAAAGTGAAAATGACAACAGCAATGAGGTGATGATATCACTTGATGAGGGTACGGTAGGTACTGTCAGTAATGTTGGATCGATAGAAAGTGTCGATTTAGGCCAATCGACAGCAGCAGTCGCTTTGAGTATGGAGGAAAACCATTCAGATGACGAACTAACTGGATTTACTGATCCTATCCAAGTAGATCAGCAGCCAGTAATAGATCCTATCAAGGAAGTAAATGACACACAAGATAAATCAATCCAGCAAGTTTCAATCAATATGGATAATAGGCAAGAGACATCAGCAATAGCCCAAGATGATCAACCAATACTGATCGATGACAACCAAGATGTACATAATCAATCTCATATATCCGATCTTATAGATAGTAGTAGTGAAAGAGCTGAGAGCGATCATGAAATAGCAGATTTAGATGATGGTGAATTCGTGCAGGAAAGCTTAGACATGAGTCGTGATGATATCAGTAGTGTCAATGAGGAAAAGTTTGATGATCAAGAGATCGATATCACTTCACAAACGCAATCCACTGTAGATCAAACCGATTTAACATCGCCAAATACGCCACTCCAGGAAAGTGAAGAACAAAGTTACATTCGATCGGAAGACCAGAATTATAATATAACTATTCCATCTCAAGACGACCAAAATGACACTAGTTTAACCCAGCCTTCAAATGATTTCCAATTGGATCAATCGACGGAACAAGTTGATACTAATCAGCAAGATAGAGCTGTAAGTAGGATTACACCCGACGATAATATCCAATCGGATATACCGAAATCTCCTCAAAGCCAACAAGAAGATAACCAACTACACAGTCAAGACTTTACTTTCCATAGTACAACTGAAAGCAAAGAGACTCCTTCGGTTGTTCGCGTTCCATCGCAACAAAATACGATCCGTTTCGATAACGTTGTATCAGATCCATTAACGGAGTTTGCACGAGCTGCCGAACAGAGTCAAAGGTACATAGCAGAGATGTGACATTAGTACTTACGACATACTTGTACGTAGTAAATACCAAATAGTTAAATAGATAAAAACAGATAACATGATGGATCGACAAAAAAATATCAATTTACTTCGGTTATTACCCCGAAGAAAATATGAATAGGAAGTATATCATAATTAACTTGATAAGATCAATTGATCGATTAATTATTATTTACAATAAATTTTATATTTAATATCATTAACATTTTACTTGACCAATTTAGTCAAGATAACAATCTAAATGCTACCGATCAAGCCATGAGCCCGAAAATAAACCAGATCGAGAATCCATTTGTTGGTCAAATAACTGATAACTACGACCTTGGAAGTGATGTCTCCGGTATTGAATTCTTTGATAATTTACCAGTCCAAAAGGGTAGTCAACCTTCAACAAATCAAATCGCTTCAACTCAAGAACAAGAAGAGATTACATTAAGCAAGGTTGGAGTAAAACGATACTTTTACATTGCTAAAGTAACGTTATTATTTTAATGACATGTCTCAGTATATCCGCCTACTAAGTTATGTATAATAAAAATTAGTTATTGCAGACATTAACGGAACAGCAAGCATCAATGTGGATATCTTCTTCCACTACTAGGCAGTTATTGTCTGGGCTTATAGAAATTGATACAAAACATTTATCAATTGCTGGATTAGCTGTCGATTATAAAAATGTAAGTTAGATCTAGATCTAGATCATGCCTTGTCTTAAATCAAATCTATCATAAGAAATAATGAGAATGATTATATAATCTTTATTTATTGTACGCGTAGAGTGATCCAGTAAAGGAAGTGATATTAAAATGCTTTGGTGAAGGTGAAGCAAGTAAACGACAAGTATTAACGGTCGATTCAGTTACTCAGGATGAGGAAGGGCTCAAACAGTTGCTCGTTAGTATCAACGAATATATACGTTTCTTAATTTTTATCACTATGATAATTCTAATGAAATTGTCATCCTTTCAATAGCTATCGAATTGTTTCCATGCCGCGTTAGAACTTTCCGGCAGATTATTAACTAGATTCGGACAAGGTTATCAAAACGATCAACATGTTGGTCACTCCTTAGAGTCTTTGCAAGTAAAAAAATACTTTATTCCTGCGCTTGTTTTTATATTCAATATATTATACCCGCCTAATGACAAAACGACGATATTTTACAGATTTGGATGTGTAGAATTGCTTTACTTATAAAACTAAATATGTTTGGCACTGCGGAAGCGGAGATGATTGCTTTCGGTGATTTAGATAATCCAGACTTATATTTCGAATATTATCCTGAAAAATATCCTAACCTAACCGGTAAAAACCAATTTGTTGAATATTCGTTACTATTTTATCTCTTTCTGTTATCCTATTTTTATATTCAGCATCTCAACAATCTACTTAATGAACGATAATGTAGGTTGTATAGTCCCATTTGCCATGCGTATTATTCATGCAGAGTTGCCCCAGTTTACAGGCAAATTAAATGAATCACTAGATCGATTATATCGATTGCATTATGCCTGCTTAGAGGTTAGTTTATTATAGCATATAAAAGTATTTAAAGTCGCTATGACTCGCTATTACTTCTTTAATTACCATTTGATAACGATCTTATCATTACTTTTAGGCACTAAACAATATTAAAGCAGGTCTATCTGCTGAAGGTTCTGTCTTAGTAAGCGAATCAGCAGCAGAATTGTGTGATCGTAAGAAATATTTATTACTCCAAAAATTGATAATAGACGTTATCAGTTTTTATCATTGCTTTTGCTTTACATTAATTGCTATATTTAGTGAAATGATGTAGATATCAATTATCATCAATATATTATTATCCTGCTTAAAATTGTAGGCGGTATGAAACTATGGCAAAGTAGGGACTTGCGGGTTCTGTTTGGAATTGGGAATTGTTTACTTGCGTTAAAGGTTATAATACTGATAATATATTTTTAAAGCTACCGAAAAAGTACCCAATCGTAATGATAATCTTTTGAAATTTTTCAGGAATTTTCTCTTGCAGTTAAAGTATTTGAGTCCATATGTAAACTAGTTCCTGAATCTGAATTAAAAATTCTATCCGGAATTGGCCGAATATATCTACAAGTATGAAGTGAAATTACAGAATAATGCTATCGCTTATTTAGTAAAGTATTTCATTTTCAAATAAAGCCTTAGTGTCGTTTTGTTAGAGTCTAAGGTATAATCGATTGATTGTTTATTTACGCCCTTTAGCTTGGAGATGTCGATATGGCTAGAAGATATTTCAAAAAAGTAGAAAGCAAAGCGACTGGAGATGCTCGCGATGTATGCATGACTGTAATGAATCGGTGGGTACATTTGAACGCACTATCTAGCCTACATATCAGTTCGTAATCGTAAGGGTATTTGTTATACATTGGTATAGGGGCTTCTTGTCAATTGGCTTATCAGATTACAAAGACGCCTATAAACACTTTATTGCTGCTAGAAAATTAGAACCTAATAATAAGATGGTATTTATCTTGTTCATAGTTTTCACAACCTAATTTCTATTTTGAAATTCTATCACTTTTTGAAAGATATAAATGTAATAATGGTATCATCCGTGTAATGTTGTCAACTAGTCGATGCATCTTGGGTAACGTTCCTTTTTTTGTACCTTATAGGCACTTAATAATTTAGCGGTTTGCCTTGTTTATTGTGGAAAATTAAAACAGGTAACGTATGCAATAAAAAAATTGTACTCTATAATTCTTTCGAAAATAATATATTTTACACCTGTGGGTTGATAAAACTTATTCTCAGTGATACACGTTAGCTAATTTAGGGTAGTCATTTAAATTTCAATAATTATTTACCTCATCTCAAGATAGAAATTGACAATCATTGATTAATTTATCCAGGCAGTAGTTATGCTCGAAGAACTTGTATGGAAGGATCCACCCGATAATTTGGACGAAGGGTTATTGTTCAATTTATGTATATGTTATGAATTAGAATCATCTCTGAGTTTGCAAAAGAAATTAAAACTATTAGAATTAGTTGGTCGCCACAAAGGTGACGCTTTCAACTTGCAGTGCTTAAAGATTGCGTAATAAGGAAGATTCCAGACTTAATAACTAACACAAGAAATGAAAAGTGTATGACAACTAAATGCATAATTAGTCCTTAGTAGATGCTATCAAGCTTAGCAAGGAATTTTTATGATTTCAAAAAGTTACCATAGTTTTGTGTGTTTACTAATCTGGTACTTTCTCAAATATTTAGTTTAGCGCTCATTGAAATAGGTTTTTGCTAATGCTATCGACGGCTACTCTCGATATTCAAATACTTTTATCTTGCCTCTCGAAATCTTCATCAAGAATATGTTTAACAAAATTTATATTTAATAATTTACACATATTACTAACATTTAATGGCATAGCTCTATTCCTAGAATTTAGGATGGTTGCAGTATGGTACATGTACCTGTTCATGCTGTAATTAATATTATGTATAGATATACACATGTATATACTAAGATTTGTAAGTACAGCTTTCTGACGGATTAACGTTTCAGTTAAAATCATTCAATCCAAAATGATTTACTATATTGAATTGTTTAATTTATGGCGAGGATAATAAATTATTTCCATATTATTGAAATAAAAGCTCTTCTTGTTCTGTAGTCTGTACTCTACACTGATGAATTCGATCACATCAATTTATAAACAAGTCCCGCTGCTACTGTAGTATTTTTTTAACACGCTGATCGATATGTACCGTAAGATTCATATATTTTTGAGTTCCTGGTATTATCTTATAGTTAGTAGGATCTGTAATATGGTCGTTATTTTCTACGCTAAACTAAGCTTTAGAACATAACATGATACAGTTTGAGGATTAAATAAATCAGTCTAGCCAAAAACTGACAAACACTCAAACGCTGCAGTAAGTATGCGCATTTTACTTACAATAATAGCAATCCGTATTCAGCAATAGCGTAAATATTTAATATCAAAAGCCGATTTATTGATATTATTAATCCAATTTCGTCAAGGTCTTAACGCATATTGTAATATAAATCATATATAGATTTACATCACGTCAATAACATTAAGATATTTGCTGCAATGCATCAATCATAACGAGTACAGTGATCAAATCATAAATTTACATATAGCGAATGCATTTACCATAGTATGAATTTACATATCTAGAAAGAGGTAAGCGTTAATGTCATGATATAATACTTATTCAAATGTCACTTATAAGTTTAAAACCGTTTTTAAATTTAAAATCAGTATTAGCTTTATGTTATTTCTTAATACTCTCTCGGCGGCTCAAGCTGAGAGTAGGAACGGCATTAGGCATTATAAGGATATTTCAAAGGTCTATTGACAATAAAGATCACTGAAAGATCTGATTCTTGTTAATATTTATCATCAGCTAGAGGGCTTTCATTCAATGCTGACGTTGAATGAGAGTTTTGGAAATTGGTATGAGATGAGCTATTAGCCACCTGAGGCGATGGAATATTTAGATGAAAATTTGGCCTATGCAATGCACTTTCACTTATACTGCGATTAGTATCACCCAAGTTGCGTTGTCGACTTAATTTGTCTTTAATTAAAGCTACTTTATTTACATAAGCTGTGATAAGATGATTAATAGATGAAACTAAAGTAGAAACATGCTTATTTAAAACTTCTTGTAGACGCTTTTGTATCGCTTTCTAAAGAATTGATAAAAATCGATTTAGAACAATCTCCACGATACGAAATTGATGATAGACTTGGAATTACTAATTGATTAAACTTTTACTAGTTTTTAACTGATTATCGGAACTGGCCTATCATTTCAATAACTTGCCTTAATACTTTCGCTAAACCAAGAGAAAGTAGCATTATACAACCAGCTATATAATAAATGGGATTAATAGAAATAGTAATTAGAGATAAGTAAAGGATATGGCACCAGAAGTTTTCATTTATAGAAACCTTAGGAAAGTAAATTATGCAAGTAGATTTCAGGCCAGTAGAAACAGAAAAAATCACTAGTTATAACATACCTTGCACCCGTGCCGCTAGTTACAATTTCTTCATATGGTATAAAAAAAGGAAATTATTAATAGAAATGAAAATAGCAGAACAAGCTGATAGATTTAGACAACTAACATGGTCTAGAAACTCGATTATCGTCGTTACTCAATAATTACAATCACGTAATCTCTAATACCAATATCCGACTTAAGAGATAGATAACTATTTATAACTAACTTAGAGTTTCAAATGTTGCAGCCACATTTTTAATATCGGCAAGATTGTTAGTAATGGCCAAAGAAATTGTCGCTTAAAAAAAGTGAAGGCAAACAACCATAGTAGATATAAGAAAAGACTGCGTAAATATAGTATGTTTATAAAATTACAAGGTTATCGAAAGGATATGAAGCCTCCAGCTACTGTTGCTGTAGCTAAACCAGAATCCTAAAGGAAAATTTTTAATTTACATAATCATTTAATTTTAATCCAAGAAACTATGAATTAAAATACAAAAGTCACAGGCGCAAATAGTAATGAGGTCAGAATATAAATTATTTAGCGAAAGAAAAACATCAAGAGCGTCCTTTAAAATCATACAGAATTAAAATTATATGGTAAGATACATTAATCCTATATAATCACAGGATAATCTAGTCTTTTATAGATATAACATGTAGTCTTTTAGAAATTAATCAATGAAATGTTTATAATTAAGATCTCTTTATAAGAATTGACTATTGTACGAGATATTTATTAACGAAAAAGCTGTTTATATGCTCTAAACTGTTATTACCTACCCTTAATCTTGGGAATGTACTCTTACGATATTTCCACTCGAAATTATTTAGAGCCGCTTCTATATTATTTCTAGTAAAAGTATTTCAAGGGTATTATTTATTCATCTATCTCCTCTCTTAATATTACTTATTTCCTTTCACTTACATATTTCTCAGTCGATATATTAGTATATACATAATAAAGTAAAATTGCTCATTTTATTGATAACATATACTAATCATATATATTCATTACATTATAATCAGAAAGATACTCTACGTAGCCATAGAATCGATAAATTAAACTTCAACAATGATATTTGTATCTTTTATGCTTTATATTTTTCTTCTTTACAGTGATTCATACTTACACATTAATAATTAATTCGTGGTCCCAAGATATATCCAAGCAATCAACAGGTAAGCGTAATTCACTTAATACGATATTACTTAATTCGTAATCGACATCGCCTAATTTTGTACTTTTATTCCCTGTTAACGTCTAACAAATTTGAATTCAAAACTGAACATGAACAAAGGAAATTTGATAAAGGTATGCTTATTATAAAGAAAATAAATTTCTAGCATGATTTTAGTCGACACAGATAATAAAATTTTCGCTAAAATTACACAACAAGATCTATAATAAGTAAAATAAGAATGATAGACATTCTTACCGGTAAACGTAATGATAATAACTGATCCTTAATCCAAGGTATAAATACCATTTTCACTTCTTCTAGAAAGTTTACATTTTTTTTCAGTGCTTCTATCTAATAAGATCCGAAATAATTATAATTCTATCATAAAAAGATTTTGTATTTTATCCACAAATATTTTTTTACAATTTCTCGATTTAAAGTATTAAAAACTCTATTCATTAAAATTTATTACATACGGGAGTTTTAATATCTCAATTAGATCACTCCTAACAAGGAACTAGCATAACAACTGATAAAAGATACTTTTTACTATCTCCAATACTAACATTATTGTAACTGAATATTATGATACTTAAATGCCACATCAAGAACTTATAGAACCGTATCAGAAAGTTTCTTATGTGAGTAATCTAATGATGGCGTCAAAACGAACTCTGTTAAAGTATTTCTCCTTAATTTTTTAATTAATGAAATTGACCATTAAAGGAGTAAATACTAAGAATTTATAGTTAAAATAATATTTTAGTTAGAATCTATCTTACTGGTGATTTTAATGGGGAATCTTTCACAAAAGCAGTAACTGATGAATACGCCGCATCTTGCTAGTTGACAAAGCATTAAAAAGAAATTTTTACTTAAACTTATTCATCGATAAATGGAATTGATCCAGTCTGTATTGGCTAATAATTTTGCCCTCATAGGTGTGACTACAAACGTTCGTAGAATACGATCGTATAAATCGATGGTGAATAGTTTAATATCTTTCAAATAAGTAATTTCATTTTTCTTTTATCTCTACACTACTTGATACTCATATTGAATAGATCGCTTGATAAAGATGTTTTTCCATCTAACCTTTTTAAGTAGATTGGCACCTGCATCCGTATTACGTACTTTATCAATTAATTGTTCACCTAGCCTGACGACTTCATGAATATTGTTTTGTGAATCCTCTGTCAAAGAGAGTCGAGATTTTAATCTAAAAATTGTAACGCATGATAATAACATCTACAAGTATGATATATCAGATCCTGTAATCAATTTTTACCACGACTAAGAATGCTTTTTCCTTGTCTTAGGATCTCTGCTAGTTCTTCGCTATAAGGTAATAAGGTAAGATTAATCCATTAATTATTAAAGAAGATCTATCACTAATAGAAATGATTGGCATCTTTGTCATTTATACCTTTCCTTGATGCTACGAACAACTGTAACGCCATCTTGAAACACCTATTTTCGAATAAATAAGTAAATATCTGAAATCACTTCATATAGTATGTATATACACTCTGGCAGGAATAAATATATATATATATATATATATATAACTATCATTTCCGATAATAGTTACAGATCAGATTATTGATTTATTACTGCATAATAGTACAGATCGCGATATAATAACTTGTTAAATTTTGTGATAGTATCACAAGCTAGAAACAAAAATAAATATAGCATATAATCACAGAAAGGGATTAAATAATATTTCTCAAAAGTAACAATTAGAAAGTACTACTAAAATTTCGAATGGTTCAGAAATTACAAAACGTAAGATTCCCTTGTTTCTTAAAACAAATTCTTCATGTTTAATGTATCGAATACATGAATAAACGTACAATTAATTAAGGATTATCAGTAGAGGCTTAATAAAAAGGGCGATAATGTTGTGCGTGTATAGTATAATACCGAATAGACATACCATCTAAAAGTAATACGTAAAATTATCATCCAAATGAATAATAATTGGAGAATTAATATAATAATTAGTCTATCTATGTCTGTATTCGATGAAAATTATTAAATATTTAAGAAGGTAAGTAAACAATTTTATCACTAGAGTAATACGTAGTATTGATATTTATATTTTAATTGACTTACTTGTTTATCAAAATATTTATCGATAATTCTTTCCACCTATTGAATAACAATATTAAATGAAGCAATAAATATTTGTTCAGAAGTTAACATTGACAATGGATATCTAATTACAACTGTAATTGTGACAGAAAAGTAATGTTCACGATATTAACTAGTTTATTTCACTATTTAAAAAGTATCAAGGTTAAATTTAGAAGTCGCAATGCTAGATGTTTTAATTACCTTTTCCTTTAACAATTTAAAGATATCACTAGCTTCTAACTGACGTAATAACTCCGTAATCTCTTCTAATTCTTGATCATTTAATTCCTAAGATTGATAAGGATAAGCACACGAAAAATTGGAATATATATATATAAAATAGAGGCTTATTGACTTAATTTATAGGATTTTAGCCAGAATCCATATTAATTGCTTCATTGAGAAAGTTTCAAAAAAAGAATATTGATACTTACGCTGACATCCTTAAACTGCTTCTGACATTTTTGGAATAACTCCTGGATCATAGTTATTCAAATAGAAATTAATGTCACCAAGGAATTTAGAAATAATTTTGTTTTGATGAATATTTTTATAATTATCTTAAATTTGATTAATGATTTCATAGCTATCCACGTTTACTTCCTAATAAATAAAATAATATAAATTCTAATAATAAAAAGATGAATCTTTAACCCGAACAGTTTGATCTTCTTCGATCTCTTTTATTAGAGACACAACTTGATGTACATCACGATCAGATCTAAACGCTTGAGCAAATCGCCGGCTACTGGCCAAGAGTTGATTATCTAGGGAATTATTTTTAATGAAATAAATATTTTAAACCTGGCAGCTATAATTTTATCTTGACAAGAATCTTCAATACTTCGAGTTTTACTACATAATAGCACTAGCAATGTTATCCAGCTTTTTTCTTCTATATGAATGCTAAACTTAGAACTTAAATATGCGCATAAAGTAAAATCTAGCGCTAATAAAGTCACATCAACATGCAAAATTACATGTCTTTAATCCAGTGCTTTCTTGTTTATTCATTCTAAAAGTACAGAACTAGCGCCAGTACTCGCACAATCCAATCAGTCTGTAAATTTACGCGCATTTAATCCTAGCAATTTCCGATTATTGATCCCAAAAGTGCCAAACTTCGCGATATAGTAGCACTCATGATATTATAGCTGTATACTAACGTATAAAATGAACGTATGAAATTTAACTGCAGCATTTTCGGATAAGAAATTTCAGAGTTGTACTAGTAGTTATCAAATTAACTGAGAATTTCTGTGGCTTCAAGTTTGTCATACTGTACAAATTAAGGTAATTTATAATACCTTTATCTTCAATAGCAAGTTTTAAAGCGCTTTCACTAGCTTCACGACTTTCCTGTAGTGTCGACATAACTGTTTCATTGCTTATAGACAATACAGGAAGGAAAAAAGAAGAGATATTTATTTAAATCAAAGGGTAGCAACTAGAAATACGGTGCATAGTATTCACAATTAGTTGCTATAACCAATCTAACCTTGTTATGGATGTTAGCCATTTTTCAATTAAATTTTTACCATTTAAAACAGTTAAAACACGATTCCAATGCTCTTTAATGTTAGACTTGGTCAATTTCCAGCGTCTAGCGTTAACATCCTCCATAATCTGGTCATCAGTCGTTATTCCTTCATCGGAATCCTAACATATCCAACAAACATTGGAGACGATGAACCAAATCAATTTATATCAGGTGATATAGTAGAATAAAAATGATACACTTTCGTATTTAGCGACTATCAATGATAATTATTTCGATTCGAAAAAGATCAGTCAATGCGAATATTCTTTACTGCAATTTGCTAGAAGATGAATTTCTGTTCTTACTGGGACTACTAACTGATAGTTTGATTCTATTTCATCTCTCAAAGGATATATTAAAATTTCCTGCCACCTTACTGCATCAGCAACAAAACTATACTCTTTAAAGCTACTTTCGATCCGTAAAGAACGATCAGTCAATGCGCATATACTTTACTGCAAATTAGTCAGTAGATAGATTACACTGTCTTTACCAGGTCTAGTAACTGATGGTTTGATCCTACTTTATATCTCAAAGGATATATCCAAATTTCCTGCCACTCTATTACGACAGCAACAAACTTTACAGGTACTAGGACGCGTAAGCATCCTAAGGTCCATTCTCTTAATAAGTATCTAGTTCATTTTAAAATCTAAGTTCTATATGATTTGACATTACCAAAATAGTGAATAAAATCACAAAATTTGTTGATCCTAATTGCATCTTGAGCCAAATGGATATTTCGGTATAGAATAAGATTAATTCAATATAGACTTTGTATATGATGTTGCCTCTTGCAATAAATTAATTGATCGATACAGATAATAAGGATGAAAATGAAAGAGTCAAGTTGAAACCCTAAAGTATACGTATGCATATAGGTTGGAAAAAGTTAAATTGCGACTAAGGTATGATGAAACTGGAATCTCCTTCTTATAGAAAATGGGTCTCTAAATTTCATCTCTTTACAGTCGGGGAGATTTTGCATTAGTACAGTAGTTTCATTATCACTGCTAAATCATAAAAATTGCCATGAATCAGCACTAATTTTCCATAAATATTGAATTGCTTTTGACAAAGAATACCAATACTAGCCGCACTGTGCACAGAATAGACCACTCTAAATAGGAAAGAGTTGCCAATCAAGAGAATTTATCATTATATCTGATTAAATTAGACGCGCATTAGGAATAATCATTACATCAAGAACTGAACTTCTCCGAGGTAAGGTTTTACCGTAGTCCATTTCAATTTTAGAATGAGATCTTGGGTCAAAAATTCCAATGGAGTATAATTTAAGAGTATATTGATAGCTGTAATGCTTCAATTTCAATTTTAGAATGAGATCCAGGATAAAAAATTTTAATATGATCCTGAATAAAAATTCTAATGGAGTATAAGTTAAGAGTATATTGACAGGCGCAATACCTCAATTCAATTTTAGAATGAGGGTCTGAATGCAAATTCTAATAAAGTATATAGGTATGTGTAATGCCTAACTTTTCATCGTCTTCTAGGATAAAAATCATGAAGAGCAGGTAATGAACGTAGTTTGGCCTGGGTAATTAAGTGAGCAACCGATTTCGACTGGAAAATCCTATTCCAATTTTTATAGTATTTCTGGCTTGGATCTCTAATGAAAGTACTACAGTACTTTAGTGCACACGAGAAGAAGATTTTCCATCATCTTTAGGATAAATATCAACCAAAATGATGATAGAAGAAATTGAACTACGACAATGAAAGTGAACACGTAATTTAAATGAATGAAAAATCTCATCTAATGGCTTGGAATCGTTACCGCCATATTTAATTTAAGACTCGTTTTCCGTTACTACAATGATCTTATCATAAGAATAGACGAGAGCTTCTCGTAACAAATTCTCGATTAAAATTTCCTTGAATTAGATAGAGAAAATAAGGATAATCTTATAGCAGAGAAATTGATACCTCAACCAGCAGGCTTAAAACCGAGTTAAATCTTCAGTTTTATGGCGCAATCGAGGACTCTGATAGATGCAATAATCTATCCATGTAGAATAAGAATTTTATTCCTTCCATATTGGATAACAAGTTTAAATTCGTTAGCTTAAATTCTGTAAATTTGTAGCAGCTTGAATTTGAAAATTAATCAGCAGCAATTTACTAGAAAGGAGATATTACATTCGCTAAGTGGATTTTTTACCCATTTTAATCCAAATGTATAATGTCTAGCTTATAGCAATATGGTAATTCTAATCTCCTTAGCACTGATTGAACTTGTCCATTTATCCTATTAGTTTACTCGGTTGGACTCGCTACATTGGAGGAAAAATGAATTTTCCCACGGTCTCTAGCTTAAATATGGAAGAGATGTACAATTATAGGGCTAAATTGAATGGATAAATCTCCCTAACAAAGTATATTAATTATACTCTACCATGCTATATCGTTTTCTTCAAGCAGCTACTGTACTTTTAACGAACTTGAGATTATTATCGATCGGATATCCAAGTTTTAACTACAGCTGGTTGAAAGAAAACGTATATTCTATCTCTTTACTACACTCATGGCCATCAAGTATTAATAATGACCATGACATACTGTTCCTTTAGGCTATTGATCTTAGCTCAGGGTTAATTCGTCTAAATCATAAGTTGGCATACTAATACAAAGTCTTTAACGTTTTCTCTTCATTTGAACTTCTCCTAGTCGCCATTAACACCAAGTTTCATGAATACAAGGTAACGCTCTCTGATAGTTAGCCTGGCTTCATTAGAACTATTATAATCATGGTTAAAAAAGCCAAGAAATTGAGATTGACTTCAAGCCTGACTATGATCAGGAAATTTTTTGCGCGTAACTAGATTTTCTAGCTAGCGGTAGCAGTCAGTATTTGTACATAGCTTACCATTGCTACTTCTCTACTCCTTTAAAAGTCTTGATTCTGTAGCAGATACAAAGGTGGTGAAAATTGGGGCACTAAGAATAATAATCATGGCTTTAAAAGGCAAAGAAACGTAGATTGACTTCAAGCATGGCAACGATCAGAAAATTTTCTGTGTGTAACAAGATTTTCTAGTTTGCTGTAGCAGTCAGAATTTATCTATAGGATACCGTACCGTAGCTACTTCATCTCTACTTTAAGAGTCTTAATTCTGTTTTAGATGTAACTAAAAAGGGTGGCAAAAATTAAGACTCATTTTAAGAGCAGACGGACTGAAAATAGTCCCTCTATTTTTGGCTATAATACTGATAGTGAGACAATCAAGATCACTCAATGAATAACTTTGAGATTCAAAAAGAGCCAAGCTATCAAAATATGAATTGGCAATATCATTACTTTTGTATTGGCTATCCAGCGTATATATTTAAAAGAGAAGCAATGAATTCATCAATATCTTTCAATACATTAGAAAGAAAGATAACTCGATAACGGATATAGGGTAGATTTAAAATAATTAATTTTGGATTTATTTATAGTATCGAATAGTGAGGAAGAAGAAATGGCTAATTTTACGGATATGGAGAAGTTTAAGGAAAGCACAAGTAGATCTATCAAAACTATTGCATTCCCTGCCGATATAGAGTGACTGAATCATCATTACAATAGCTCAAAGATCAGGAAGCTTGAAAAGTGAGAGAATCAATTGGTATCAATTTATGGCTACTGGTATATCAAGCAACAGCAAGATTATATGATTGATTTCCGTCATTTATACTCGTATTGAGTTGATTACTCTTTTCCTTACTTTACAACGATCTTCATCTACATTCTTGATAGCAAAAGAGACTATGGCATCAGTTGTATCGGCTGCCATCTTGGATAGAATCGGAAACGAGTAATTAGACCGGGTAATTCTACGAAAATCTCATCCAGTTCTTTACTCTTTAATTTTACCGTGATTGAACCCGAAGGGAAATTATATCAGGTATTTCTGACTTGCGCGTATGTTGATGATGATTACAGTATGTTATCTTCTTGAAGAACAATCAAGACTAGACATTATTCTAACCCCATCGATCCTATTTAATTATAATTAAACACATAGAGGTGGATATTAAATTGCAATTAAAGCAATCTTGAAATGAATGATTGTTAACATCAGTGATTAATTTACATACTGTGCGTAGGACCGGCCCATATGACAAATTCAATACTCCATATTTCCATTCAATAGAAATGTGTTATTTTGCCATCATCGACAATGAAAACATTTACTAGTTAAACAGTGGTCAATCTCGATCATATCGATCTGTTTTACTTCATTTATACAACAAATTAATCTATTATGTCTTGTTGACTACCTCAGCTCGAGCACACAATATCACATTGATCTGTTATAGTTTATTCATACAACAAATTGGATCAATTTGCTCTTTCTTCTGACTATATCGGCTCGAGTGCTTTTTTTTACCTTTGATAGTTAGTATTATCCTACTCTTGTACGTAATTGAATAAACATTTGAAAATACCATATCTCCACATTTAACTGGCCGCTGCAATGTTAATTATTGATGTTGTTAACGAAAATCTAATGGCATACTGATCACAACGTGTAGAGGATTTAAAATACAATCTCTCTGCATTTATACGGCCATTGCAATCTTATTGATATCGTTTACGGAAGTCTAATTGCGTTCTAATCATACTAAGCTGTGAAGAGCAAGTTCAAATACAATCTTTCTACATTTGAGGTGAATATTTCAGATACTGTATGACAAGTGAAATTATTCAGAAAAGTCTAATCCCCAAAATCTATAATTTACCTATTATCCACTTTCTTACATATTTAGAATAAGACTCTAACAGAATATACGGTATTCCATCCATTGGGTTGCATTGTCGATGTTATCGATTTGCTCCGTTGTAGATAGCAAATACAAAATTAATTTTTCCTGAGGAAAATTTTTATCATTTCATTTATGGTTAGTATGACAGAAATAAAATTAAAATGCTGGCTTACCAAAAAGCATGCGATGGCAATATTTTGGCCATTTTAGAACCTATTAGTAGGCTATTAGAGCCTTTCCAGAATGCCTTGTAACTTTTTAATGATAATAGAAACAAACAAGTAAAACTAAAACCTCTACAATACTCCATAAAGTATTTTTGCACATCAGACAGACTTTAGTATAGTGATCTACCTATCAATAACTAAGTTATCAACTACGATATTTAAGATAGAGACGTTGACCAAACGAGACGCTTTCTAAAATTGGTCTAGTCTATCTTACGATTTATATTGTATCTTAACTGTAGTCAGAAAATTAGAGAAGCTATAAAGCTATAAATACGTTGTAGAATTATACAAACGAGAAATAACTTCGATTTAGCTCTTAAAAATATACAATATTTATACCCGTCTTTGCAAGTGGATTATTTCGAGACATGGTCACTACCCCTAGATAGAATTTGGAAAACCCAATCATCATCACATCTATAAACCTGTTCAAAGGTTCTATACTAGCTAAAAATTCTATATTTGGCAAGAGGTATTCTCAGATTATTTTCGAACTAACTAACTTGTCTGAAAGATACTCCATATTTCAGCCGAAATTAGATAGAGAATAAGTCTTATATAAGAACATGGAAATTATAATCATAACTAAAAAATCTACATTTAGGAAAAGATATTCTTAGATTTGTTTCGGACAAGCTAGCTTGTCCAAGAGATGCTATATACTTTAGCCGAAATCAGATAGAGAATAAATCTTAAGTAATGACATTGAAAAATATGATCATAACTAAAAATTCTATGCTTAGGAAAAAGCATTTTTAGATTATTTTCGGATAAGCTAACTTGTCCGAAAGATCTTGTATGTTTCAGCTGAAATCAGATAGAGAACAAGTCTTAAATAGAACATGAAAATTACAATCATTACTAAAATTCTATGTTTAGGGAAAGATATTCTCGGATTACTTTCGGACAAGCTAACATGTCCGAAAGTATTATACATTTCAGCCGAAATCAGATAGAGAATTCGTCTTAAGTAATGGCATGAAAATAATAGTCATAACTTAAAATTCTATATTTAGGGAGAGATATTTCTCAGACTATTTTCGGATAAGTTAATTTATCCGACAGGGCTACATAATTCAGCCGAAATGAATTAAAGAATAAGTCTTGAATAATGACATGAAAATTACAATCATAAAGGATTAAAAAATGTATTAATTACTATTGGATAGCTAGATTATCCTCATCAATACAAGACGTCTCCGCCTTCATTAATTCAATTCTTGAATATCATTAGCGCATATCTATAATTTACATTATAAGTAGGTATTAGTCATGATTTCCTATTTTGTAGATTTATAATGAAATAGTAATGTAAATGTTAAGACTATAAATTGATTTTGCTATCAATCAAAACGAAAGCGCCTTAAATCTTTAATTTTTCGACGCCATGAAAGCTAACCATAACGGCATACTGTAGTGTATTTAGTTTTCACTGCAGTTTTTTAGACATGTTCTTGAATATAGACATTTTACTATGTTCCGAATATAGATACCTCTACAGTCTATTTCAACTATGCTCAAATATAGCTTGTCATATTAAGTTATTTATAGCACCTATAGTTTCCGCTATTTCCTACAATCATTTGCTATTATATAGCCTGTTTATGGTATATGATGTATCTAATTCTATAACCCTGTTCTCTACATAGGTTCTCTTTCTAAAACTATAAATACTGATGATTTCTGCCTTAGATTCTTTCAGTTGCACTTGTTAGTGTTAGTATCTACACACGTTACTTTACGACAGCTTACACACTGATCTATCAGTAACTACCACACTATATCTAGTTATTCTCTACAATAAATATCTCTCTTTCTAATAACTCCTCGTGTTATTATTGTGAAATGCCTGAGGAGTCCACGTCCGCAGACTCTTCGAACTCTCATCACAATTGGCGATAAGGATGACGAGATTGTGATGGAGGGTTCGAAGGGTCAGCGGCCATGGACTCCTTAGGCATTTCACAATAATGATACGAGAGGTTATTTGAAAGGGAGATATTTATCATCATCGACGATATAATACGGCAACGATTTAATAAATTGAATGATATAAATTTATTCAATTGAAGCCCCCAATAAAATCTATATTAAAATTTGGAACAAAGCTTACAATATGGCACAGACAAGACCCATATGTCTGATAAATAGATGATATTCTCATGTTGATGAGAACCATCGTGTGGCACTTTATATAACCAATGGCTACGTGTATTTATCGTAAAAAACGGTTCTCAATAATCTTCTCTGTAGCATTTGCTATATTGTTGAATCTGTAGTATATTTTACTTTGATAGCCATCTAAAGTTATCAATTTTAAGATAGTCTAGTCATTTAAGATTGTAGGGAGTCTAAAATCTAGCTGAAAATCGTAGTGATAATTATTGAGCCTTTTAAAACAAGGTTTTTAAAGAATTGAAAATCTCGTCGAGCCCATTTACTTATTACGTAAGTATCGCAATATTGAACGCGATATTGCCTTTGCAGCTATGACTAAACCTAGACTGGCGATTAAAGAAAGATTTTGGATTAATTCAGTACGTATGAAATCGTAAACAATACCATCACTGTAACTATATAAAATACTTAAACCAGTAATCAAGGAAAGAAGTCAGTAATAAAACATTCTACTCGTATAGACTGATTATTATTCCAATTAAGACTTTCTATGATTGAAGATTTTGTCTAAACTTGTTTGCTGATCTTTATAGGTGTATCAATAAAACTCAACTCATGAGTAATGTATAACTACAATAACACGTAAACTAGTAGTCAAGAAAAGAAGTTAACAGTAAAGTAGTCTACTCGTATGGACTGATTATTATTTCCAAATAAGATTTTTAATGATAGAAGATAGTGTCTAAGCTTATTTGCTGATCCTATGGGTGTATAAAGATAGACTCATAAATAATGCTACACCTATAACTACAATAACACATAAACTAGTAAGCAAGGAAAGAAGTTAGCAGTAAAATAGCCTGCTCATATGGACTGATTATAACCCTGACCCTAATAATTATTATCCCAAATAAGACATTTAATTATGGAAGATAGTGTCTAAGCTTGTTTTCTGGTCCTATTGGTGCATAGATAAAGCTCAACCACGAGAAATATTGTCATTCTAGCTACAAAAACAGATAAATTAACAATAAAAAAAAAGAGTAATCAAATAGCGAACAAATTGGTGCTCCAGAAATTGAATTCAAATTTAGCGATTTCTCAGCGGCAAATCTTATTTCATGATAATCACAGAGTATCAGTTAGTATCTTGGAATTGATATACTTGTCTATTTACAGTAAGATTCAAAAATTAACGTTGGTAGATATTGACAATAGTATTTATAACCTGATAAAATGATACAATCATTCTTGATAGTCAATTGTAGGAATGCAGTTTTTAAAAATTGGAATTGAATACAATTTTACTAGAGGCATTAAAATTCAATTTCTCCCAACCACGGCCTATTAAAAATTTTAAAATATCTCAATCTGATGCTCTGTATATACTACATATCAATTCAATGCCTGCATTTGTACAATATCCAAGTATTTTTAAAGTAGTATTACGAGAAGTGAAATACCAGTGTGCTTTATCATATAATATTATGATATTTTATGGCATGAAGGGCATTTATTAAATCTTACAACCGGATTTCCATAAACATATTAATTTTAAATAATTCTTGTATAACAATATAACATATACAAGTCATTTCCTGAAACAAATGATTGTTACGCATTTGAATAAGAGAATATAACATCTAAAGTCTTCTTAATATTATTAAACATTACCAATT